GAGACTTGAAGATGCAAGGCCATCTCGCGTCGAACACAGTTATGAATGTGGGCACTGCGGTCAGTTTTTTTCAGACTAAGAACATTAGCATAATTCCATCATTATATGACTAAGCAGCTCACCATTTGATCTCTTTGTGACAACCTCTAGTGGGGCAGCGACCTCGAATGGGACTTTCATGTGGAAGATAAACCACATCGAAATCGCGATCACAATGAGTTCTTAGGTCTTCCACGAAAAGAAGCATTTCATTGAAGGAAAGCTCCTTGTCAGAAGACATCAAGGTTGAAACTCGCGCAAATTCAGACATCATCAAGGCCTGAGCCCGCGTGCAAACGTCGCCATCCTCAAGTACTGGCTCTTCTTTCCCCTTGTTGAGAATTCTTTGGTCTCTTCTTTCCCGTATCCAGCGGTTTTGGTATTCCTTCAACCCAGAAAGTCGGAATCGAACTAATGCCTTTCTGTAGTTCAACCGTTCGGCATTTATAGATCCTTTGCTGCTATTGAGTGCTTCAAGTTCCGCAATCCGAATTCTGATCTCGACTAGTTCTGGCTTCTGCAGGATATTCTCTTCAACTTCCGCCGGCAGTTCCCCCGGAAGTCCGCGCTCATAAAATTTCTCAAATCCTTGGAAGTATTCAATGTGACTTGACTGGTCTTCCTCGCCCAGAACAGCTGAGACTGTATCCATTGAAGAGCAATGTAATACATAGTCTTTAGGATACGTCCCCGCATCTTTGTGTCCATAGATTTGAGATACTAAGGCAGAACCATGCTTTCCTATGCCAGCTGTTAGCAAAATCTTTCTCTTTCGACAGGATGTGAGCTTTGACTGCCTCACCTTCAATTACACTTCCCAGATACTTCCGAATTTTGTGAACAGTCACACTCTTGTTATACCCGGCGGTCGTGACTATTCCGCGTAGTAACTCACAAAATCGCTCCTTATGGAGCGGAACGTCTTGTGGGCCGTCGGCTGTGACATTTCTGAGAACAGGCTTTTCCAGATATTCATCCTTCCAGCGCAACTCAATGGGCTTTCCGCTTGAAAGGTCAAACTTGGCAAGGTCCTCTACCTTTTCGATGCCGAATAGGGCACCGTGCTGTAGGGCAATAGCTAGGAGAATATATCCAGAAGCGAATTGTGGTCTCTTGGTGTCACGTATACCGATTCCAAACCTTAATTATCGGTCAGCGAGTAGCTCTCAATTTAAGTCAGCTGATTCAAGGTTGTATATGTAGGGGCTTACACCGTATAGTCTGGGTTTCGATTCCCTTTCAGCCACACTTGGTTGACTTTCCACTCTAATTTCCAAGGTGACGTAGACGATGGAAACAAAACCAGATCGATGTGCTTGATTAGAAATTAGCCACGCACAATCCCAACGTCGCAGTGTCGTTACCTTGTATCTTAGGCCTCTTTCTTTTTTATCTTCATGAGCCGGTATAAAAGCTCCAATTCTTGCTCCCGTAAACAGATATAACTGAAGAGCTAGCAGGATGATAGCCTTGAGTAATCCAGGCATGAACCGGCGATGATCCGCTTGCCACATAGACGATATCATTCGGAGAAAATCCTTTTTGGTAAAGCTGTGGTCTGGATCTTCAACATTCTCAATCCACCTTTCCTTTCCTGCCAATGTTCTCCTTATCCACTGTGTTGCGGTTAGTTTTGCTTGCACTGTGAGATTTAACAACAGCTTACGTTATATATCTCGCTCCGGTCTTCCATCACAATTTTGATTTGCAATTCTTCTTCAAACCCACCAAATAGCCTTTCAGCACAGTTGAGGACCGATGTCATCACTGGCCGTCCATTTTTGCTTTTCTTGCCTCGCGCAAAATGACTGTACCAGCGAATAAATTCTTTGAGGAGCGTATGATCTGGAGTCGGACAGCCTGGCCCGATTTCGTAGCCCTTGATTCCATGTTGTACAACGAAGCTATGAGCAAGTCAGTAACTCACACGGCGGGCACTCCTCATGGACAATTGCGTCCCAACTCACTTCATCCAATGACGGACAGCTTGGGAATACATCCTCTTTGTCTTAGGTATCCTTTTGTCTTTTTCTCGGATGGAGTCCTCAGCTGCATGAGCGCCAAAAATATAGCCGCTCTTTGCTAGTTGATTTCGGCAATTCTCTTTGGCGTTGTCATCTTGTTGAGCAAAGAAGAGCTTCCGACCCATGACTGAAAGAATCCCAACAAAACGTCAAAAGAAATCAATTGAGGGGGTTATTGAAATAGAGGATGAAGAAAAATCTGTGCGGGAGCTTGAGATGAGAGACATAGCTTCAATTTGTACTTCAGTACTTGGACACAGATCTTAGTAGTCCGATGACTGAGGAAGGGTTTTTTTTCTGCGCCGGTGCATGGCAGATAGGACCCAAGTCCTCCATTGTTGTGTCATCGTGCACCAGTGCGTTATTTTTTGAGAGGGGAACGAGAAGATCGAGTACCTCAAAAAACAGGGGCACGGTTAAAAATTAGGTCCATCAAAAAAGTAGGTCGCAAGATAAACAGTACTGTGGGGCAAGCGCTCTTTTAGGTATGGACTGAGTGTCGACTGAGTGCTCAATAGATGCCCTGGATAAATCCTGAGTAATCAATCCGGGACAGATCAGTGAGTAGCCAATCACAATCACTGAGCACTCACTGAGCGCTCACTGAGCGCTCATTGGACCTCACTGATCATCACGTGATGGCACTGAGCAGCTCAGTGAGTCTGAGCCCAGACTGAAATTTACTCAGTGAGCCTGACTCTGAGCGCCCTCATTAAAGCGGCGGCAGCTAAGATAGGAAAGCCCCACCTGGCAGAGGAAAAATGGTACCTATAGTGCCCTACGTACCGGATTTCCTATACTAAATCTCGGCTTTCCTTTTCCGTTTTAGTGCTTAGACCCTCGCCGCTTTTGCTCACTGAGTAGATCTAAGCACGTCTCTGAGCGCCCTGATCTGATCAGTGAGTATTATATAAGCTCTTAGATTCGCTCACTGAGCAAGTCTGACCTAACGTACTTCCCGCATGACCGGGTTACCCGGTTGAGCGGGTCACCCCAAAACACCATACTAAACGCGATTTTTAAGTCATAATATATCAACAACGAAAATATAATTTTGCTTGATTCTAAGTATACTATGATCTCCTAGTATAAGAATTAGTATAGCATAGCTTATGTATTCAAAAAATGATTATTTAGCTGTATTACCAAAAATACGCTCCGCTCGAGCGATGTAGTTATATATATCCATATTATCACACCCTAGAATATTTCTTGAGCTTATAAAAATATCTAGTAGGATATATTTGATACTGAGGTACCATAAGATCATATAATCAGCCTTAAGCGTTGAAATTTGAAGTTGTGAAATATTGCATTTAGTATAGTGTTTTAGGGTGACCCGCTCAACCGGGTGACCCGGTCATGTGGGAAGTACGTTACTTACTGTTGGAATTGCGTCTGGTGAATAAAACCGTGGTAGAAATCGTTCGTGCGCACTAATCTTAGAGGCACGATTATGGAAGAGAGACGAATCAAGATAGATCACAATCGGCTGATCAGACAGAAGAATCAAGCAGTGGAAGGTTGATTCAGATGGTCTACTATGCCCGGCAATTCTTCCTGAGATAAAAAGGATATCAAACTTGTTCATTCTAACTAGGAAACAGAATGAAATTTATAACATGAGGAACATGGCAAATATCACATAAGGAAATCAAGAACATTCGAGGTCATTTTGGAGTGTTGAACATTCTTCAGCCTATTCAGGCAATGTTGACACGATCGTTGAGGATCAGATTCTAGGGGTACACAAGATGGTATTCTTCCGCGATAGAACCAGGAAAATTGCTTAGTATGCAGGCAGAATTCAAATTGGCAATCTAGGCCCACCTACATATACCGACATAAACTATACTAATACCTTAATAAGAACCTTAAGAACGACTATATACGCGAATCTAAAAGCCTAGTAAGGGCCCTAATCCTCTTTATACTAAAATCGGATAGGAGTCTTTACCTCTATATTAGCTACTAGGGACTTAATAAGGTTTTAGTTAAGAATTAGTACTCTTTATCTCTTATTTTAGAGATTTAAGACTAATTATTAGGTAGTAACATGTAAGAATCGCTTTATTTAGTTAAATTAATATACATCCACTAATCCTGCTGCTCCGACATCTATAAATCGCCTTATGGTAGGATATCATACCACGAAGAGAGAACTAGTTTTCTTTTTTTCAGAGTATTAACTTCCATATATAGATAACGTAATTGGCTATGAATTTAGTAATATGATTAAAATGTACTAAAGCATCAGACAATATGGTGCGCTATGTAGAAAACTGGCTCTATATTTTCTTAAAATCAGCTGGTAGTAAAACCAAATAAGTACTAAAACTAAATCCATGATACCTAAGTGGATTTTAAACCAGAGAGATCGATGCTTCACGTGTCAGCTCAAATTGAGGAGTGGGTTCATTGGTCTAATGCATTCATTACCTACTGAATAAGTGTGTCACCGCATTAGTTGGTTTAAGTGGATCCTAATTACGAATAACCAGCCATAGATACTATCAGTAAACTTTCACTCAAGGCCCGACGGACAAGGATCTGAAAGCTTAATCATGAGGCAGTAGGAAATATAGAGAATTTCGTTTCGGAAAACAGAACACTCCCCTGGCACACAGACTTCTTGTCTTAGCGCCCCACTCTGCTTGCGATCTGCTGAACTTGGTTAGAGAACGCCCCGCTAATGGGGCGTGCAGAGATATTATTGGCCCAACGGGTGAATAGCCCGAAGGAGCAAATGACTCTATCGATAGAACTGAGAACACCATCATTGCGCAATCATTGCAGAAATGCGCAAATCAGCTGAAAAAACATCCGTAAAAAGGTATCCATAAAAGCCCTTGTTCCCTAAAAGTAGGATGCTCCTGGTCTCACCTTTACGTCTAGTTTTATTTCGTTTGACCCTCCGTTTGCCTCGTTTCTAGAACCATGGCCGACACCAACGTAGCCAAGACGGAAAACTCCACCCAGTCCCTAAAAGATATTGCCCATTTACAGTCCTCGACGGAAATAAGCAATGACAGAACATATGTGCAGGCCGGGGAGTTGGGCTTTGAGGAATCTACTAGTGGTGGATTGGGTCGCCATCTGGGTACATTTTCAACTATCTTCTTGATGTAAGTGGCTTCCATCATTGGTCCAATTTCTGAATCAATAGCTGATCGGAAGAGAATAGCGTGGGTCGCATTATCGGAACCGGTATCTTCTCCACGCCGTCTTCTGTGATCAGCAGCGTGGGTAGCGTCGGCGCCGCGATGCTGCTATGGCTCCTGGGCCTGGCTTTGGCTGGGTCTGGCTTGAGTGTGTGGCTTGAGCTTGGGTGTATGATCCCCCGTAGCGGAGGCGAAAAGGTCTATCTCGAGGCGGCATACAGACGGCCGAAATTACTAATCACCGTGGTGTTTGCGGTCCAGGCCATCGCGCTAGGATTTACGGGTGAGTTATTGCAGTTGTGCCGAGCAATAGTACCCGCTAAATAATTGTCATAGCCTCCGGATGCATTGTCTTTGCGTCATATGTATGGGCGGCTGCAGGGAGAAAGGCTTCCGAATGGGAGGAACGAGGAGTTGCCATAGCGGTAATTGTGTTTATCACGCTGCTTCACACACTTCTACCCAAATGGGGTGTTCGCGGGATGAATGTCATCGGGGTCTACAAGATCATTCTCCTGCTATTCGTTGTTGTGACGGGCTGGGTGGTCCTCAGCGGTAAGGTCGCAAATATCCCAGACCCCTACAGGAGCTTTCACCATTCATTCGAGGGATCGGCCACGTCGAGTAATTTATATGCGATTGCACTGTTCAAAGTGATGAATTCCTACGCTGGGTAAGCGATGACCCATATACCTTGGCCTCTTGAAGTTATTGTCATCGAAGTCTCATATACCATATAAGCCTTGTTACTGATCTTTTCTCTTAACATAGCTGGAGCAACGCCGCATACGTGCTAAATGAAATTCGAAACCCGGTCCGCACCTTGAAGATTGCAGCTCCCATCGGACTCTCAATTTGCGGTGTTCTATACATGCTAGCCAATGTTGCGTATTATGCCGCCGCAACCCCTGAAGAGGTCGCCGCCAGCGGTACCACCGTCGCATCTTTCTTTTTCGGAAAAGTCTTCGGATCGGCCGGAAAACGCGCGTTGAGGTATCTGTCTTTCTCCTTTCATTCATTGACTTACTGTGTGTCTAAATGCTAATTAAAAATACCTCACTGTCAGTGCACTGATTGCCATTTCCGCCTTTGGAAACGTTCTGACTGTCACTTTCGCACAAGCCCGAGTGAACCAGGAGTTGGCCAAGGAAGGGGTGATTCCATTTCCAAAGTTTTGGGCCTCTAGCTGGCCCTTTGGATCTCCGTCATCAGGCCTTTTACTGCACTTTATCCCATCTTTTATTGTTATCGTTGCAATTCCTTTCGGCGACGCATACAACTTTATTTTGGATCTAGAGGGCTACCCCGGCAGCGTGATTAATTTCTTAGTGGTACTAGGGTTATTCTACCTACGATGGAAAGCGCCGCAGGTGCAGCGCCCGTTCCGTGTCTGGTGGCCAGTTGCATTCTTCTTCTTGGTTGGCCAGTCGTTCCAGCTTGTGGCGCCCTTTATTCGACCGCCAGGTGGGAAGGGCGATACATCGCTTCCGTACTGGCTCTCGTCTGTGGTGGGCATTGTTATTCTTGTCACAGCGGTGGTATACTGGGCGGTATGGTGGAAACTCTTGCCTACTATAGGGCGATATCGCCTTGTTCCACAGCACGAATTTCTTGCGGATGGAACCGCAGTCGTGATTTATAAGAAGGTCAAATAGAAGTTTGTTGTCGCTCGCTCAGACGGAGGATATTTAGATGTTGGACTAGGAGCTGCTTGGGGAAATACGCCAAAATGGATATAATAGCTCCATAAATGTCTGAGACTGGAGCTTCTTATTCAAGTCTCATCAGATAGTTGATGTGTGGTAACAGAGGGTTGCGACCTATCTATGTATACTCTATCTAGCAAATCATGACTTTAAGACAATATAACACTTAAGACTTGGAACTTATAATCAAACTTATCTATTGGGCAAAGTATGAGGATTTCAAAACTGTAATTTAATTATTTTTATATTTTCTGGTTGTTGAGTTATTTATGTTCTAAGCTGGCCTGTTTTATCGATTCTGAATTCGAGTAGACCTCGGAATTACCCTCGCGAGGGTCGTCCACATAAACCTCGGCCGGAGGGCGGTGGGGAAGGGGATAGTATCCGATTTTAGGAGAATAAGCTTTTGGGGCCGTCAAACCCACGTCACTAGAAAGGCAAATAGGTAGGGTCGCCGTTATAGAAACGGGACTTGGATAGCGACCAGTGTAGGATAGATATACAGACGCTAAGCTTTAGTTTAGGACTCTATTAGTAAAATGGATCCAGACAGAAAGCGGTGCTTAGCATACTGATAGTAGAGATAGAGGGTAGAGAAACTGCTTAGGATACGAGAATAGGAGATACTCATATAAGGCTAACGCTAACGTAGGTGAATAAGCCAGGAAATAGGGAAATACGCAAAAAAGGATAAGCGTAGCGAATGCGGGAGAGGGAAAGGTAGATAGAGGGGAAATACAGTTCAAACTATCGGAGCGAAACTTGTCGATGGGATTCAAACCAGGGGAGTAAGACGGCAGATAAGCCAGGTTTCCCCCCAGCGTCCGCGCACATTTCCTTTATTCGATCAGAGTGGTGAAAGGAAACATTGTCCATGACAATCACCGACTTCGGTTCAGGCCCTTTCCCCCACAGTACTTGAGAAGCTGCCCGATAAACTGCTACAGTTCTTCACATATGATGCTTGATGCTGCTAACACAGACATCCATATGCCATTTAGATATCGTCTCTTGCTCTCTCTCTCGTCATCTCTCCCTCTTTCCTTCTCCTCATGCTTAGTTGATTCCTTGAAATACCACTACGTTGGTTGATCTTCTGTCTCTTCGGAACAGAGCTGTAACTTCTATCATCTATATTGCTGAGGAATTTTCAAACAGTCCATCCATGCTATACCGCAAGACCTTAGGCCGGGCATAATTCTAGAACATCACTTGGAATCGTCCAGTCCTTCATCAAGTCATCGCGCGTTTGAAGCTGCATCAGGAGACCGGCGGCAACATGCCAGGAAATGTGGCAATGAAATGCCCACAGGCCAGGGTTGTCAGCTTGGATCCGGATTAGGGTCCAACCATATGCGTCCACCATCACGGTGTCACGGCGCATAGGATTCGTGGTGTTCAACGAGTCATAAATCTCCCAGGGGAAGTACTGCTCCTGGGAGCTAGCCATGACCCAGAACTCATACCCGTGCAGGTGGAAGGGGTGGGAGCCATCATCGAAGTTCTGGATGAGAATATCAACGACCTGATTGTCAGGGATGTCGAGAATGTATTGACTCTGTAATCCGTACGGTGCCCCTGCTCCAGTCTGATTGAAGGTAGTATTCCCAGCGCGTAGGTGGGGAAGTATCCAATTCAGAGTGGGAATTTGAGATACCTTGTAGGACGTGCCATTAATGTACGCCAGGTCCAAGGAATCGTCCCCAATCTGGAAGGAAACCTGGATAACAAATAGATTGTCTGCAGGGGGCGCCTGCTGTACCACGGAGGGCACAAGAAGAGTCGAATTCAAATCTTCACATAAGGGATCCATGGGATTATTCCAACCCACTGACTCCACTCCCGGCAATGCAGTGTTGTTACCGTATGCCAAAATTCCGAGAACTGTGGGATTGAGGACTGGATTTTGGACGAAGAAACAATTGGTGTCCATTTCCGCCCGCATCCAGTAGTTTTGCGCCGTTTGATTAGCGTTAAGCACAAATGAGTAACGTTGAGCCGATGCGATCTTCAGGATTTGGAGCTCTAATGGTTCCACCATGGTGCTATCCCCCTCAATCACAGTCATGGTGTGGTTATCAATTGCAAACTGGAAAGTGGCAAATCCTCCCGTATTGATGATCCGGAATCGGGTTTTCGTGTTTTGTTCAACAGGGAAAAGAGCCCGTGAGGAGTTGTCGTAGCATGTATATCCACTGTTGGCCTCATAGGAGGAACAGTTGAAGCTGCCTCGGTTAGCGGGAATCGTGATGTCGCGACGCATCTGACAGCTTAAAAATCACATACTAGTTTGTCCCTTGGATCAGTCCGTTGTCCGGCACCGGCTCGGTATTCTCGTTGCCGGGGGCGAGATATTCGGGGAGGTAAGCCGCGCTGAGGTCATGATAATAGTCCTGAAGAACCATAACCTGATCCTGCGTATATCCATAGCGCGTCTGGTATTCAGCCTCCTCGGGGGCATGAATGATGAAAGGCCCGAATAGACCATCCATGCGCTGGGTTGATGCGTGAGAATGATACCAAAACGTGCCGAACTGGTTTTCCACGGTGAAGTTGTAGAGGAAACTCTGTCCCGGTGGGATAGGACACTGCGTGATCCCGGGCACTCCATCCATCCAGTTGGTGCCATTTTGAAATAGGCCATGCCAGTGGATTGTGGTGGCGTTGGGCATGTTGTTCGTCACGTTAACCAAAACACGGTCGCCTCGATTTACTCGCACCATCGGACCAGGATATTTCTCATTGATGACCAGAACTTGACGCAGAACACCTAGAAGCACTATCAGCGGCAGACCCCTCGCCCCGTGCACCGAGGGCTTTGCTTACCATCTGGGAAGGCATCAATCACGGATATCGTCCAGTTGTATGTGCGCGTGGTGGGTTCTGCATTCAGATCCCAACTCGTCATGTCCAGTACGTACTCGGACGAGGGAAGTCTCCATGACTCGTTGCCCAGCGGTGGGTTGTACTCTACGGAGGACGCAATTGACGGTGCGCTGGCGCTGCTCGTAGACAAACGGTGGTCGTTATGCTTCAAGCCAACACCGAGCCCTACCCCAAGAGCTAGTGCCAGGACCACAAAGACACCAATGCTGCCAAGAGCGACGATTGCCCGCCGTTTCCACCACGGTGGTGGCATTGAAGCCACCTTGCCGGGTACAGCAGCAACGCTCTGTTGGGAGGTCATGTGGGACAACGTCGGCAGGTTGTAGCGACCAGGAGAACTCCAGCAAAACTATCCGAGAAGTATATAAAAATTTGCCATGATCCGGGATTTCCGATCGGCTGATGCCGATGTCCACAGGAACCACAAGCTCAGGAACCATTTTGTCTTACTCTTCGGAGTAAACGGAAGACCCCGAGAACGAGCGATGACCAAAAACGTGGTTCTCTCTTCGATGCCGAGTGGTCTTCCACCAACGCCCCACAATGCTTGGCCAAAGCTTGGTTCGGGGTCTGATAAGCCACGCGTAAATTCTTACCTTCAACTCTGGATTGGTGCCCTCCGAGCTTACTCCTCACGCAGCAAGATAAGAGAGTAAGACACCGAAGATGAGACCTTCTCAGCGCGAGCGATGCCAAAACCCATAAATGACCGCGTTTCCGTCAACGTGTTACGATTTTCGATGCTGAGTGGCCAGTGGCCCAGGAAGCCGCAGCCTGAAGGCGGACGGGTTTACGGCCTCAGGTTGGGGCGACTCGGGTTGCCCTAGGCTCAGGAAGGGAGGTCATCAACGGATGCACTAAATTGGAAGTTTACCGATCCCGGGTCGCTTTTCGAGACGGAGGACGGCGTAGTATTTAAGGGAAAAGAGATGGTTTATGATTGACCGGCACGCCTTCCTCCTTCTTCCATTCCACTCCATCCTTTCCCTCCCTTGCCTACCATGAGCCCTCTTGGTGCCTCCCTTCTCGCGCTGGTCGGCGTGGCCGCCGCGGCGAGCATCACCACCAGTGAGCCTGCGCTCGCGGCCATCCACGCGGCCGAGGCAACCACACTGCCGTCGTCTCCTACCTCGGATGTCCAGGGTGTTGCGTTCAACCGCTTCTTCCAGATCTGGCTGGAGAACACTGTAAGCATCCCGAGTTTTACCAGGGTACAGGAATCTACTGCTGACACCGGACAACCCCCCGACAGGACTACAGCGCCGCTGCAGGTGACCCAAACCAGCAATGGCTAGCCAGCCAAGGCATCAAGTTGACCAACTACTTTGGCATTGGTCACACCTCCGAGCCCAACTACTGTGCGGTCGCCGCTGGTGACAACTTTGGCATGGACAATGATAACTTCCATCAGATTCCTACCAATGTGTCGACAGTGGCCGACCTGTTGAACACCAAGGGCATCTCCTGGGGCGAGTACCAGGAGGCCATGCCCTACCCGGGCTTCCAGGGCTACAACTACTCCAACCAGGAGACGTATGCCAACGACTATGTGCGCAAGCATGACCCGTTGATCTTGTTCGACCAGATCACGAACAACGACACCGCGCTGAGCCAGATCAAGAACTTCACTAGCTTCTACGACGACCTCAAGAACGAGAAGCTTCCCCAGTGGGCCTTCATCACTCCCAACATGACCAACGACGCTCATGACACCAATGTTACCTTTGCCTCCGAGTGGCTGCGTGGATTTGTCACGGAGCTCAAGAGCAACACCTACTTCTGGGATAACACGCTTTTGCTTCTGACTTTTGACGAGAGTGAGACCTACGCGTTGCAGAACCGTGTGTTTAGCGTTCTGCTCGGTGGCGCGGTCCCAGCTGACTTGGTGGGCACCACGGATGATACCGTCTACACCCACTACTCCGCCATTTCTTCTGTGTCTGCCAATTGGGGCCTGCCTTCTCTTGGTCGCTTTGACTGCGGTGCCAACATCTTCCAGGTGGTGGCCAACAAGACTGGCTACACAAACTGGGCGGTCGACCCCTCGTCCCTTTACCTCAACGAGTCCATGCCTGGCCCGCTGTCCCTGGGTGAATACTCTAAGTACGAGTCCACCTGGGCTGTGCCTACCACTGACGCCATGTGCGCCGGCGGCCACGGTATCCTGCAGGCTGTGATTGATACGTACAAGGGTCAGAACCCCACCTTCAACTACACTGCGCCCTTCCCGTATGACACCTCCGCCGGCCTTGGTCTCGGCGTGTCGTTCTCGCGAAATGGTACTACTTACGTCTCTGGTCTCAACGACACCACATCGACCTCCACCACCACCACCTCTAGCTCCGCCAAGCCCTCTGCCAGCAAGGGTGCTGCCGCTCTCCTGACCCCATCCATGGGAAGCGGGCTGGTTGCGGTCCTCCTGGCTGGTCTGGGTCTGATGGCTTAAGCATAGCTGTCTCAAGGCTCATTTTTTCCCAGGGGCCGGAAGCCAACCACAGCCGCGCTGCGGAATGTTACCATAGTTAGAAGACGGAGAAATGTAGGCTTATGTGATTATAGATTAGTGTCCTTTTGGTCCAATAAATCAGTCATAAGAACAATGCATCTTTCTTCGTAGTTGAGCCCGCTGGGTACTAACCATATGGCACAGCTCAAAATGGGTGACACGATACAGAATAGCCTGGTCCTATCCCGTGGAAAGAAGAACTCCGGTTTCTTATTGTGCAGGGTTGTATCTTCGAATCATTTATATCACCGTATTTATAACAACACAGCAGCGAAAAACTTGGGGCATGTAGATCATCACCCCAGAACGTGACCTTATGAGGAAACAACATGATTCCAAACCCAATATTAATGAAATTTTGAAAGTGATGAGAAAAGGCGTGCGTAATAATACTCCAGGGTCGGCGGACAGAGAAGATGCATAAACCATCCTTGTATATAGTTTTTGCTTTTAAGATTATATATCTTTTAGGATGGTTTAGTTCGGTATAATTAAAACTCACCGCTTTCCGGTACCGCTTCGGGCCGGTTTAGGCCCTTGCCAAGTATGTTATATAAACCTTGCTTTCCTTGATGATAGGTCTACCCTGCGATGGGCCCTTCTGGAAGGTTTCTATTTGGTAGATGATATATGTATACTACGTCATGTAGTTAAGAGAGGCTTGAGGATAAGAGGCCTATGCAATTGAACCCTTTGAAACTTTTGTCAGGAAAAGGAATATACAGCTAGTCAACTTGTAAACGTCTCAGGTAGTATCCATAAGAATAGTCTACATCAATGCTATCTGCGAGCTGATGAAAGCCGATTCAGAATGAATTGGTTATGAGAGCTAAAACCATGGGGACTCTGTACACTTGGACCGCACCCATTTCCTCAACCGACTTCCGCAGGTATATTGAAACATGGGCAACGGCTTTCAGCTCTCTCAATTAACCATATTTCCCATTTGACCATAATTCCCATTTGACCATAATTCCCATTTGACCATAATTCCCATTTGACCGTAATTCCCAGTGACCATAAACGCAAAATTGGTAGGAAATGGCGAATATTGGTGCACTAACCGATGGAAAAGGAGAAGCAAAAGGATGATTGAAGATGGAGAGGGGCAAAACGAAGTGTGTGATTAGGCATAAGACAACCGGGGGACTTGGGTGGCCAGTTCAGAATGATAAAAGACCGGCAATCCACACCGTTCATGACTTGTGGCGGTTGCTGGCTGCCGTTTCAATTCCTGCAACTTTAAACATATCATAACTCATGCTGCGACAGCTGTAACTAGACCGTACTTATCCTTCTGGCTAGTTCCTTTAAGATTTGTCATTCTAGCACCCATCACTGACTGGTTCGTGAAATGTGTACATAAAGGTTGGAACCTACGGCCAGAGTAATTCCTTAACACAATCACTTTTGTCTGATACAACCTTAAACCTTAGCCGATGGTGGAGGCGATTATTTGGGTATCAGGAGGAAGCTTTGACACGGTGGATTGTGTGTTTGAAGGATTGCAACATGCCAGTGACCCCTGGACTACTAAAATTTTGGGCAAATCGGGCGCTTGCATGCGCTGGTAAGCCTGGTCACCAGGTTGGCAAGAATTGGCCATATCGCTTCATGAAACGTCTTCCAAAGTGCCTAGACCTAGGTCCAGTGAAGCAGAAAATAAAGGAATGGAAGCGTATCCGGGTAGAAAATACAGGTCTATTACCCCACTGGTACGATCTACTTGCGAATCTGTTAAAACATGTCCCCGCGCGGCTAGTATACAACTTCGACGAGTGTGGTTTTCGCCCTGGCGTGGGTAAATCACGTAAGGTGATTGGGTCAAAATCAAAATCAAAATCTTGCCCTGATATTGCTGACTATCTGTCATACAAAAAGCAATATAAAACAGTTCTCTAGTAAAACACGCGATGGCAGAGTATCACAGCGGGGTTTCGTACAGGTCATCAGCGGCAATTAAGGCTGATTCATCAACACTGGACGAGAGCCAACCTAATGATTGAGAAGGCGGGGTAATATATATGTAATCACAAATAAAAAGAGATTAATGTGTCTCGGTGTGAGTAGAGACGGCACCCGAGTGATTGCACTCGGGCTCATAACCTGTTGTAAATCAAAAGGAAGCTTGATTATTCTAATCTCTGATAGGATACAAGGCCCTATGTATACAACATGAAGTCAAAGTTGATTGGAAATGAACGTGGTCGTCGTATAATAGATGGGCAGGAATTATTTCCGATGTTGCAGCTGCGTTCCTGAGCAGCAACAGCCTCAAATCACAACACATACGACCAGGAGCATGCTTCCTCCATGCTATCCATCTGCAACTGATATGACGTCCAAGGTTCTGTCCAGTCTAAGCCTTACCATACCAGGCCTTGGTCAAGAAGTCTTCAGTGTCCGTAAACTTGTAGTCGGGCAGCAGACGGTTCCATTCATCCGAAACCTGATACGCCTTGTCGTGGATGGCTAGCAGAATGCCTGCGGTAAAAATTCTCGACAACACTTCAACCTGCTCGGGTGGAATTGATGGGTGATTAATCTCGGGCACCCACGAAGTGTTCCATTCCCCGTTTTCAAAGGCATGCGCTGTCACTTTCTGGATATCAAAAGGTGGACCACCTAATAAGAAAAACCAAAAATAAATCAGCCGATATTCACCACCTATCCGGGAAAGACTTACCGCGGACTTTCTCGCCGAGGGCGATGATTTCCTTGACTGACAGCTCGGAGCCTCTGATGCCTCCAACAACAGGCCATTCACCCTCAAATTCAATGGCTCTAGCAACAACATTCGCTAGGTCCTGCGATGTTGTGAGACTAATACGGTCATTCTCACTGCCCTCCAGCAAAATCGCTCGGCGGCGGTAAAAGTCCCACGGAAGTTCCACTTGCTGGACGTTATCGGACGACTTAAAAGGAGCGGTGAAGTAGTTTGTGAAAGTGCCTGGTTGAAAGAGGGTGTATTCAAGAACCTGGTAATTAAATATCGTATCAATTTCCGAAAGTGTTAAGAGTTTGCCGGGCCTTACCTTTTTGTCCTTGTTCAACTCTTTAAGATACCGGCGTGTTTCTCCCTTGTAAGCATACCAGCCCAGATGCTCTAGACCGGCTCTGCGGAATATTAACGACCGAAGCAATCTGAGGGCTAGGATAACCTACGAGGCCCACTCGCTTGGCGCAAACCGCTTCACGCCAGCTTGAACCGCAGCGTCGATGAGATTCTTCTGGATTGGAGCTGCTGGCTCATCGCCGACGAAAGAAAGCAAAGTGTGAGTTCCCTGCAGAATTTGTGCTAACTGCTCCTTATCCTTGTAGTCTGTTTTAGCCCATGTTATGCCTCCACTCGTCTCTCCCACTGGGGCGTCCTGTGTAGATCGGTTAATTGCAACTATCAAGCGACAGCCAGGATAATGTAAAAACCTTTCGTGACAGAATTAAAATCTCGTGCTTCTTGGTAGCAACAAGGACATCGATGATCTCCTGTCCAACGTCTGTCCAGACATCAGTCAGTGATGCAGCAGAGTAGAGTGTCCTTAATCTAGTAGAACATACTGCCAGAGCCACCAGCAATCGCAATCTTGACCATCTTATTTGTGTAAACAGTTTGAGTATTTCAATCGAATGGAATATTTGTTTGGATAAAAGAGTTTGTTCCTTCGGATGCGAGGCGCACTTTATAGCTACTGCCACGAAGGCTTCGGCCGAACTCACGAACATCAACAATGAGAATGAGAACGATCCCACCGACGTGGTGACATGACGCCAATAGGCCTACCAAGCGTCGCGATTATCATGTCATCGCTGATTAATGCCAACTTGAGCTCGTCATCCCGAAGATTATTGTAAGATCGTACTTCTGGTGAAACCTCCTCCTCGAAACAACGGGTGGAATCCCTTCCTCAACCTCTGGTTCCCCTGATGAGGTCACCCATTCTATCTCATCATTCCATAATTTAAAACTCGTAGTCAATAAATGCCATTTTCTGAATATCTGTAAAGTCTTGGGGAAAGCAAACATCTGTCAACTCTATTATAGTAAGGAAGCAAATGCTAACGGCGTGTTATTTCAGTGGATATTTTATTAGCTAATGTTGAGGTGTCTACTCTATATAGTGCATCGATACCACGCTTGATTCTATTTTAGCGGTAGGGTTTCTGCGTGTTTCTGCATTTAGAAACCAGAAATATGATTTCCCATGGCGCTTCACTTGGCAACGTGAAACGTGGCTGTTCGCCCGCCGAGCTCGGATAAAAGCATTCTGACGTCAGCAACCACGCGACCGAGCCTCGGTGGTACGATCTCCTTCTCTTCCAGCATCATTTCTGGACGAAATTTGCTGGGCCCAGAGAGAAGTATATACGCTAACCTTTACGACAAAGCGAGCGCGCAGTTGATTGTGGGAAATGTGCGAAGCGAGTCCCCAGAGATACAGGATCGAGGCCAAACGAAGAAAGGTCCGCAAAGGCACTCAAAGCTGCTGGGAATGCAAGCGGCGTAAGGTTCGGTGCATTTTCGGCTCGCCCGCGAGTATCATCTGCGATAATTGCAAGCGACGCCGCACTTCTTGCATCAGCCAGGAGTATCCTGATCAGGAAGTGCCATCTGCAACCAGTGATCCGATTGAAGCGAGGCTCGGCCGAGTGGAGGCCCTTGTTAAGCAACTGGCCCAGAATGCAGGCTTCTTTCAGTCCTTGCAATCCCCCGGATCCCCTGCAAGAGATCTCCCTGAGACTCAGCAAGTATCGCCGGCACCGGAACATGGGGAGGAATCCCGGGAGAGGGCCGTCTCTACGATCAGCAACACAGCGGTGCGCTTCCCCACATTAAGCCATTGTTCAAAGGTAACTCTGACTTTTTAGAAGCACATTCCCGGTCCTGAACCCTCAACCTGCTTGGGGTCGTCTTTTATACCGCGGTCTCCAGTCACCGAGCATCCTCGCGCTCCAGACAGACGAGCTATAGGCAAGCACGAGGATGTGATCAACGGGCTTATCGCGGCGTGGCCCGACCAGAGCGAACTTGACCTCCTTTGCAGTCTCCCCGTTGGCTCCTCGATGTATTTGCATTGTGGAGTGTGCAAACATTATCTCAATTCCGAAGGTCAAACCCCTCCATCGCCGCACGAGGTTTTGCAATCGCCCCCACCGGGGTCCCATCCAGTGCTGGTCGCGCGTAAGCTTCTGATGCTCGGTACCTTCCTGCAAGGAGTTCTTCCGTCCTCAGTCCAAGGCTTAGAGAATCAGGGTATTTCCTACCACTATACCATGTCCCGTGTCGTGGATAGTGCTGTCAGACTCGTGACCACCAATGATGAGCTCACCGGCTCCGTGGAGGGCCTTGAGTGCATTATGCTTGAAGCAATGTATCACAACTACGCTGGAAACCTTCACAAGTCGTGGATGGCGATACGCAGGGCGTGCGCCGTAGCCCAGATGATGGCAATACATCGCGGTCTCAACTCACCGTCCTTGAAGATCCTCGACCCCGAAACTCGAGCCGCGTTCGATTCGGATTACCTGTGCTTTCGTCTGGTCCAAATGGACTGCTATCTCTCGATGATGCTGGGGTTGCCGCAGAGCTTGCTTGAAACCGGCTTTGCAACTCCTCAGGCATTGGAGAAATGCCATCCCGCTGAGCGTATGCAGCGCATCCACTGCCTCGTTGCTGGGCGCATCCTACAACGCAAGGATGCCGACGTAAACAACCTGACCGAAATTCACCAACATGAAAAACTGCTCCAAAAGGCTGCGGACGAGATGCCACCCCAGTGGTGGCTAATGCCAGACTTGAAGTCTATCAATAGCAGCAGAGTAGACATTCTATATGATACGATGCGTCTCAATGACCAACTCACTCAATACCATCTGCTGATTAGACTCCATCTGCCCTATATGCTGCGATCACCATCAGACCGCCGGTACGACCACAGCAAGATTACCGCTGTGAATGCCAGCCGCGAGATTCTTTCGCGCTACGTAGCCTCCCGCATGTCCAACCCCGGCCACTTCTACTGCCGCGGCGCCGATTTTCTGGCCTTCGTCGGCATTGCCGTCATGTGCCTCACTTACATCAACTCTCGCAGCCAGGGTCAAAGGCCGGTTGAAACACTGAACTCTGATACCGTCTTTAACTTTCTTGCCCATTGTCGGCCTGCTGACCGCGGCATCATGGAGCGTACTCTGGAAGTCATTGAATCCATGGCCCGAGCTAGCCATGATGCGATTTCCTCGAAATTCTCCCGTCTCATTCACCACCTGCTGTTCATTGAAGCCAACGCCGCCAATGGTACCGTGTACACCACGAGTTCATCCAGTGGTGACGAGAGAGAGCTCGAGGTCGAGGGCAAATTGACCAACGGTGGCAAAGCGCTACATCTGTACATTCCTTATCTTGGCAAGATCTACTTTGAGCCAGGTGTGGTTCCCAAGTGCTCTGCAACAGCGTCAACGCAACTTGATATGGACACGTCGACCACGCGTGATACAGATACATTGGTGCCTGGTCTGTTCGAAAACACTCGATCACTTGCTGGCTTGGAAGGTCCGCCAATGTGCTCGATCGACAAGCGACCGGTTGGCCCTGATATGGAGACTCTGCAATCGTCATTTACTTGGCAGCAGCCCTCTGCATCAGTTGAAGACATACATCGTCATCACGGTGCCGCCCAACCCATCCAATCGCTCCCTCCGCTGGAATTTTTCGACGCAGGAGATGACTGGGGCCTGCAGGGTGTTGACATAGCCCTTTTTGATAGTCTTACCCGCGGAATCACAATTACAGATGCAGCTGGAGAGAATTGGGCAGAATGGGATTATCCGAAATAGGCTACGTATGGCAAGTATAGTTGGTAGTAGAGCAGGATCATGACACCAAATTGGTTCTTCACGACGTTAGCAATTTCCATTCTGAAACTAGTGACTGAAGAAATGACCGAAGTTTGATGAGCAATACTTCCCAGCCTGACCATTAAATATACAGACAACGTAAGATTAGGATTTGCCGAGCGCGTGAAGTAAAGTGGCGGCATCATGATGTATTTGACTAATGGCGACTCCCAAGGAATAATAGAACAAATGACATATTTGCTGATATGGATTGGCGCGTCAGAATATGCATCACACTATTTCCATTTCTAGCTTTCATGGCCCATTCTAGATTCTAGATACTGGGAATTATACCATGACGCGTAGGAAATGCGCAACTAAAATCACCCACAAATGACGAAGAAATGAAGCGAACATTATAATGTTTCACAGCAAAATATACAATTCTTTGATTAAACTGTAGTCACCGTTACTTTTTTTGACTCGCAAATCCGAAAGAGTGGTTTGATTCAAAAGACTTCGCACAATTTGCTACTGTGAAAAAGAAATAAAGATAGGATACTCATCAGAGTACGGACCAAGATATGTCGTGGGACCCATCCGAAAGTCTTAAGTGTGAGCTTCAAGGGTTCCAGTTCCGACCATGGGTCCAAGTGGGGTAAGCCAGCTTCCACCAAAGGTACACTTGATGGAATAATCAAGTTCCTCCAGTGACGCATTCTCAGGTGCAGCGCTGGAAGTAAGTGCACCCTCTGGATACACCTGAACAGCACCATAATAACTGACAACGACAGTGATATCCCAGTAACGCGTACCATTCCACTCTTTATAGGATCTCTTAGTCAACGCCAGGATGTCAAATCCGGTGACTAGGACTTTGCGGGTGACTCCATGTTGAGCAACCTGCCTAGTGATATCTCCAGCGACAACTACCGCAGTTCCAGTGATAGAAGCCTGCTTGTCGGCTAAAAACGCGTGTTAAAGCCAACTTGCTTCAGCGGGATCTGATATTAACTTGCCTTAGAGGCAAATATACCTCGATAGATGTCTGCCTTCACGGCGTCCACATTCTTCTGAACACCTTTGTGAATATGCGAGTAATTACCGATAAGTGGGATTTGCTCCTAATATTTGCATAAGACTTCCTTCATAATCCTTCCTAAACCGGAGGGTTATACCATTTTGCTGGCTTTGTCTGTCGCTTTGGCCGGCTAGGGCTCTGAATTGCTGTTAAATTTGAGGATATGTCTGGAGACAAACAAACCATTGGTAGAATTATGATAATGGTGGACTTAAATACATCAGATGTCACAAGTTGAAACCTTGACCTGCTGATATTCTACGTCAGAGAATTGAAGATTTTCAAAGATTTTGAAGTTTCAAGATGATATAGGAGTCTAGACCGACTGTTTGGAAGCGGTGAGCGCCAATAATAATGGATACTTAGATACCCATGACACTGAGATCACTGAATAACCAACTAGTAACCACCCTAGATTGTTCTTTGATAGCCATGGTCGAGAGATCTTGTCCATCAAGTCATACGCAAGATCATAAGGAAATCCAAGGGAAAGAAGCCGTTTTCAGCGACTTCAAGATGAAAATATACCAGTAAGGAGAAAAATGGCCTGTTGGAATAGAATTAATAAACACCAAGATAGGAGCAGAATTTTCCCTGTTTGCAGAGCTATTTGTTCATTTAGTTGATGGTGATGTGGGATCCAGCTGTCACGAGGTTCCTCTGCCGCTCACCTAAGTCACTGTGGTAGATGTGAAGCTCTTCCTTAATAGCGCGCGTGAGACTCTCTCTCTCGGCCCTACTGCTAAAGACTCAGAGCGAAACATCCATTGAGTTGGTCACACTTAACTGGTTAATATGAAAAACATTACGTAAGAAAGTGAGGTGCTGTTATACGAATTCTTGAGGTGCCTCCCCCATCTCTGAATCCCCGCTTCTTCCCCCCACCTTTCTCTACTTCATTCCAAACAACGTGAACAACATTCCTTGTAATACTGTACTGATTTCCATCACGGTATTAGGATTAGAATGTTGTGGTGTCTAGCTGAGAATCTATTCAGTGATATTTGATGACCTCGGCCAGGCAGCCCGCGGCGCGAAGGGCCAAATAGTGGCACAGACCGCCTTCTACGGCGATCTCTCAGCTTTACGAGCACTCCCTTCTTCCCCCTGTGCTACTTATTCGCATTCCGTTACAACATCAACTGGAAATGGCACTGCTCGAGCTACCGCCAGAGATTCTGATGAAGATCTACTGCAATCTACGCCATGTACACGAAGCCATAAATTTGGCGCAAACGTGCACGGCTGCCAATGAACTTTTCTGTCGACCCTTGAGTCGCCAGCACATTCTACAATCAATCATCTCTGTGACTGATGGTGCAAATCGAATCAGCACCATGAACTTGTCTGGTAATATATTACATCAAAGCTGGGAGTCTGCGGATATTGATACATTCCTAGTTCTGAGGACGCTTTACTGCTCTTTAATCCTCGAAAATCCGCTTCACGATGGCACCTTTAGTTCCGCTTCACTCTCTAACTTTTTAGAACAATTTGATGATCTGAAGAGCAATTCACTTGTGGATACTGTTCTTATCAAAAGTGCAAGGTACCAGCGCAAGCTCATGGAAAACACCAACTTAACTTCGATAGACCGGAAAACAATCATTGCTAGGACATTGCATTGCTATGTCATGGTGTCAAAGATTGCCAACGCATTCTGTCGAAAATGTGAAGAACAGCAAGACGAAAATGATATGGAAGAATTTTGCTCTCGACTGCTAGAGGAATCTAGATCCGACCCCATCGTTGATGCCAAATCAATTTCATTCCCTTTTCGAACGATACTTGAAGATCTAGAGAAAATGATCCGACAAGGGACACCCAAGGACTGGCCTATTATATTAACAGTTCTATGCATCCTATTCTGGATGACGTCAGAATTCCAGCGAGATGAACATGAAGATATGCAGAACTTCCTGTTTGACCTAGACTATCCTCCTGACGCGCTAGAAACTCCCCTATATGCACTCTCTAGAATGTTTTATATTCAAATGACGGGCAATCACCCTTTTCGAAGTTCTTGGGACTATAAAGCATACGCCAAGCTCGTCCAAGGGGATTCTCTGGCGACTACTCAATTCGAGATGCTCAACAAGTCATGGTATATTGCGAGTGAGTTAATCAACTCCTTATTTTTGCTTGTTTCTTCTTCTTTCCTCGATCATAAACTCACTATGAACGGACCTAATCACTTGTTTTATAGCATGTGCGGAGAGCTACGAAATTGAACTTGATCTCGATGGCAATGGTCATCAGAGGGTGAACGACTCGGATTCATTCGAACACAAATTAAGGGAAGGCATGGAAGGCTGGATTGATAGGCTTCATTGTTTCTGCTACGGACCGTCTTATCTATTCGAAGCTTATCCACCATATTCCTCCTCCCTTGAGCTCTGGGATTTGAAGATTTTAGAGACAGCTTCTTTGGCCGAACGATTTAACCATTAGGCAACAGCCACGGTACCTTAGGACTCGAGGCGGTATCTTCTGGAGAAATTATGAAGTGAATGAGGGGTTTACGAGAAAATATAGAATTTTGCCGCGGAATTTCGATCGTAAATGATTGAAGAGTCTTCATGACGATATCTATAGAATGATGCTTATAGATTCCTAATGCCCTATTGTTGTATTATTACACGGTCATAATAGAAGGTACTGTAGTATCGAAGCCATAATTTTGGGCGGCCAAGTTTGAGTAAGTACTGGGCGGTTAGGCCGGTCGCTGGCAGCCTGCGCACAATCCCCCCCACCTTCTAATAAACACCTTTCAATTACCCCTTTTCCTCCACTACTCCTCATCAACAACATCATAATTATCATCATCATCATCTTCATCCTCGCCTTAATTGGTGTGATCATGTAGAAACCTGCAGGCTATTCGTGTCTAATACCACTTCCTTCGATCAATTATTTCTGTGATCAATGGACAAGCCGACAATCTTGATCGTGCCAGGAGGCTTCACGCTGCCCGAGTTATACAGTGACGTTATCAGCCATGTCGCGAGTGAAGGATACTCCGTTCAAGCGCTTCACCTTCCCAGCATAGGTTACAAGACCGACGTTCCAGGCACCATGCAAGACGACGCCGCTTTCATCGCATCAGAAATTTCGAGGCATGCAAACGAAGGCAAAGACGTCGTACTCATCGCCCACTCTTACGGCGGTCTACCTGCAACAGAAAGCACCAAAGGACTTAGCAAAGTGGACAGACAGCTACAGGGCAAGCCAGGAGGTTTAGTGAGACTAGCTTATATTTCGTGCCTCATTCTACCAGTCGGAGAATCAGATGCCAGCGTTATCATGCCGGACGATATGCTTCCCCGAGCCTCTCCATTCGAGATTAGGTTTGATGTCTGTCTCGTTTCATGAAATCCTTTTGTCTTGGGCTAACTTGGAACATAGAATGATGGATGGTTACATCAGACAGACATCTCGGCGGCTGTTTCTCATGTCTTTAACGACTTGCCGAAGAAAGAGGCTGAAAAGTGGGCAAAGATGAGTAGTCGTCATTCGGGATCTACGTTCCCTGCTAGTCTGAGTCATGCTGGGTTCAAAGATGTGCCGGTTTCGTATTTGCTGTGCACCAAGGACCTTGCCCAAGAACCAGAGCTCCAGAGAGCGAGCATCGCGATGATGGAAAGGCAGATCGGTGGTACCATTGATGTTACAGAAATCGAGTCCGGACATGCGCCAAATGCATCTAGGCCTAAGGAAGTCGCAGGTTGGATCATCTCTATCGCCGAGCGGTCAGCATGAATGTCGATTCGACACTGCATTTTAGCATGGTGTCCAAGGTTGCGTGAAGCAGTGTGGCTCTGAACCACTACGACCTCCAGGATATTGACAGGCCATCTCATCTCGCCGATATCACTGCATTCTCTAACTCACATATTGAACTATTCTACTTTTCCCATACCTCAGCTAGAAAGTGTGTCTACCGTGTCATGGTATCGGGCATACCAAGGGCGTAACGGAGCGGGTGAAAAAGAGAGCAATGGCTGACAAGCGAGGTTGATCAGCAGTTTACCAGTTGGCTGCAGATAAGGTAGTATAAATCACCGTTCGCACTGTCTAGCACTGGATAAGTATTTCCTTTGCGCCAAGCTATTTTTCACAATGCAAAAATTTACTTATACAGCTACTCAAGAATGCGAGGCAAAGCAGGAGAAGAATGAAACTCAAGCAATCGACATTCAATCGGACGATTTCTCTATGCGTACTAGCTGACCATCAAGCACGATTAAGCTTCCTTCCTTCTCCTTTCCAAGGTTCACGTCTAGTACAAGTTGAATGTACCATAAAATTTAAGCCGAGAAACAACACAGGTATATTCTTGAGCGAGCTAGGTCGCCGTGGCTGAACCAATTGCGCCGACCTGAATGGCTACGTAAATATATCACGTTCCCGTTGACACTCGGATCTAACCGAAGTGTGGGCCACCATAAACCGTTCAAGTTTGGTTATCAGAGATACAAGGGGGGATACCTAACTGTCGGCATCCCGCCAACCTTGAGGGGAACGACCCAAGACGGCTAGTGCACAAATAGTTCTAATATAGTCAAGAATTGATGTAATATATGCTATGTGTTGGTAAATACCTAGGACTAAGTGCTTCTATTCATCTCCAGCCCCAGCCAATGAGTAGCCGTCTCTCCTGGCGAGCCCCGATATAGCCGTTGTCTTGGCGAGACCCTGATCGGTATCGTAGCCGCGATAGTACTTCGTTTTCGTGAGCTGCTGTTCTCCACCTAAACACAATTCGCCGATATCATTCTGAGATGAGTTACCCATCCAACCAGGCGCGTCATCCAAAGCTTTGATACGGTCAGTGTGCTGTGTTGCAAGCAAAGGAACCTTTTCAGAGATGGAGGCCCCGATACGCAACATGGCAAATGAATCTAATTTCTCAGTCCATCGCGGTATCCAAGCACTATAGAGGGACAAGGCGAGAAGGAAAAGTAGATGAAGGCCTAAAAGCACCGAGATGAAGATAACTCCGGCGCGCGATATGCTTGGAATCTGCAAGTCCGCCCCCATATCATAAGACAGATTGATGCTCTTGGATCCCGTATAAGGGTTCATCATGATCGTATCAATGGCCAAGAATGCAGCCGAGGCAAATGCGTTCTGGACGCGATCTGAATAGGGCGCTGTGTCCTCTCCAGAGAAGAGCCAGAAGTACCACGCAACTGTTGCATGCAGCGTCATGTTGTTGTTGATGGTACTGTAATTCCCAAGACTGCCCACCAAGCCAGAACCCTGGAGACAACTGGCGAAGTGAGATAGTGACCCGTCTATTGAATCTGGCGTAGTAAGAAGCGAGATAAATGGGACGACGGCGATGCATTCATCGTATATGGTATTCGAGTTTGCGTAGGCTGCAAGAGATGTATGCTCGATATCAGCCAGGGATCCCTCTCCGAACAGCGCCATCACAATGTTGAGAAGTGGCCCTTTGTTGTACACACGATTTACAGCATATGTAACGTTCATGGTAGAATCCGATGGGTTGTAATATTGAGATGACAAGTCTTCTCTTTTGGAGATCCCAACCGACGAGCTATTAGTCTCCCATGGGTTCCCTGAAAGCAGTGGTCCTGGGACTTGCCCATTCTCGTAGTTGGGTAGTTCGAAGTAGCCCGTTGTGGTGTCAAGCGTCAACTTCTTGGAGTATATTCCTGGGGTGACCGGGAGTCCTCCCGGGAGAACATCCACCTCGTAATCACCGGAGAAGTTCATCTTTAGATAGAGCTCTTCGTGGAGATCTTGTCGAGCCCTTTCATTCTTCCACGGGGACTGCGACATGTTTCCTGGCATACAGATCTCGATACTATACTGAAAGATATCGTGATACTCATAGCGAATATAATAAGCGTCGGAGGAAAAGTTGCATTCATCCGGAAGATTTGACACCGAATTATTCATCCAGGTCACTGTTGAATTGACACGTGGTGCATATTGTTGCTGCTGGAGTCCGGTATTTATACCTGACGGAAGTTCTGCCCAAAAAGGGCGATCTATAGACGTAATGTTTGCGAGCGTGTTTTGTGCCGTTGTTTGAAATGGTGTTGAGAGCCCAGTATCGATCGGGAACTTGTTCATTGGAAGGGTGGCATTATCCATGGACCAGAGTCTGGGTTGCACCTCGGTGTTGCTTGTTGCAGCCAAAATTGTTCTCAACTGGGTCGATATCTTTCCACTGTCACCTTCGGCCTGTGGGTCATAAGGGGGGTGGAAGAGATCAGTGAAGTCTGTGACCATAGGAAGGTCAATTGGGTATATAACACGCTTTATTGTCGCGTATGAGAGGAAGATCTGCTGGACTGGAGATATGACACCACCTGCAACCATGAAATACTATGAGTATCTTATTCAATCGCTGATAATAGAATAGGCTTGGCCGGACACCCTTATTTAACTCACCTAGAACGTTCAGGAAAAGAGCAAAAAGGAGAAGAGAAGATCTGTATCTACTCCAGCCACCAAAAAAGAGCTTGGTCAAGAGTGCAATGTCTGTCCATCCTTTGTCCGCAAGAGCCATGCTTTGCCTTAAAGTAAGGCGTCTGACCTCTGATCGACGTTGTAGATAAACGACAGCTGCTTGAGAGCAGACAGCAGACGTCAATGGGATAGTGACAACTGACACCAGAGACTGAACAACTCGCGCCGCCCTCAGGTAGCTCTCGCTCTTCGTAAACAAAGCGGCTAAGTATGAGTGTGCATTCGGATATGATCTCATCATAGCGTCAGTGTGATTATTTTGGACCTCCTCATATGCCGTGGCGCCGTAGCCTGTTCCACCTATAGGGCGATCTTTGAGAATGCAAATGATTACCCACGCATAGAGGGCGGCCCCACCGTATAGCAGAACCAAAGGCACAATGTATATGGAGCGCTTCAGGGGTACAGAGGGGCTTGAATGTTGGTATGTATCTTTGGTATCTGAGCTCTGTCGCGGAGAGGATGGTTCACGCTCCGTACTGGATACCGGGGCAACTGAGGCTCCATGCAAGCGGTCTCTTCGCAGTTCCATATGAGGCTCGAGTTCTGGTGCGCGATCGAGATCGGTTTCTAGCGACTGCGGCATCTTCGTTATCGATAAAGTTGCAGCGTTGATATGATCAAGACTAAAAGCGATGCGAGGAGTAATCAAGGTGACTTTTAGCGTCTTGCTGAAGGATGGTTTGTTTTGACCCACAAGAGATGAATATGGGCGGTGGAGCAGTTTCGTGCCCAGCTTGGGAAGAACGTACAGTACAAAAGTTGGAGGAAACACGTCATTCTAGTACTTGGTAATAAGTAGGTCCGTCAAACTGTACCCTTGTAATATGTTCAGGATGATACCGCTAGGTTACTTAGTAATTGAGATCAGGATTGGCTCACTATTTAGCGGGAACCGGGAGTGTCAAGCCGGCTGGGGCTGCGTATTGTATTTATGTAACATCAGTTGGGGGCTGGGACGGATTGGTGCATGCGAAGTCGAAGGGAGATCGGCACGAAAGATGAGAAGGAAATTGGGATGGGCGCTAGCGACGAACAAGGCACACTGGCAAACAGCATAGAGGTCCAAATCACTCCCTGTAGAAGAAAGCAGGAGTTATGTCGGCCTGGATCCCCTAGACGTTTCTGTTCCTGGCGATATTACCACGACGAGAAAAGGGTCAACCGTGAAGCTGAACGCTAAGGCGCAATTGTCGGCGGGGGCGGGACGGAATTCGTATAAGAACGCAGTAAGCTTGACTGCGAGGCGCTAGATTTTAGAGTCCGCCTTGTGTTGATTGGAAATGTGCCCCTCAGGCACAGCGTCGTCGGTAGTAGTGTGGGGTATTTCCCCCGGTCGATCAGTCCATTAGGGACCGGAGGGATATGGATGGCGATTTGGCAGGATGTGATCGGAAATACGTCGCTAAGTTTAAAACTCTGCAATGAAAAGGACATCGTGAACCAAATGAGCCTCGGGTGACAATGGTACGTTGGCAATGGAATTGCGAATAGAGCAGCTCCTAGACTACAACGATCTAGAACATTTGACAGTTCTTGGATACAGAAATTCACTTCTTAGCCAAGACAAACATGTCTCCAAACCAACCGTACGCCCTATTCAACCGTCGCCCATATTGACGAGCGACCGTAAAAGGCAATTTACCCCGCGGATGGGGCTCGTGGAATTGAATGTTTCTTTCAACATCCAGCCTGGTCGACTGGAATTGCCAAACAGACCCGTAAAGCTTCATGACCGTGAAACCGACAGACGTCATGGCATGCAGAAAATCATTCCACGGGACTTCACCCGGTGTGGAAGTCGTGGCAGGGTTGAAGAAAACAGTACGGAAGACCTTGAGTGCCCGCGCATCAACTGGGAAAGAACGCTGGGGATCGACATGATTGGGCTGTGTTAGGATTCGGCTACTGTGGGGGTCGTGGCGGGGCGCGCCTTTCCACGAACGAGTCTTGACCTTGTTCTTGGGTTTTTGGATGTCGAGATCTTTCGCCGTTGGAGCCGCATAAAATTTGGAAATTGGTTGATACCAAGTGTACTGGTCCACTTCGATTGCTTTCTGCTGTGCTGGTACGGCGGGCGACGGCTTCTCTGGTTCAACCCACTCTCGGGTACGTTGTAAGATGCGTGGCTGGGACAGTAGTTTCCGAATTGCGCTATCACGCAAGTCACCAGCTTTAGCGATTATGAGATGATCAATCGAGACCCAGAAAGCGTCCAAATTGCCCTCGGCCTCGCGCAGAGCTTCCACGTTCTCCAGAGTGCGGCGCTTGTCGACAGGATAGACGAATTTGCTCCCCGTAGGCTGTCCCGGGGTGACGGCCCTAGATGATATGCTCTTCTCGTGGAGGGCGGCCAAGATCTTGCCCAATGATTGAGTTCTCTGCGCATATTCTTTCTGCAAAGTCTCATTACGATCCGCAGTTTCAGACTCAAAGGATCTGGCCCATGGATGATACAGGCCCAGCTGATTCAGACATTGGGAGATGATGGAGAGATCACCAATGATTGCGGTAATTCTAGAAGAGAGTAACTGTCCTGCTCGGGGTTCGGATTGGATAAGTCGTTCTATCTCATCGATCACCAGAGGCATACTAGCCAGGAACAGGTCAGTCCCATCCTCCCACAACGTGCGAAGCAACCAAACTAATTGCTCCTCCACGTTATCCATCTTGAAACCTGGTCTCGAAATAACACGGATCTTCGGCGACTGATAATCGGCGGGCGGCTCGCGGATGAAGAACTTTCGCAGGGGTGGAGAGGCCACAGCGGCGAACTTGAGGTTGCCCAATGGTCCTTTGGCCGATTGGCTGACATAGAATTGGAATCGGAGCAGGGCCTCGAGGTATTCCTTAGGCAGATCCTTCGAAGGCGATATGTCGCGAGCATATTTCTCCTGCATTGACGCCAACTTCTTGGCTTGGCTGCTGAGTTCCGAGAAGTACTCAAGCTCGATGTACGCGTTCACAACGACAGAGCCGATTACGCGCGCCCAAAGAACATCGCGTTGTCCGTGGCTGAATACTGGGTGATCGATTCCCATAGTATCCTTCAACATTTCCTGCCCATGGTCTTGAGCGTCAAGGACAGCCCGGGAAAAGTAATCAGGATCCTCTCGCAAAGTCCAAAGGTGATCTTCCGCAGCAGCAGCTCTCGCGGCCAGCAGCGACTCGATCAGACGAAGATCAAGTTCCGCTGGCACGCGGTATGGGAACTCTGCAGCCATGATACCCAAAGATTCAAACCCAGTAATCTCACTTTCAGGTTTGAGTAGTGGTTCTGGTAGGATAGGAAAAGAATCACTTGTCAGGGTGGGCTCTGGAATGTCATGAAGAAGTTCCAGGCAGCATTGTTCGAGAGTCTTCAAAAGCCGCTCCTGTACCTCCAGAATCAACAGACCCTCCCCAGGAAGGAATTGTTTTTGCTTGGTCATCCAGTCAAACGCGTCAGGGTGTTCATCCCAGCCCACAAGTTTGCCGTATTCCCGTGTGTTCTCAGTCATGCCATTCAAAACCATGATATAGTGGTTTAGGAAAATAGGCACAATTGCTTTTAGACACCAGGCCCAAGTGCATGGCATTGATATCGGCGGCAGCAAAATGCGAAGGTGGATGGCGGCCTCTTGCATTCAACAGCAAAGGCAGCGCCTTGGTGCTGAGGAGATCCTCTTGGTTGATGAAAGGACTCAGAAAAGAATCACGGTATTTGGTACCTCTGTTGCGGTCGGCCTCTGACTCCTTCCGGAAAGCCTCAAAGTCGGGACGATGCATTCTCGGCATGTTGGGCCAGGCATTGAGCAGGATTTTGAGCCTCTGTGGCCGAGTTTTCTTGAGCCATCGCTTGCGAATAGTAGCCTCATGGCGCTGTAGAATTTCATGCAGCAACTCGTAACTAGTGAAAATATTCGCCGACCTTGCTGTAGCCTCTTGGCGAACTTCCGGGGCCGATTTCATCTCGGGCATCGGGAGACCACCAGAGCCAGCACTCATAGCCTTGAAAAAGGATGAAGGATCATTCCAATCAATGCTACTGATGATATCGTCGTCAACATCATCATAGGGATCTGCACCCGGACCGAAAGGGTCGAATTGATGGTTCAGCCTGAGCTCCATTTCTTCCTCTATGGAGTCGTATGAGGTCAGAAACTGGCGTCTTATAAACTATCTACCGATTTTCAACATGAGTAGGTAGAAGAACAGGGCAAGGATGCGGGAAGTGAAGTTGTTAAGTTGGAGCAAATAGTGGGAGTGACTGATCACATGACCTATTGTGATGAGTCCATACACTGTGTCGGCGACTGGCCTATAAGAGTAAGGATCGGATCGTTTGTTCTTTGCAAACACAAGGGCGCGTTGTTAAGTCTAGTTGTCGCTACGACCTTACATTTTCCTCTGCATCCCCCCAGAAAATTTTCTTCAAATAGCAGACTTCCACCCTTAACGTTGACAAGGCCACCAATACGACCAATTCACAGCCAACCCTAACACAAAATAGCTCGAGGGGCGACCCTTGATCTTCATATATCATGTTTGAAGATTTAGCGGTATATAGTTCAGTATTCTTCCATCAGTTGCGAATTACGTTGTTGATTTTAAATTCAAAAAAACCATAGTTCAAAGTAGGTCCATGGGTACAAGAGGGTGGAGACATGGTAACATCTGACTGCGTTTCTTTCTATTTAAAAGGATACTGTTTCTTTTATTTATCGCCGTATGTTATCGTCTTCTTAATTCTCTTACAATCTCTGTCTATCTAAAATTCTGGAATTACCCTGACTGATGCAAAATCCACATCCGATCTGTTGGCTTGTTTTGGCCCCGCGCTGAAGGCACTCGTAGTGGAGCACAGCCCCCGCCATGTGATTTGACGCTATAACCCTCACTCCTCACCAGCTGGCGCTGAATGCACTCTTGTTGCTGCACATGAAGAGTCATGGATCCTGTGACGGCATTTGGGCTCTTTTCTGGTGCCATACAGGTTCTGCAGGCTATTGCCTCGACCGTTGGTGGCCTACGTCAGCTTACGGGGAAATTGCGAGAGGCCGATTTCACCATCCAATCCCTGATTCAGGAGCTAGCGTGCATTCGGACCGCACTCACCAGCCTCAAGGAGTGGCTCCGCATCCACCGTAGTGGCAACGGTCGCGATGGGACCAAACTCGAGGAGCTTGACCAGGACCTGGCTGTTGCCATGGATGGGTGTCGAGTTATTATGGAGGTCCTATCATACGAGGTCTTTGAGCTCGTTCAGAGCGCCGAGGAGAGCGGAGGCATTAAGTTCAAGACCCGCATGAAGGTTGTTTGGAATGAAGATACCATGAGAGGGCATCAGGAGAAGCTCCGTGCTCAAGTTCAAGCGCTACAATTGCTACTTCAAGTCTGTCAATGGTAGGAATACACACAGCTGATTCATGTCTTTTTCGAAAACTGACCATATCAGCCACTCATCGACCGAGCAGGTTCGTCTGCTCAGAAGGGCGACCACTCGGCAAATCATAGGCAAAGTCGCTGATGATACTGCGACACTCAGATCCGGTCGGCTAAGCCGTGTGGTAACCGACACAGACGTGATATCGCAGAGCAGCAGCCGGCGAGCTTTGAGCGATCGCATTTTTGATTTTGACGCGACTATCATGAACTCGCCTGTGTATCAACGGGCTTTGCAGCAATGGACGACACCCAGTCTACCTCAGGAGACTCGGCCATCTGAGCCGCCATCAAGACAGCCCAGTATCAGCGTCACCCAGGGCTCCTTCACTGATGAAGGCTACAGCAGCTATCACTCTGGCGGATACAACAGCACTGCACTGTCCCCTGAAATTGCTCAACAGCAAGAAAACTTTCTTGCTCTACCGAAAAGCCCTTCAGCGCCGTTACATAGCAGGAGTATCTCTCATACACAGGTTCCATTGCGACAAAATGTCGGAATCCGAAGAATTGTATCCGACTCAAAAGCTTTGACGCGAGGGCAATCATCTGGATCCAAGCGAGAGAAATTTTCCTCCTTGCTTGGACGTATCAACACAAGCAGCCGCCGAAGCCTTAGGGTGTCGCCAGTGGGCTCGCAGAACATACTAGCTTTGCCAAATAGCAGGGAACGAGGACACCGACTACGACCGAGCTTCCATACTAGTATTGATCTTACCAAAGATGGCGCATCGGTATCTCCGCTTATCAAAGCTGCCCAATCGGGCTCTCGAGATGAAGCAGAAAGACTCATCGAGTTAGGTTTTGATATTGAAGAACGACATGAACAATCGGGCCGCAATCCCCTCCTGGTCGCTTCACATTGTGGTAAAGAGGGCGTCGTCGATCTGTTAATTCAAAGCGGCGCTCGACTAGCCGTGACAGATGGATCTGGCGAGACCGCTCTCCATTTGGCCGCTTCGCGAGGGCACTGGGAAGTAATGGAATTGCTGTTGGTAGATCGGAGCCTCATCGAGACTCCAAATCTCAAGGGCCGTACCGCATTGCGTGTAGCGGCGGACTGTGGACAACCGGATTCCGTACAGGTCCTACTCATGTATCATGCTCAAGTGAACACTCGAGCCGAAAACCAGATGACAGCCCTCCACGCTGCTGCAAAGCGCGGAGATGGTGAGATTGTACAGCTCCTCGTTGCTCATGGCGCTGATGTGGAAGCTAAGGATGGAATGATGATGACAGCGTTGCACTACGCTTGTGAAGAAGGTTACCTTGATGCCATACAGATTCTCCTGGACCATCGAGCGAATATCGAGGCCCGGGGTCGAGACCGCAAAACACCATTGATCTGTGCCGCCGAAGCCGGACGTGCCCACGCAGTAAATTTTCTTCTCAAGAGAAGGGCATCTTCGCGCAGTACCGACGATAGTGAAATGACGGCCCTCCACTGGGCGGCGTATAATGGGCATGAAGAAAGCGTCAGAATCCTTAGCGAAAAGAAAGGGCTGCTTGATATGGTCAACAGCGTCGGTCGAACAGCGTTACATCTTGCGGTTATTCAATCCCAGTTTGCTGTTGTGGAGTTTTTACAGCGCAAAGGCGTTCCTCTCGAGATGCGGTGCAAGACGGGTCTAACTGCCCTTCATTATGCATGTATGGCGGACAATTTCGAGATTACGCGGTTACTACTTTTGACAGGCGCTGATGTCGAAGCGTCGGCGTCCCAGCACCAAGAGCGACCTTTACATATGGTCGCTGCTCGGGGCTCATTATTCCTTTTGGACCTACTCTGTGACAAGGGAGCGTCGCTCGATGCGCGCAATGGTGTTGGTGATAGGCCCCTTTGTGTGGCTAGCCGGTTTGGGCATGTTGAAGTTGTTCAGAAATTACTTGATCAAGGCTCACCGCTGTCTCTGAAATTTGGCACAGGATTCCGAGAAGACTCGCCATTGTGTCTGGCCGCTATGGGAGGTCATTTGCACGTGGCTTCTTTATTAGTATCACGCGGCGCATCTGTGTTGAAAAAGGATGAGGCTGGGTGGCAGCCTCTTCGCTACGCTGCGTACTATGGCCAACCGGATCTTCTGCAGTTGCTCTTATCAAGTGGCAAAGTGCCAGATGCAGATATCGCGGATACTATCAACATGCCAGACACAATTGGATTTTCTCCTGGTGTTACTGAGGAACGAATGAATCGTGTTCGACAGCTTCTCGATGAAAAGCTCAGCCATAATGCCCGACGACCGAGCGAAGCAGCTCTATCGAGTCAAATCGGCGTCTTCCAAGGTGGGAGTCTACACGACTCACTATCAGGGCCATATACATCTCCTCCCACCTTACCTCCAATATATCCGTCTGTAGCTGAAGCAGACAGTTCGACTCCTGTTGAACTTCCGGGCAGTTTGGATCAGCAGACGTCCGGTCAGGCCAGATCTGCTGAGATCAGCCCAAGGACTGCTACGCCAGAATCAAGGCCGTCCACCGAACAGCCGCTACCTTTGGCTAGTGACCGTGTCACTGCACTATTGAGAGAGTCTAGAGGCGCATCGCCTCTCAGGAATCAACACAGAAGGCTGAATGCGACTAGGAGTCGAAGTCGATCACGCCCAACTGAAGCCCCTCTGGTTTCTGCGACATACACACCTGCAGCATCTTCGTCTTTCATCTCACCACAGACACATCAGGGAAGCTCCCATAATAAGCGGGGTTTAGCACATCGGATGAAGGACGTGGTTTCTAAGAACCAGGCACATCCATCTAATTCAGCCCCCGAGCACCGAAAGGAGGCAGAACGGACTCCACGAACCATTCCCACAGAAGCTTTTGCAACAGCCCGAGCTGGCTCTCAGACTCGTCCGCAAAAGCAAGAAGATTATTATGATACCTCTGATTCCGACTCTATATCCTCCGTCTATACCGCACCCGAGTATGGGACTCCACCTGCCTCTACCGACACGGATTGTAGTGATGGAGTCCTGAACCGCGTATAACTGGGCGCGAACGCACGTTAGCTTCAACTTCCTCTTTCTCCCGCTACATTAATATAATTTAAGCACGATTCGAACACCAGATCAAAGCTTCTCTTGTATGTTTGTTTTTACTTGTGACACGGCGGTGTCGTCTCCCTGCATTGTGTGAAATAATAGAAAGATTTTTCTTAGCGGCCCGATATGCCAAATATCATACCGTCCGCTCATTTACAATTTTCTCAAACAACCAAAATGAAAATGGCATAGATGCGATCGAATAATGCTCCCATCATGAAACATCACAGAATCCTGAATTATCTTCATTTCCCTTCCAAGGCTATTGGACCAGCATTTCCTCTTGGTATAACAGAATGAGTCTGATATACCTGCGAGAGAAGTGACGTCAAGAAGGTTTCTAATAAGATCTTAATCACGGCGCAATATCGTTCTAAAAAAGGACAATTAGGGTATAGCCACAAAGGGTTAATTGGAGAGATATTTCGGGGCCCAAAGCGCCTGTTTGCCCAGTGAGAACCCAAGTTGATCGCAAGGCGCAGATTTCTCCTTGGCGATTGCTGATCCCCCAGAGATCCTCCCAACCAGCATGAAAGCACTGTGCCCCTAGGCCACTCATGCTCTTGGTTGACATTGCTAAGCTTGAAAGCCACAAAATGAGATTGTACATAAAGCAGATGCTACCCCATTTCAAGCAATTGCTAGTCGGCTAATTCGCAGCAAAATGTCGACCTACTCATCTTCAGTTTCGACTTCAAACTCTCAAGCGGCAGCCGTCGCGGAGAATCTCAAGAACGATCTCACAATTGCAAAATGCAGCATAGATATAATAGTTTGTATCTGTGCTTTGGGCAGCTCGACTTGGCTTCTATTACTCCGTCGGCGAAATAAATATGATTTCAAGGCTCTACCCATGTGGACTATCCCGGGTCCGTCGCTTCAGTGTTTCTATGAGTTGCTTCATCTTCAAGGGAATACTATGGGAATGAATGTTCATCAACATGTACTAACCCACGAGTTTGCAGTTACGAAATGTTCGCTCTCCCTTCCTAAGGCCAGGGTCACTCAAAGACGTCCAATTCGTCCAAGGCTTATATCGACTTCTACTATCTCGCATTTATTCTAGGACCTTTCTTCCGACATACATCCATCTGCACGGTATTTTATACTTTTTACAAAATCATCCATGTCAGCCTCCAGGTTCTCGCGACTGAAACCAAACCGCCTAGATGGATCAAGATCCTACACTGGAGTATCCTTGGAGTCAGCGTGATAACTTCTATCATTGACTGGACTTTTTACATCCACCAGATGCTGGCACAGAAAGCTCGGTCTTCCGGTCATTCTACTCGCGCAATGACTGATATTGCAAATCACCTGACGTACATCGAGATTACAACGTCGATTACCAGATGGATATCATCCATGGGGATTTTAGCTTGGACTATATTTCTGTCTAGTAAGGCCATAAAGTCTCAGTTTAGGATAAGGGTAAGTGCATTGGGAACTATTAAGCTCCAAAAACGTCCACTGAATTTGCAACACCAGACACCCTCAATATTCCTCCTCTTCGGAAGTGTATTATTCTTCGCATTGAACACGATATGGGCCATTTACTATATCAACCTACTTGTAACCGCAAATATAGCAGCCACGCTTATCTCCGGCGTGGGTCTTTCACAAACAATTTTCATCTTCCTGGGGTATCTCGGGATCTTGCCGTTCTGCGTGAGATGGGGTTTGGTCCAATGGGACAGCCCAGAAAAAGACGAGGAACAAACCATTCAACGTGGTGAAGATCAAGAGCCCCCTCCACCAGCGGAGATGAATGTCAATCCGAAACTTTCTTTGTCGCGGAGGCAGACTCACGGATGGTAGTGGAGGCTTATGAGGCGAAACCAGTCGTAGCAGCAGACTCATCCAGGTCCATTGTGGAAACTGATTCCACAATGATCAGCAAAGCCCAAGGGGAATGTCCGCCTCAATATAAGAATATTGTTCAAGCAAAAAATCTAGAAATTCATGAGATTTTGATGGTTGCATATGTCAAAACTGCAGAAATCCTTCTACAATGCAGTTAGAGAAAGCTCAAATCATGTAATTTTCAATGCTCATATACCGAGACACAAGGTTTTAATTCATGTTAATATGACTAGTTACCTACTTTTGTTGGTCAGTTCTATCATATATTCTAACTCAAATGCTCCAATAATGTTGAAGGGCGTTCGAACTTTCCGATCAATCCTCAACAAGATCTTTTTCCACTTCCACTGAAAGACGTGCCAGAACCAAGCTTTTTTGATTCAGATCTAACCCGGAAATTGCATTTGAAAAGAGATGAAGCTGAAAGCCACGAGGTCTTGGGGTGAGCACGAAGACATGTGAGGCCTTCAGCCTCATCCTATCACTTCCGATATAGATATTCTGCCCACCCAGAGAGACTTTATCGATTGTAGAAGGAGGAAATACCTTTTTTGTGCATCTGTCTCTTTTCTTCTCCCACTTCATCTCAACATCTTCCTTCCCTCGCGTTTCCCACTCCAACCAGCAAAAATCATTACTTACATCCACCAAGATGGCATTTTTGTTCGGTGAACATGTTATCTCTCAAGACGGCAAGTTCTATTGCCGTATCTGTCAAGTCCAGTACTCCTCCTACGACGCCATCTATTCGCACTGCCAAGCTGCCGTGCACCATTCTTGGTGCCAGGCCTGCGAGTTGATGTTTCTCGATGAGATCGAGCTCACGGAGCACCTGAAGGACTGGGAGTACCATCACTTCTGCCCAAATTGTGCTGGCAAGATGGATTACACCGATGAAGAAATGCTCGGCGCTCATCGTGCGGAAGCCCACTTCTGGTGCCAAGAGTGCGACCTCCTCCTGGCATCAAAGAGGTGCTTCGAAACACACCTCATCTACGAGCATGCCGCCTGTGAGGTCTGCCTTGAAGTCTTCAAGGACATGGAGCTGTGCCGCGCGGTAGGTTCATGTCCTTATTTCTATCCCATCCAACCAGGAAATACCACTAATACTTGATCAAAGCACCTAACAACACACCTCCATGACGAGTACCGGTGCCCGGGCTGCGACAACACCGCTGAGACTTTCTCAGCAATCATCCAGCACCTGGAGTCAAGCAGCATCTGTGGGGGTTTCGAGGAAGTCATGCGCCTCGTGAGAGAAACGCCGGGCTCCGCAGACTTTTACATTCGTTCGGCATCCGGTTTCGACTTCCACTGCAAGAGTTGCTTGCTACGCTGGGCCACTCTCGGCGAACTTGCCTCGCACCTTGAGGGCACCGTCGATTGTATGTGGCTCATGGGCCCAGATGAGGCATTTTCATTCTTGCGGGACTCTCTCGGTCAACGTCAACAGCGGGACTCGCCCTCGCCTGACTGACTCAGTGCGAATGACTCTTAGCGCACTTTACAGATTCATTTCCATCTCCTCTCTGACAACTGTGGAGTATGATAATTTTTTCTCCAAGGCGGTTATTATGAGCGAGCACGCGGGCATGGTCATGTTCTTTGTCTTTTTTTATTCTTTTTCACACTTTCGTCCCATGCATGTTAGATTAGGCCAATACCACAATAAGAAGTCATGACCTCCTCCCAATTCCAGGTTTCGGTTATCTCTTCGGCTGTTCCATAATGTCTGTAGCGGAGATTGCGGAGTCTGTTCAGGGACAACCAGCATTGTGAATCGTCGCAGTTAGGGCTAACGGTCGGATATAGTGCGTGGTTCGACGAGAGGTGCGTGGCAAAGAGCGTGTTGTCTAGGGATGCCCTTAAATATTTGTTTGGTGTTTTGACTGTAGGCCGCGGTTGTGATCGTCGCGGAAACACCGCCTACCCGTCCGAGTCATTATTCATGCCTTAGGCATAAAATAGTTTGTCAATTACCACGCTCCACGCACTTTGGCATTCCCTGAGGCGATCTATATATAGTGACGTTCTTGTCGCTCGAACTGGTCAGCCTTAAGCTATTGAAGGCATGCAGTCCACTAATATCCTTCTTTTCTAGGCATCCAAAAACCATGCTGTCGTCGGTAGGCTTGTCGTCACTCTTATCGTCATTTGGCATCTGCCTATTACCCTCGAAATCTCTTCAAACCAAGAGTTTGAGTGCTCTTGGAGGTCAACTAGCAAAGCTCAATAGATCAAAGCCTACCTCGCCAGTTGACAGAAAATTCCCACATTTGCCGATGGTCCCCTACGGCCTTTGGTTGAAATTCACACGATCAATCAGTGCCTACACAACAGGGTTTTGACTTTAATCTCTGAGCGCGGGGTCTCTTTATTATTTGACCATGAGCAGCCAGGAGATCCTTTAGGTCCACAAAGGAAAGTGGACACATATTAGAGAGTGTTTCAGTGGTTAACAATCTCTATCATCATTTCCAAACGCACATGGTGCCTTCATTTTTAGACTGAAAGTCCCTATTGTGAATCGGCGGCATGTGCTCTTCAATTCCTCCTACTCAAATCCTACACAGTTCTCTGTCAATCCTCTGAGCGGCTCTCATCCGGCGAGATCCCGACCAGCAAAATGGCCCCATTGTTCGCAGTCTTCAGAGCCTAAAGAGGAAAATGTAAAGACTATTCCAGGGTATCTTCGGCGGCTAAAGTAACACACACTACAACGCCATTCGATTGTTAGAGAAGACTCAAGCATTGTAATCATTACCAATCATCCATCCGAGTCAGCCGTTGCACCGTATACCATGATTCGGGAAAATGAAGGCGATCGGCATCAGTCCAGCACTACCCGAAGTCATCCATGTTCCTGGCTCTTTGTATTATCAATCCATGATGCCGTGTGTCCCATATGTTTATTGTTCCTGATGTTTCGCTTTGGCCCCGGCCCCAGCTCCAAGAAACTGGTACAACGTGGGTTTCTTATTTCTTATTTTTATTTTTAGCATCTAACTTACGGGCCGGCGCGAACGGCATGCACCAAATATGACAGTTTCTTTATCTGTTCGCGGTTAGCTCAACGCTCCAAGTGCAAGATTGGGGTCGTGTTGTGTTAATTTCTTCAGCCGGGTTTTGTACTACTGCCGGCCGGTGGGATTGACAGATAGACTAGTTTTTCCACCGCTATTTAGTGGGGTAGTGACTTGTTTAAACTAGCAGATAACTAACCGGCAATTGTATATCTCCCAACCAAGCAACTGCTAAGACTACGGGTGCTATTCTTAGAAAGCTGACACAAGTACTGACACCATTCTCCGCCTCTAACATGTGCACACGCAAAGACAGTTCTACAAGGAACAATAACTCCAATGTTACCATTTCATAACAAAACTAATCAAATGAACCAAAAGGGTCACCGACGTAACTAACCGATAATTCGTCCGTGCCGGCCCTTGTAACAATTTGCACTGAGCCTCAGGCGCTACGGTCGCGACGATTCTGTCCACTTCAGCTGAAAGGCCGATAGTCCCCAAGTCGAGTCATCGACTAATCAACCACTCACCTAAGCCGGTCCCTGTCCACCGCAGGCGTCCTAACGACACGGTAGTATTTGTCATAGATAATCCTGGGTTAGGGCGTGCCGAGTGTATGGATAGTGGCTCAGGGAAAGAGGACATTTGTGGCTTGGTCGATCCCCCGTGGCTAGTAGGGGCGCTTGTTGTTAGCTGGAAGCGGAGCTGATCACTGGTAATTCCTTGCTCCGTTTTCGCTCGCGAAGAGTATGAGTCCGCCCTGACTCAGACATGCACGTCGCGACGGAGGGTGCCCGATATTGGTAATTTCCTGGATTTCTCGCGCTACTTCGGGCGGTTTTGTGAAATCACGTCTAGAATGTTTCCTGGATTGGGAATTGGGGCTGAGGACCTGCTGGGAGACTGCGTGGTTCATTGGACCTGGTAGGATGAGCTCAGGCAGACATCGCGCCGCAACTTCAGGCGATGATGTGTTTTGGAATTATGGGGGTTATTTTTTTTCCTCTTGAAACTGTCAAAGTGGCTGGAGTTGTCTTTATGAAAGTTTTTTATAAATAAGGTCGTCGATCATGGCGATATGGGTTTTTTCTTTTTTACATCACAGATCAGAGCCTCTATTAAATTGCGATATAATTCAATCTTCATACTTCGACCAGTTCAGACACTATCGTACACATACATCACAGTCAACTGATCAACTTTTCTAATTGATCTTCTTCAATTGACCATCCACCGCATCTGATCATATTGCCTCAATCGATAATATCCTCTCTATTCACACTTCAAGGCATCGTCCACACATTCAAAATGGGCCGCGGCGGATACAACGGACCTGCCAACGACGCAGATGAGAACGACGAGCAACGTGTCACTAATTGAACTGATAACAAATGCCCAACGAGTCCCAGCGACGGGCATCATCATCGTCACCTTAACACTCCACTTAATGGCACGCAATGGACACGAGAACGAGCAGGAGCACCCAGCAAGGACTGGGACTTGACTTGAAACAACATCGCCACTCCACTTTGCAAGGGTTCCAGGAGCTTTTCGCATCCGAATATCCGGGGCACGAGATCTCGTATTCCCACGACGCATGGGTACCATGAGCATCGACATCACTTTCCAACGCAGAATCTACAAAGGTGTTAGTCGCACCACTGGGGGATTCCAGAAAGGGGGGCTCACTTCTCAAAGACAACGCCGAGCACATCTTCAACATCCCCGCTCTCGCCTTTGCCGGTAATTTTTGCCAGCATGTCGGCGGCGAAGCGCAAGTGTTCGGCGGCGGTCACGATATCGATTTCAACCTCGACGGATGCTGGATCACGGTCAGGGGCGTAATGGGGAGCATCGGAGGCTGCAGCAGTGGTGGCCTGGGATAGAAAATCGTTCAGGTGGTCGAGACATTTCTGTAGATTCGAGCTTTGTCGATGTGTGACGCCCAATGAATCTTCCCAATACGATTTATCGTATTGACCATGTTCATCGCCTTCCGTGCCAAGCGGCGAGGCTATCTGTTCAAATGTCGAAATGAGCCCTCGTAAAAATGCCTGTAAATTGCCCGGGTCTGCTTGACCCAGACCTTTATTTCCAACAGAAGGCAGCGACCGGCGCTGCGCTTCATCGCAGGATATAGCAAAGACTCGATCTGCAGGCACAGCTGGGAAGACATCACAAATAGTGTTCGCCAGAGCCTGGGGTAGCGATTCACCCCTCTCATCAGCGGGTAATTTGTCGCATTTGTTGACCGCAACAACGAGGCACTTCCCAGCCTCCACACAGTCATTCACGGCGTCCAAGACCTCAGGTTCCACAGACAACCTCACATCCCCGCCCACATCTTCCAGCGAGACAACCACAACCACCACATCAGAATCAAGGGCTCTCTCCCTAGCCCTGCGAATCCCCTCCTTCTCAACAGCACCAATCACAAGCTCCACAGACCCACCAACCTCAGCCCGAATCCCAGCCATGTCACCAAGTTTGCAATACCACCCCCCAAGGTCAACACCAACATCCACAATATCACGCGTAGTCCCCTCCTCGGTGCTAACAATAGCCGCCTCCTTCCCAACAACCCGATTCAATAACGAACTCTTCCCGGCATTCGGCGCCCCTAACAGTGCAACCCGAATCCCACTCCGCAATAATTCGCCCTTACTAGCATTCTGCACATGAAACCCAATCTGCACCGCCAGATCACGCACCTGCCCTGCGACAGAGGTTACAAGTTCCTCAGTTGACTCGTCGAAATGCTGATCTTCGGAGAAATCAATCAACGCCTCCAGCTCGCCACGCGCATAGAGCAGCGTCTGCCGCCAGCGTTCGTATCGCTTCAAGAGGGCATCGCTTGCCCCGCGTACAGCTAGGCGTCGCTGCTGCTCTGTGTCGGCGGATAGTGTATCTCCCAGGGCTTCGATTTGCGGAAGCCCGAGGCAGTCGTTCATGAAGGCGCGGCGGGTGAATTCGCCCGGTTCAGCATACCGGACTACCGTGTCAGGGTGATTGGTGCGTGCTATAGCGGAGAGGACAGCTTTGACAATTGCGGGCCCGCCGTGGATGTGTAGTTCCAATACGTCCTCGCCGGTGACGGTCTTCGGGCCGGGGAAGTAAAGGACTAGGGCGCCCGCGTCAAGAACAGTGCTTGGGGAGGGCGGATGCGAGGGGTGGTATAGGGTGCGAAGCGCCGCAAAGCGCGGTTTCGGGAATGGTTTGCCGGGGCATAGGGCCCTGTATATCTAAGGAGGGCGTTATTAGTATACAGGCGCGAAATGTGGATCAAGCGTGAGAAGATACGTACCAAGGCGCATGCTGGACCAGAGACTCGTACGACGGCAATTGCTGCTCTTCCTGGTGCTGTGGATAACGCATATATTGTTGAGTCGGCATCTAGCATGAACCGTCGTTGTTGGGAAGATGAGAAGCTTCGGACGTGGTTGGAAGTTCGGTGCGGAGCTCGCGCGGAGATCGGGACATGACTTCGGACGAGTGGGTAGTCACCTATCCCTGAACTCTTCGGATGTGAATGTTTCCATGATGGGCGGAAGGGAGAGGCCCAACGCAAGACTTGAGGGCGAGATGCTCGCATGCAGATAGCTGGGGTTAGTGCGGAGCTGGAGGAAGTTGAATCAAGTTGGCGCAAATGATGCGATAAGAAACAGGTCACGTGAACATATTTGTATGCATCGCACCAAGATCGACTGATAAGATTACCAGACAGTAGCCGCACACTAAGTATGAGAGACGACGTTTTTAATTAGACTCCTACCTATAAAAAGACAACACTATAAGCGGTATCATAATTTTCGGAAAGATACCACAAAAGATATTCGTACCATCAGATATCAGATACTTAGACACAGAACGATAAGCATCATCATGCTGAAGTCTGCCTCTATTTACAACAACCCGTCCCGAAGCCAACTCCATCCAAATCCCACATAGACATATCTACATCTCACCCAAGGACCTTCGAATCCACCACCACGAACCAGCATCCTCCTACACGTCATTCTAGAGCAACATACCCAGTACAAAGTGAAGCAAGACAAAAGATAGCTAAGACCATATACCATCGAAAAAGTATACAATTCGATGCCCAACCCCAGCCACAGACAGTATACACCACCGGCGTGCCCAGGAACGCATATAAAAGCGGCTTTAAAAAAAAGGAAGAAATTATGTACAAAGAGAGAAAGATCACACAAGGCAACATGACACCCAAGTGTAAATGCGAATGCGAATGCGAATGTGAATGTGAAGCAAAAATCTACCCTCGACCGAGCCCAAAGATTGCACACGAAGAGGACGAAAGGGGGGTGGGGAGGAGATGTGGGGAATGAAAAAGGAAATAAAGAGATGAAGAAAGGAGGAGGAAATTTCACAATTAACAGACGATGGTATCATGGCACCATGCTTTGCTCATCACGGTGAGATGGGGAGGTGGACAAGAAAAGGGAAAAGAAAGTGCGGAGTTTGGAGGTAGCGGGTGGTAGGTCTGATGAGGTGGGAGATGTGAGGCAAAAGAAGAGGGAGAGGAGGGTATGATATGATACAGGTCGAGGACTATGATGAAGGTGTGTGCGGTGTGATGCAAAATAAACAAGCTAAAGAGAAAGAGCATTCCGAGACGGCATCAGGGAGGATCTATCAGGCATTAGATTATGGGGCGGCCAGGCAAGTATGATGAATGTGACCCAGGGGTCCAATCTGCTCTCAATCCGATAGTTCAATCGCATGGCTGGCAGATGATCCGTCAGCCTGGGAATCTTGTTCGGGTGCACCATCGTCATGCTGTTCAGAAACAACAATCTCGGGAGGCCCCAAGGGCTTGGATTCATCTTGCAGAGGGCTCGGCAGTGGCTGGTCGTCAGTACCGCCGGGAGAGTCCGTCCGTGATGGGGAGGTCGGTTCGTGGACGGGTGCGAGACCAGATCCAGAGCCATCGGCGCTGTCTTTGCTCCCGCTCGTTGCACCATTACGTCGTCTCATACGGCGTTGACGACGTTCTTCATCGGCACTTTCCCGCCGGCGACGCTGGCGCTCCCCGTTGGCATCAGAGTTGCTCCTCAAACCTAGGAGCATACTGGCGGCGCGGTCAGCAACATCCTCGCCTTCTGAAATCTGAGCGTCTTTAGCGCCTTCTTCACCCTCTCCGGGAATGGGCGGGCTCAGCAGGCCATCCTCATCTGTTTGGGCACTGCCATCAGCAGGCTGTTCTGACCCATCACCTCCCTCGGCACCCGAGAAATCAGGCACCTTCTGACCAGAAGCAACGCGAACTTGATGACGTTCCTTAAGACGAGCACGACGGCGACGATCTCGCACATCCTTAGCTTGAGGCGCAGCAGCCCGCAACTTCTCAAGCAACGAGTCCATAGCTCCACTAGTAGCAGGCGAACTGGGTGCCTCGGGAGCAGCGCCATTGGCAAGGTTGACATTGATCCGCTTGCGAGCCAGGGAAGCTTCCGTGCGCTTCCTGGACTCTTCCAGACCAACATTCTTCTCGCGCGATTTCTGTAAATGAAACGAATTAGCACCTCAACTCGATAACTCAACGCCTTCGCCATTTGACTAACCTTCCATTCCATCAAGAACGAAGCCAACTTCGCGAAGAAGTCCCGCCGGGCATTCTCATCGGTATTGTCCTCGCCGTAGAAGACCATGATATCGTCATACGTCTTGACCATCTCATCCAGGTACAGCTGCAACTGCTCAGCCTTGCGACGAGCATCCTTCATACTCCGCTGAACAACCTGGCTGACACGATCCTGGGGGTGGAACTTCTTCGGATCGCTGAGGTTACCCGCATCCAGACTAGACTGCACGTTCTTGATATTGCTGATGTACTTGATGGAATCAGTACGCAGCTGGTCGACGTTGACCTTCTGCAATCCGACGACACCTCCAATCTCGTCGCTGAAACCCTCCCATTCGGGGTACTGGTTGCGCACGATACGCTCGACAAGGTCTGCAAAGGTAGTCTCGTTCTTGTCATCCTTGACCATACCGAGGCGCGCAAGGGAGCTCAGTTTGAAACCTTGCGCCTGCTTGTTGGCGTCGTTCATGAAGTTACCGATATCCAGAATGAGACCGAGAACATTCATCAAAGACACCGAGTCACGCAGGGACTCGCTGACCCGGACCACCTCCTGCAATCTGGTGGAGATGTACTCATACTCGTGCTCGTAAGAGCGTGTCAACGCAAGAGCTCTCATACGAGCCTTCCAGTAGTGATTCAGCTCGAAAGCAGTAGAGAGATAAATCTGATCCTCGCGGGTAAGTTCACTCGGATCCTGTTCACGCTCAGAACTGGCAGCACCGGGCACAGTCCAGTCACGACTATACGGAGCCATCAACTTGGCAGCATTCTCCGGGATCGAGCACATCTCATCTCTTTGCAGAAAGTCCATCACAACCATATTATCCAAGATCTCCTTGTCACAGTGAATGATCATGCGAGTAACATCATCAGCCGGGAACTGAGAGAACTTGGAAAGGGCGATCTGGAAATTCTTCGACAAATCATTAGAGATAATCTGCTTCTTGTCCTTGCGCTGCTTCGCTGCGGTGCTTGCTCCGAAGATCTTAGTCTCCTTGGCCATGAACAGGCGCTCGACTTCGTCGAGGACACCCTTCTTGGCTAGGTCGGTATACTTCTGCTCCTTCTCTTGTTGAGTCGGTGCGTGGGCAGCCCAAACGGTTACCTGTGGGGTATCAACCTTGTCCCAATGCAGAGCCTTAAGTTTCTTCTTAGGGCGGATAGAAGGCATGCCGGTGATTGAAGAGGATAAATCGTCATCAACCATATACGTAGGTCTCCAGCCAGCGCCCAAGGGAGCGCTTGGGGGTGGAGGAGGGGGAGGAGTAAAGCCACCAGTCAGTCCAGGAGTGGGAGGGGGCGGGGGTGGCGGAAGCCCAATACCACCGCCAGGGGGAGGCGGCGGAGGAGGAATGCCAATCTTTCCACCAGGAGGGGGAGGTGGTGGTGGAAGGCCGGGGATGCCCTTGGCGCCACCTGGCGGAGGCGGAGGTGGAGGAACAGGAAGTTTCCCACCTGGGGGAGGAGGAGGAGGAGGAACGATGGCCTTGGCACCGCCAGGTGGAGGAGGAGGTGGAGGAGGAGGTGGAGGAGGTGGTGGCATTGCTTTTTGATCCGCCTCTGCCTTGGTCTCGGGAACCGGCTCCTCTGGCGTGGGAGTAATATCACCAACATCCTCGGGCTTCGTGGACTCGTCCACAGCAACGGCGTCAGGCTCGTCATCGTATTTAGGCACCCTGGAAGCAAGTTCACCAAGCAGGCCAGTAGCCTGAGCAGGGTTCATGCGCGGGCGCTGGTACTCAATCAAGCGAGACTTCTCATACACAGCCTCTTCATCCTCATCGACGGGAGACATGGGCAAACCATCCGGGCCCTGGTCCATCCCGGGCACATGGCTGCGCTTGCGGTAGACAGATCCCAGAGAACCAGGGTCCAGGGTGCGACGAGTAGACTCGACGAATTCCTCACTATCATCAACATCCCCTTCCATCTGCTCACGGAGCTCACGGAGACGGTCAGACGGACCATGTTGACCCCAAACCTTGCCTTCCAGCTTGAACTGAGTCTTAGTCCGCTCAAGCTGGCGCTCAAGGCGCTCCATGAGACGCTCGCGATCCATAATACCCGGCAGTTGGGATGGATCGGCGGAACCGGCCTCCGATGCATTAGCCTGTTTCCTAGCATTCGACGCGGCAATATCCTGAGCATCACGAAGCATAAGGTACAGCTCACGGGTCTCCAATTCATTGCGCTGCAATTCTTGAGCACGCAATCGTTGGACCTCAGCGACCTCGGCCTTGAGAGTCTCAGTCTGGCGGCCCTGGAGCTCAATAATGCCGGCCTGCTCATCGATCTGCTTTTGGAGTTTCTTGACGAGACCCTCAGCCCCAAGTTCCACCTGGGCTTTCATCTCATCACGCTCCGCGATGGCAGCCTCGGCGATCTGGCGCGCCTCCAGGGCTTCATCGTACACCCGTCTAGCTTCGGCATCAGTGTGCAGACGATCCAAAAGGCTCTGCACGGTGAAATTCAAGCCCTGACGGAGATCCAAATCGGGCAATCTCCGATCCATAGCAACGTAGCTCATCATAGCGTCGACGAGCTGGAACATGCGCAGACCTTCTTCTCCGGCATTCTCCCGAATCAGCAGCATATGCTGCATAGCCGAGAGGAAGTAATCATGCGCACGAGTACCCTGAATCCTAAGGGCAATAGCATCCGCAATTTGGAGGGGATCACTCATATCCTTGACCTCGCCCTCGACGCTATCCTTCATACTACTGTTCTCACGCTGCAAGAGGTCCTCATAGTCGATGGCCTCGTTTTCGCGGAAACGCTCGATCTGCTTATCGATGACCTCGTACTGGAAGCCCTCCATCTTCGTGAGGAGCCGCTTGACACCACATGAGATGAATTGCGCGCGGATATGGCATCGCAGTTGTAGATCATTCTCTGCACCGTCGACGAGCATGTTGATCAGAATCATTGTGGAGACCGCGTACTCCATCAGCAGATTCTCCATGCCAATGCCACCGCTGCGGTACTCCTCGCTAGCACCGACCAAGCTGCCCATCTTTCCACGGCCATCAATGGTGACTTCAGTGATACGCATCCACGCATCGAATCGGCCGGTCTCATTGTGGTCATGTTTGACTTTGTCCATAGACTGAAGGACCTTTTGGTGACCTTGACCTTCGCCCCAATGGCACAGGAAGGTGAGAACCTCGCTCACGAGTTTCCGAGTATTGAGGCGAGGGGATGAAAGCGAGTTGACAAGGGCAACTAAAACACCTTGGTGTTCCAAAGCATCGTCCGCACCATACTTGTTATTCATCAGGCCTTTCAAACATTTGGCAATGTCATATTCACGATCCAGGTCCTTATCACCCGATGGCGGAGCAGGAACAGGACCGGAAGCCTTGCGCCGGTTGATCTTTTGAAGAACATTGGTAAGGGCAACTTGACCCTGAGCTTCGACGAAAGCTTTCACCCAGCTGTATACAAAATGAGTTCCGCGTACCGTAAAAGACAACATGGCATACATCAGTTCGACTTACCTGATCGGCTGCGTCCGCAGACTCACACTCAGACTCGCAAGTTGCTTGGAAGTAATCGTATCATCCATAACTTTCTTCACATACCACTCCGGACTCCCTTCCTCATCTGCGCGCTCCAGCAGGCCAGAGAGCCCCTCATGCCCATGAGTCTGGCGGGCATTCTGTCTTCGTCTCTGCTCCCCCTGCAACTCCGTCAAACGATCCTGGTGCACCAAGGTCCACTTCTTCGAGGCCGGATACGACAGCATCTGCCGCTTCGCCTGCTCAGGAAGATTCTGCCATCCACGCTTCTGCATCAATTCCAAGAACAACTGGTCCACAATCCGGTCGTCCCGGGGCCGACTCAAGTAGTTATCCGATGGACGTGGCACTGCGGCGGGTATAGGCTGGTGCGAGGCTGCGGCGTTTGACAGACGTCCAGAACTGCCGCCGGGGAACATGGTATTGCGGTCACTCGAATGGGAAGGGGTGAGGGTGCGGGAGGAGCCGTCAGCGGAGAAATAGTTCGAGCCACGGGTATTGGAAGAATGCGACGAATATAAACTGGTCTGATCAAGTGATGTGCGAGAATTGGAGGATGAGTCTATCGAGTGATTCGCGGCGGAACTACCAGGGCGACCCCATTGTTGGTATCGTGTGCCCCGGTCTCCGGATGTACTGCCGGTCATGGTCATGCCCGAGGTGTGAGGGGGTGGGCGAGGGCCGGAGGGATGGGAGGTGTATCCGTTCGGCGCAGAGGAAGACGTCCAGGTAGGATATTGGTGGAAGTCACCACCAGACTTGCCAAGGTTGTTGGGCGAGGGTTCGTGGCGGGAGGAGTCAGGGCGGGACATGCTTTCGATCGAGGTAGGTGTTTTCGTGTCGGAGGGCATACTGTCGTAGGGAATGGACGTGATGACTCCGGACGTGGGAGCGAGGCTGGCAGGGTCTATGTCTCCAGTCATATCGACAGATTGGATTGACGAGCGCTTCGAGTATCGTGACGAGCGAGAACCGGCCACACTAGCGGGCGGCGCGAGGCTGTCGTAGGAACCCCCGTATCCATCAGAGCGCTCATCTCCCGGCCTCTCCTTGTACAGTTTCCTCCCAAAAAAGGACTTCCCAGCGGACGTTTGCCTGGACTTGTCGGCGGGCGGGCCGGTGGGCATTTTGGCGTAGATTCACTCTCCTCTCACTCGCGCGCTCTTCTCGCTCTCTCTGGATGATCTGGCAGGGTGCAGCATAAAGAAGCCCACGGCCCTCTTTCGCGCCCTCAAGAGACAGTCAAAGAAAGTAAAACCCACAGGTCGATTCACAAGGCTGTAGCGGGGTCGATCACTATGGATCCAGACGTGAGAAGCGATAACATTCACAATTCGTCCAAAGTCTGTTTTTTGTCCCTCCCTGGCTAAGTTAGTTTAGTATACCCGCTTTTGTTGCTCCAGCGGAGCCGCGCGCGCTGGGAGGGGTGTGGCAGACGGCGGGCGGTCCCCCAAGACACATGGGGATAGTGAGACTTACCGCACAAAGAAATGAACGACGAAAAAAATCAAATTAGGGAAATTATGAACGATCGGAAAATAGGTGCAATATGCAAGTCCCGGCGAGTCCTGACGCCAGGGTCGATCCAAAAGCACGGGCGATGGATCCCAAAGCGCCTGATTAGGGGGCTGCCAAACTGCTCCGGAGAAACTCCCGACCGTGACACGTGATGAGGAGCTACTGTACAGCTGAGGTGGCGGTCATGTGATTCGATATTGTTGAAGATCAGCCATTCCTGCCCATGGGGAATCTACACTCATTTCTGCATTATTGATATGACAGCTGTGCGGGGGAAGTTGAATATGACAGGGCTTGCAAAAGTGCACAAAAGCTATCCATCATTCTGACTTTCCAGCGACTGCGCCCTGATCCCGTCAGGGGCCGAGTTGAATCCCGACTCCGAAGGCTCCAATCTACAAGCCGAACAACCCCAACAATAAACATATCTCACAATCCGAACTGACCAGCCGACTTGACACGACCAAACCACACCCTCCCTCAGTCAGGGGACAAGACCTCCGATATTACAACAGTCTTCCACCGAGCAAAATGGGCTCCTCCCTCAACTTCGCAAAGGTCCGCCTCCACCAACCAATCCAACCCCCCTACCCTTCCCACCTCACCTCAGCTCCTTCACCCTCTCTATACCTACCCAATCCCCATTTGCAACCCTCCTAATTACCACACAATCCAACTAACACCCCCTCCCACCCAGACAATCCTAATCCCCGCCTCCATCGCCCTGGCAGTCTACCCCTCCTCCTCACCCTCCTCGTCCTCCCCCATCATCCGGCGGTACCACCAACGCTACTCGCAATACCTACCCCTCCACACGCTCTCCGCGCACACCCTCTCCCTCCGCGACCGCGTCGCAGACGCAATAATGCGGTTCTTCCTCCCCTCGTCCTGGCGGCGCAACGCACACCTGCACCAGCCGGACAACGATAATATCAGCATTGACGAGGAGGAGGGCGAGTTGATGGTGGGGATGGATATGGATGCAGATGCGCGGAGGAGGAGGGAGGCGTTGGAGGCGAGGCGGAGTTTGGGGCCGGATATGGAGACGGAGGGGAGGTTGAGTCGGGAGTTGGAGGAGGGGTTTATGGATGAGAGTGATGAGGAGGAGGAGGAGAGGGTTGTTAGGGGGGTGTTGGGGATGAGGCGGTGATGTTTGTTGATGATGGGGGTGGTTGTTTTCGTTATGGGTTTGGTTATGGTCATGGGTGGCGTTTTTGTGTTCAGCGCTTTTGTATCTAGCATTTCCTTGCATAAGTTAAGTCTCATGGGTTTGGGTGCCTCTCGGGGAAGGGACCCGTCTTTTTATATTGAAACGTTTCGAGTATATCAGAAAACATGATAGACCGGAATTCTGAAGGCACAGAGAATCACCTAAACCTACCAAGCTACCGTTGTAAATCTCAACAATAGAGCCTCACAGAAATGACCATAACGTCTCGAGTATATTATTTTTCTAGCAGATGTATATCTACAGGCATCCAAACCCGGTTCACGCTGACCTGATTGATCTACTGTACAAACCCGTCCAGATCAACATCCGCCCCACAATCGAAGCTCTAGAAGGAGCGGAGCCTGTACCAGATAGCACTTGAAACAAGGAAAGCAAACAAAGCAAATACCTACTCAAGCAAGAATTTCTGTAAAACAGATGTGACGAATATGTATGAACAGATCATGTCATTGGTATCGTAGATGCTACAATTTCATAGCCATCCCGTCCTCGATCTCCCGAGATACCGAGAATCATAGAGAAATATAAACAATTGAAGAACAGAACAAAGGAAACTCATAAACCACCCCTCCACGTGGGGTCCACCTCACGAGGAGTCAAATTATATATATGCCTTTTCCCATTAACTTACTTACGCTGACCGTAAGCCTTGGTAGCATAGTCACCCTTGTGGACGATCAAGTCCTCAGGGCGGTAGTCCTCACGACCGGAGAAGTAGGAGTCCAGAATGTTCTTGGTACCCTCGGCGTAGCGGACCTGGGCATCGATGGAGGTACCCGACATGTGGGGGACCATGGCGTTACCACCGCCCCAGGGGTACTCGGCGTAGCGGAGAGGGTGGTCCTTGGGAGCGGGCTGGGGGAACCAGACGTCACCGCCGTAGCCGCGGAGGTGGCCCGACTTAAGAGCCTCAGCGACGTCCTCCTTGACGACGATAGCGCCGCGGGCGGTGTTAACCAGCCAAGCACCGGGCTTCATCTTGGCGATGAGGTCCTTGTTGAAGAGGCCGCGGGTCTTCTCGTGCAGGGGGCAGTTAATAGTGACGACGTCGCACTGGGCGAGCATCTCCTCGAGGGAGTCGACGCGGCGGCAGCCAATCTCCTTCTCGACCTCGGGGGACAGGGGCTGGTAGTCGTAGTAGAGGAGCTCCTTGCAGTCGAAGGGCTTCAGGCGGCGCAGGACACGCTCACCGATACGGCCGACGGCGACGGTACCGACGACCTTACCCTCGAGGTCGAACTCGTTCTTGGCGACGGCGGCGACGTTCCACTCGCCGTTGCGGACCTGGTCGTGGGCGGGGACGAAGTTGCGGACCAGCACGAGGATGGTCATGATAACGTGCTCGGCGACGGAGACGACGTTGGAGCCAGTGACCTCGGCGACGGTGATACCGCCGTTGGTCTTGTTGGCGGCATTCAGGTCGACGTGGTCAGAGCCGATACCAGCGGTGATGGCGAGCTTGAGCTTCTTGGCCTTGGCCAGGCGCTCGGCAGTGAGGTAACCGGGGTGGAAGCTAAATGAGTGATTGTTAACTGTTGGTTCACAGATACGAGATCAATTGGCACGGTTTTACTTACGGAGTGGTAATGATAACCTCAGCGTCGACGAGCTCCTTGTCAAAGGTGGAGTTCTCACCCTCCTTGTCGGAGGTAGTGACCAGAGTGTGGCCAGCATCCTCGAGCCACTTGCGGATGCCGAGCTCGTTCTCGGTAGTACCGAGGAGACGGGGCTGCTGCTTGGCGTGCTCACCACCCTGGAGAGACGACGTTAGTATTGATGAAGAAAATAGCAAGCAAGCTTAACCGCTCCAATGGCGAGGAGAATCACTTACGTCGTACAGAACGAGAAGAACCTTGCCCTGAAGGTTGGCAGATGCGGTTAGCGTACGTGCATGGGAAAAAGCACCAGACACCGGAGCTCGCGCAAAGGAGCCGGTGGCTAGCGTCGGTTTGGAGCCGGCAGAGATGAACTGAGTGGCGGGCCGTCGAAGCTGACGGGAAAGGGAACGGATAAATACCATTTTGAAGGATGATCAAATAGAAGATTTGAGTGTAGAAAAAGGGGGAATTGATCAAAGCACGAAGCTGTACAATGAACAGAACAGGTCAGCGGCACAATCCTTTTATATAGAAGTCAGAGCAGCCTCTTCGGTCGCATCAGTCTATGAAGTCAATGCTCCCGAAACGGCGTTGGAGAAGCGGCGGCTAAAGACTGGGAAGCGGGGGGAAGTGGGGAAACCTGCAGACCAGTCGAGGCTTGGAGGGAAGGTGTGGCAGTGGAAGCAAGGTTTGGGAAGTTTGGGATTAACCATACCTTAGTGGGATATTTGGCAAGGGGTAAAAAAAAAGGTTCGAAAGAAGACGGTTGGAATGATGGATAAGAAAAGGAAAAACCAGACTTGACCCGGTCAGAGGACCCGTATATATAGACAAAACAAGGGTGGGAAAAGCTCCCCCTCTTGGAAGCCCCTCTTTGAACCGACCAGCCCAGGCACGATGAGGAAGTGGGATTGGAGAGCGACAGAACCCAAAAACGAGGTGTACACCCCTCAGCTCCTGGGATCCTCTGCAGGAGGGTGTGGGAGGGGATCCACTGGTCGTGGTTGGTCGGAGGGCGGGGGGATTGCACCACTCATGGCCGTGGAGGCTGGTTCTCTCCGCATGAGGGACACACCAAAGAGGGGAGGAGCGACCATCCCGTTCGTGTTCGTGCAGGCCGAGAGCTGGGGGATCCCATGCAGCAGGCTGGCCAGGCCGCCAGGTACAGTACTTTGAGACCGGCTTCCCGGACCGATGGCTCTTGGAGTTTGCTGATCGACTCCATCGGATTCGGATGTCGAGTTGGTGCTGGTGGTTAGTGCTGAGGTGTGAGGGCGATCAGAGAAGACCACTCGTGCGGGGAAATTCTACTTGTCAGGCCTGAGGCCAACATCCGATCTATAGCAGGTCGGGAGATGAGCCGTGTGATCCGCCCTTTCAGCATCGCTACAACTGGAATGATACTATACACCAGGATCTGTCGGTTTGTTTCAACCTGGTACATGCATGTACATCCTCCGTTTCCCCCGTCAGCCCATCAGCTCAGCACCCCGTCCAAGCGGAACCTTCGACTGGAGTAAGTTGGGCTGCTTTGCCTGTTTGGGATAGCTCTCCGCAGCGGGGGCTGACGTAATGAGGGGTAAATGGCCAGAGTAAGCCCCGCAAACAAGCAAAAAAGTGTCGCATCGCCGCGGATCGCACAGGGGTAAATGGAGGTGGTGGTCCGAGTCAATTCCGAGCGGATCACACGGAATGGTTGGGGAGGTTGAGATGGTTGATCAGAGGTATGGAGAGAGAGGGGATACTGGGCCAGGGATGCCTTTCATGTTGAGATGGTGAACTACCTCTTTTTTCTTTTGTCCAAAGCTGCGCAGGTCATGAACAACGAGCTAACAGAATTCCAGTACAAAGTACTTTTTATTTAGACGATCAAGTCCTATAATGCGAGCGATTGGAACGAATACATCAAAAATACCTTCTCTATTCAGCTAAAGATACTATGTGCGGCCATCCTCTACAAGACACCCATTCTACGGAAAGTTAGACACTGCCAATCCACAAAACATGACGATCGCGACAGGGTCTAGTCGAGTCAGCCCAAGAAGTCATCCTGAAGCGAGAAAACCTCGAGAATGAAGACTGCGACCGGACGGAGCCATCTCACCGCCAGAGCACTCAATCATCAGAGATCCTAAATTGCCAAGTCAGTGAGCCGTCAAAAACAACACCAGGCAAGACACAAATGCAAAAAGAAGCAAGTTGGGCAAATTGATCAATCAGAAGGAAGGCAACGGAAATCTCGACACGGTTTTGCGCATTCCGAACAGGTCTGTGTGTTTACATCCGAAATATTTCATCATGTGATCAATTGGCGACCGCGAGGAGCGGAGAGGGCCACGCGAAAGGGCAAATACAGGAACGAAGAAGACAAAAAGAAAAGATCCGGTGAGAAAACTTACAGCAGTGATAGCAGAGTCGCCGGTGTATTCTGAACGACCGACGACCCGTGCCCTGTTGTCAGGTCAATTGAGCCCAGACGTCTCCCTCCTGTGCCGTTTGCACCCCCTGCCATCAATGGCCGTCGGTCTCATGCGAGAACATCGCCAAACCATGGAGCCAGTGGCCGAATGCGATGTCCCACACAAGCGAATCCCACGAGAGCAAAACTCTCGAAGCAGCTACCACAAGTCCCTAGACGAGCAGCCCCTTTCAAGCCTCCAGCGTCGCCGAATACACCTCCTGAGCGCGACGATAAAACCCACGCCTCGACCGAAGCCTCGAACGGAGAATATTCATCACGAATCGACACTCAAACCACGAGCGCATACCAACAGCGACCACATAAAATCACCAGTAACATGCGATAAACCCATGAAGAGTAGACAACGGAGGGAAGTTTGGGAATTGAAAGTTGCAAGACAAGAAGAGGAGCAAAATGTTAGGCGAGGGAATTTTTCCATGTGGGGCCAAGCCCTAATTGACCAGAACAGAATAGCACAGCTCGCCGCACCCGCTTCTCGAATGGGATCAGTCTCCCGCGCCTGTGGACTGGTCTTAGCTAGAGAATCACCTCTATGAGACTGTGACAGCCTGATAGGAACAAGAACGCATTGCCGATAGCTGCAGAGTGGCGGATACTAGCCGTGAGGGCAGAATCTCCAAGTATGTACCTCCTCATCGGAGAAAGGGGGAAAGCAGTACCAGAACCTGACTGGACAGACCTGGCAGACTGGCGCAGCGCGAGAGCGGGTCTGACAAGTTGGAGAACACTCCACAGGCCGAGTTTCGGCAGAAACGCGGGAATTGCTCGGCGGCGCTTACCCAAATGCTTGTCGCGGACTCACTGAGGAGTACTCACAGTAGTATGTTCAGTAGTATTTCTCCATGATTATTGCTAGGGCTGGACGGTGTGGGGGTGTTTTTGGTCTAATTGGAAATAGTCCAAGGTCCTCATTACTGAATAAGACATAGTAGTCCATTGTCAAAGGGTAATGTTGGAGTTTAGTGTTTCGCATGTTCTCCGCGGATCGGAGGGCCGTCCGCTTCGTGCGGGCGGTTCTAAAATAGCTACAGAAGGCAGGGCTTAGTGTTGATTGTTGGAGAGAAAGCCTCGTGAGGGGACGACCCGATCACCTGGCACATTAACCTTCCTATGATATTCAATTTAATATAACTGACATCCTACTATTCCTCGTGAATAGTTGCTTTCTACCACGAATCCATCACAGTGTCGAGTATAAGTCACGTGGACAATACAAGACGACAGCGCTGTTTTATTTTGTTTCCGAGTTTAGATCAACGAAAGAAATTGAATTGAAAACATCAGTCTTGACTTCTGATTACAGACCATATTACTAGTAATGTTGAGAGCTATTGAGCAGCTGTGCTTTCCTCCTGGACTTTCTGCAGCGAGTTCCAGTCGGCTTGCGGAGGCCGATTGACGATCCCGCTAATCTCCGCCCCGAGCGTGTCTTCGGAGATACAACATTTTCTAATGGCATCTACCTTATTACCAATTCTGTCGCCCTGCTGTTTCTGACCTTCCTTTCTCTCTCACTCCCCTTTTACCCTCATTCAGCTCAACATATATCCTTCGGAGTTCTTCAATGAGAGCGCGCCCAACAGCCATCGCGCAGGCGCTCGCCCGCGACTGGAGCGGACAATACCACGTCAGCGCCAGCACCAGGCTAACAAGGCCACTCTCCACGACACAATGCCGCGCCACTCGACACCGTACGCGCCTCGAGATTCCTCCCCCGTTCCCAGTCACAAAGACATGTCCCGAGCCGAGCTGCAACTGTCCGCCGACACCAGAGTTGCCCGAGGGCCTGCCCATTGACCACGAGCAAGCGCTGAACGGGACCATGGTAGCCTATGCGCAACAGCTTGTAGTCTGCACCGGACAGCGGGACTGGACGAGTCGAACTGAGGATGACGGGAAAGATCAAGGTTGGGGGAATCTGGTGCGGGGGTTGAAGAAGTTGATGGGTCGTGGAGGGCCATATCTCGATGTATGTGGATGTCTTGTCAAGCAGACACCGGCGTACACGACAGTGAAGCATTTACTAATTCTTATTCTTTATACGTGCAGCCGTTCAACAACATCCTCGTCACAGCCTCCTCCATCAAACCACAAACAACAAACCCCTCAACAGCCTCAGCCCTTCTCTTCCCATCCTTCAAATACATCCCCTCAATCCCAACCACCACCACCACAACAACAACCACCCCCTCCACCTCCTCATCCAGCAACACCAACACCAACACCAGCATAACCACAACCCTAAAAACCTTCATCCGCGCATTCCTCCTCCCAAAAGCCCTCCACAACATGCACGCATCCCTTCCCCACTCCCAAAAAGCCCGCATGACCCGCAACCCCTCCCTAGCCTCGCACTTCCCGCACACAATCAAGATAACCCACTCCCCAACAATCCTAATCTGCGGCCACGGCGGCCGCGACATGCGCTGCGGAATGATGGCACCAGCGCTGGAGGCCGAGTTTACGCGCGTGCTGCGCTCAGCCGGGTTTACCTCTGTCGGTAGTGAGGGCGGTGTTCTGGATGGGCTGGATCATGCGAATGTGGGCCTGATTAGCCATGTCGGTGGGCATAAGTATGCGGGGAATGTTATTGTATATATCCCGCCGAAGATGACGGTGCGATCGACAGCATCAGAGTCAGCGGAAACTACGGCGCTGCATCCGTTGGCGGGCAAGGGGATTTGGTATGGGCGTGTTGAGCCTAGGCATGTGCAGGGCATTGTGGAGGAGACTGTGCTTGGGGGGCGGGTTGTGGTTGATCATTTTCGGGGTGGGATTGGTCGGAATGGGGATATTTTGAGATTGTAGTGTAGTTTCTTTAGTGCAGGTGCTGGATTGTATATATTGTATGAATAGGGTCCATAGCCATGAACATCCATGCTCCGGATCCTGCGCCAGAGTTTCGAGTCGATTCATTGAACATGAATATTTGCCTCGTCGCTGAATATAAGTAGAATTCGGGCTCCCGTCTTGTTCCAGAAAGCTTCGACACCCTGAATCGAGCATCAGTTTGATGAAAATGAAGATTTTGTAAACGTGACATAAATGATCTCAACACGATTGGTATTCTAATACGGAGCTCCGCACTCAAGCCGATCAGAACAACCTCTTTTCTACTCCTACTGGGGTCCTGATTTCCGAAGGAGCGGGTTTCGTGTCGCTGCGATTTGGGTCGCCTTCGCTCTGCTAGGTGCTTGCTCCACGGTCTGGAGCGAGCTCGATATCAGCGGCTAAACTTAACTCGAAGATGTTGCAATACTTCCATTCCACCCACTATATCCCATAACTCGTGCTAGAAGAACGATAGATTCGAGAAGCCATAGCTAGCTCTTGACCCTCGACACTGATACAATATAGATCCGAAGAAGAAGATGAATAGAGAGAGCAAACTCCGTTAAGGCATCGTGGAAAAGTCATACGCAAAATCTTCATCATACTTCGTTTTGGGCGAGTACCGGCTTAATTTCACAGTAGAGAATATTAATATATTCGTAGTTCCTAGCCTCGCTATATACTCGTGGACCAGCGCCACGTCGAGTAAGGTCATCACTTGTGATTGATAAGTCTGCACAATCTGGGGTCTATTTGACTCTAAATGCTGCGTGCCAAGGACAGAGTATCATGAGTAGCTCAAAATTTTAATATACGGAATTGACATGTGTTTCCAATCTTGGATACAATGCCGGAAATTTTTATAGACATGGAAACCAGCTCATCCAGGGATAGAGGAATTACCAAGATGGATCTAATTTGCTGTTCCAGGACCAAGAAAACAAGGAAGTACTCTAACAATCAATTTTTGGCACTAGACGGCATGGAGTTCAAAGGAGTTTGTTGCAAGAAAGCCATATTGTTAGTCACCAATAATCCCGGTATTATGTGTGGTAATCTGATGTAGTAAGGGAAATCGGATTATTAATTACTTGTCGAGATTTTGCTTCTGAGCACCAACATAACTCAGATACAAACATTTAAGCTCCTTTGTATCCATTCCTCCATGTCTATATCGTGGCATACGTCTGTAGAAGAGAGACCGAGATGGTATGCAGCGACTGCTTTGATAAGCTTTCTATTCCGGTACAGACGAGTATAGAATCGGGCTTTCTGATCCTTGTAGCCCTTAAATCTACCTAAATTAACTTCAAAAATAAAATGTTAATAAATATAACTACGTTTTATAATATATCAACATCTAGGATCTCTACGATTAACGAAATGTAAATCTAGTAGGGGTTAGGAAGTTATAAATCCAGTCAGCCCTGTTCCTACTTTATCCCCTATGCTTAACTTAACCTAAAAAATCCAGTAGGCCAAACTGGATTTACCCCTATAGGATAGGCCGTAATGAGGACCTAGAGACCACCCTTGACAGAGAGAGTGATAGTCGCGTTATGTTGCTGCCTTCACAAAATATGTTTCTGCCTTAAGCATAAACAGAGAAACAAACTTCCATACATCGGAGGGAAGCAGCTTCAATTTCAATTGTGCTATATGGTAATATACTAACAGGTAAGGTCTGCAACAGAACAGAAGTTTTATTAACTGGTAAATAAAACGAATCATCTTAAGTACATAAGTAGGCAAGTTAAGTGCTTTCAACATTGGTCCAAGAACCTATGTTCTGCATCACCATGATCAGCTGTAACACATCCCCATGTATAATCATTCTTGTCACGTATTACTGCAGCAGCCACATTGTAATTGCATATGCCCGGCATATTGAGCACGGTGTTAATAGCGTTATAAACAAGAGTTCCGCCGATAGGTGTGTTTTTGGTTTGTGAAGCGAGGCACCACATTGTGTCTGGATTGACTCGTATAAATTGCGTTCCGCTGAGTGGAATCTTCTGTAGTGTTTGATAGGTTGAAATAGAGGCGGTGGACAGAGTAGCTAAAAAGTCGCGCATAGGGGGATTGAAATTGCAAATGTGCATGTGGACTTGATCCTGAGATATAGTCCGCACAGGATTGATAGCCAGACCTTGAGCACTTGGGTCAGAAAATTGCTGGCCAAAGTCCCAACCGGTCATTGCAAGACTCTGGTGATTCTGTAGAGCCAAGATGTTGGGTATCGGCTGATTCGGTGTGGCCAAATTTTTCCCAGCAAGCTTGACCCAGCCTTCCACTCCCTTTCCGTGCTGCCAATCACAGAGTGATGGATTCTGCTCGCACTGACAGAGTGAATGGAGCCATACCCCACAGGCATCGCAGTCCTTGTTTGTCGCTGATGTGCAATCAGAATTGCAGTCGGCAAGGTAGATCCCTGAATCTAGTACTGTACAAGTAGTTTGACCAACTGGACATTGGTTGGTGCATATTCCATGAGGGCTAAAATCTCGGCAAGTACATCCACTGGCGACATCATCACGATAGATTTCACCACTTGTGCAGATGAATTGACCGGCGCTCTTTCGAATTATGCTTGGATATAAGAAGAGGACACTAACAAGTAGGATTCTTTGGAGAATCATTGTGAGACAGGGTATATTATTTCGTTAGAATACCGCCCAGGTGAGAAGGCATAGGTGAGAATGATGTGGTCAAAACAAGAGGAGTTCGGTATTTCTATATGTCCTGCTCAATTACTTCGTTTAAGGTATCCTGGAATCTATGACACTTCATGAACTCAATGGCGAGTTCTAGCTAGAGAATCGCCGTTGTGTTCCAATTGCAGTGGTCTGACACCTGAGAGTCAGCCCTGGATACTGCTTGCTTGAATCAAGATTTTTCCTTCTTGGGTACGGTTACAGGTGGGATAACCAAATACGATAGGGTCTAGACAGAGATTCTTCTGTAGGCATCGCCGGGGAAGGAAATCGAACCGCCAAAGTAATAAGTATGAAAACTTCCAATCTCTTCCCGCAAGACAAAGTCCCTGCTTGTCAGAATTTGCAGAGAGTATTTATTGGTCGCGTAGACTCGCTGCTAGCGGGATGTCGTAATGCACCAGTGGCGAAAAAAGTACCAGTCCAGGCTTCCGCTACCATCCGATCCTATTATACCTCATCGATATAGTCCTGCCGCCTCGCCGCCTCTACGAAGTGGGTCTTGCCGACTTAAGACCGGTTGGCTTCATGATCGATTAGCATGGAGGATAAGTTGAGCCGGATGAGAAAACCCATATTTTACAACTTTTAGGTATAGTAAGATAAATCCATTAAAGATAATTAAAGATCTATAAAGCTAGCTACCTAAAGACAAAGTAGTATTAAGAGATACTAATTTATTAAATAATAAAGTATATACTAGTAGTCTCTCTTTGTCCTTTAGAAGAATAGTATATAAGATTTCTAAGGTATTATACTTACTAAAATCTATAATAGAAGTAAACTTAGTAGCTTAATCCTTAGTTTTAGTTATTTTAAGAGTCAATATTAATTATTTAGTTAATAGATATAAGGTAAGTAAAGAGGCTAAACGTTACGACTCGCGCCCGGACCCGCTAACCGAACAGGCCAAAAGACCAAATATGTCAGATCGCTATGTTCTGACATGACCGGGGCCGATATAAGTAGCGCACATAACGTTAGGGTCGCAAATCCTAACAATAGATAAGGCTTATAAAGCGTTAAAAAATCAAACTAATATTTATAAATAGCCCTAAAATATATTATATATTACTTATTAGATAAGGTAGATGATTATTAGAAATATTTCTCGTATATAAGACCGTAGTATATATAAAACAGGATTATATATAGTAGATAAATAGGATCGTACGTACTAATCGTAGTACTATAATTATAGAGGAGTAACTAATCAAGAGAGAACGAAATTAGCTACTTAGAAGAATTAAGTAACAGAAGGCTAATTTAGATGGTTAAGTATTCCTAAGAGTTCTATCCATAATTAAAAGAGATATTAAACTTGCTTAATTTAGCTAGGAAATAAGGCAGAATTTATAATACGGGGTATATAATAAAATATTATATAAAAAAGTCAAGAATATCCGAGGTTATCTTAGAGTATTATGTAGTCTCTGGCCTAGATAGGTAATATTAACGAGATTGTTAAGGATTAGATTAATAGATTAGAGATGGGGAAACATGAATATTGCTTAGTAAGTAGGTAGGATGTAACTAACTAACTAACTAACTAACTAAAATAAAGTCCCTGCTATCGATGCTGACTTGAATGTGACTGAGATATGGCCATTTTGGTTTCAATTCTGAATAAACAAAACGAGGCATTGGAGGCAGCAAATCATACAAGCAGAGGTAGACAATAAATAGTATAGCTGACTGCTCCAACATCAACATAGTGAAATTAAGGCTCAACAATAATCTGTTGTCCAATCTTCCCATCAGGAGAAGAGATTATCTCGCCATTAGGAGACATGAAGAACGACAGGGTGTACTTCTGGACAGGAGGATTCTGCTTATGAATCTGCACTTGAGCATTTGGGCGAGGCCCATGGAGAGGGGGAACCCAGATCGGAAACTTGAGTTTGAATTTCTCGTGTGGCTCCAAGGAGTCTGGAAGTCCGGAGTTATGCATTTCACCTCGCGGTTTCCGAGAGAATATGACGAACATGTCTCTGTACGACAGCTGAGTCTTGTCTCGTGCATACACCGGGGTCACACTATGCTTGAAACTATTATCCGTTAAGAGCAGCGTGTCCAGGAAGTCACGATGCTGATATCGGCCTCTGAGCAGCTCCATCCTCGTTTCAGGGTGTTGGACACCTGTTCTCTCTTCCCGAGCATGAACAAATGTAACCCCAGAGTCAGGAGTAATGTTTGAATATCCAAGGAGCATAGTCATGGTATGATCGCATCCGTCCTGATGCACTCCTTCCAGAGCCGGGTATCCCTGAATTTCTTTATCGGTGAAGGTGTGGATGTTGAATATCTCCGTGATTACTTCGTTCTTATCGTAGTCCAGACCGGGACGAGCCAGTACAGGGACACCTTGAGTGACCCAGGCTTTGAAAACGAGGATAGCCTGAATGACGGTATTGTTTTGATGAGTCTCGTCAAAGTCCCCGAAATCACGAGGAATATCGGAGTCGTGTCGTTTGTAGTTCTCGACCGTTGTCAGGATAAGGGGTTGTCTTTTGAGTCGTTCAATTTTTCCGGCCCTCGTATCCGTTGAGAACCTTCCGCTCTTCAAAGTTCGATAGTTCACCGTTGGGTCTGGGTCCAGATTATGGCTAACCTTCTTGAGCTTTTCAAAATCCTCCTCTCTAGCCCCAATACCCTTTAAAACAGGAATGAAACTTTCTCCTTTGATGAAGACACAGCCATCGCGTAGATAATCCTGTCGCAGTTGCATAGACTTAGCTACGGATTGAAAAAACTCGGGCTTTTGCGCTTGTTGAAATATATCGATGCAAACATTAGCATCGCAAGCTGTGGATATGCCCTGTTTCACACCTTTCAAAAAGGAGGGAAGATGCGCAGAATCGGCATTCCAGTTGGTTGTCTTCTGGGCCATAGTTTGGTTCCGTAGCGGTCGAAGTTGATATTTCGTTGTAAGGAACTAATAGTCGCGGTGCTTCTGCTGAAAGAATGTTGAAGTGATAGGTTGAATTGGATGGTTTGAGTCCTTTATTGATGTACCAAAGAGCCCTCAGATGAAGAGGAAGACTCTTTATATAGAAGTCGGGTTCCGTTTGGCATACTGAACAATGTCTGTCCTTGTACCGAGAGCGCAATCAAGGCGATTGCCACCTGCTCCACCTTGCGGTATTTTTACTCATCGCAAGTAGGGGAAAGAAGCGGTGTATTTGATCACATAGGCAATGCAATGCACAATGCACAAGTCCATGGCTCAACACATCTTGACTCAGAAAATGAAAAGTGCAGGGCTCTCGATGGGGTGAGAATTGGAATTAGGTGCGCATAGTCTCACCTACGGATTTCTTGAAGAAACGGTTAGTTTTAGAGTTTGGTATCATAATATTCCCTGAGTACGAGCCCTTGCTTGCTGATTCCTAACTCTAAATTGCTTGATGCAATGCTGATATTCTGTACTTTCATTGCTTGACCGCTGTTTGGAAAGTTTACCCTCTCAATACTCGGAATCGACCTATACGAGACATATTGAGTGGAGAGTGATTAAAATTAATACTTTGATTTTTGAAACTATGCTAGCTTTGCTCGGCAATTCATGTAATCAAGTCATTCTAGAGGTTTGCGGCCCCATAGGACAGCTCATTGCGTACATAGTTCGATCTGCGGTATTTGGAGGCAAGTATGGATTTAACATAAATTGGCGGTCAAAGTATGCTTCGAACAAGTGCAGATAGTTGGCTAGAGCATGTAACTTGTTGATTCAAGATACAGGAATCAGCTAGTTTAGGCCATCGTGAAGACTGGCATGATAAATATTTACAAGTGGCTACCTAGCCTCTAAATATACTGGAAACAGTAAGGTAAGGTAGTAAGAGCCAGTGCATAACTAGACGAGTAAATAAACTAGTCGCATATCAATTCTAACGTATTCTATAGAGGCAGAGAAAACTTTTGCTGTTATTTTAACCACAGAAACCTAATACCTAATAAGTATTTGCAGCTACAGGTTATAGAAACAGCCAACAGGACATTCTCCTGTCAACCAAGCGCTTCTGGATACCCCTTCGAAGAGCCCTTTGAGAAGAATTCCAAAGAAAAACCACAACGGATACCTATACCCTCTCAATATATCTCGAAACTGCACATGAGCTGGAGAAAGTTGACATCCTGTCATAAAGACCGCCACAACTGTAAATCCTCGACATGTATATATTAGTACCGGTCCCTTCGAATATTCCGTAGCATACACCAACAAGAGCCATTCACTTCCGCACCGAAAACAACAAGGGTAGGCCAAAACACTAGTCCACCATTCCAGGCAAAAGGACCGGTGTGGTGTATGTGAATACCCGACCCCAACACAAGCACGAAGGGAGAAAGAAGATTCACCCATCCCATAATCTTAGGAAACACCGGGTCGGGGCTGCGGTCCGCAAAAATTGCCCAAGCAATGGTCCAGAACTGCATCGAAAACATAGGCCAGTTCAGCCAGAGGGACATCCACATTGCATCATTGATTAATTGAATCATTTCAGCACTGTAGTCCCGGAAACTCAACAGTGACATTAAGATGGCTCCTATCATCCAGAACCAAACACCGGCTATCGCGCTGGCAAGCTGGAGATCTGCAATGGCTGGATTGAGGTCGGGGATGAGTCGAATCTGGCTAGTGATTGCGGTGGAGTAGGGGAGGAAGAGGGCCCCGGACAAGAAGAGGAATATTGTGGCAGCCTGAGTGCCTTTCTGATATGTCGAATAATGGGTTTTGACTGTTTCGGCATCCCACCAGGGTCTTGTTGGAGGGATATTTCTCGAAGCTGCGAGACTGATTATAAGAAAGACAGCCGAGATACAGCCACAGAAAGATATGCAGTATAGCCATCTTTTGTTGGTGAGGCCGTGTCCGAGCTTTCTGTCGTTGGTGGTGGTGGTGGGAAGCATCTTGATAGAACTTGTAATATAATAGATTGAGATCACAAAATTATTTGGGGGGCTCGTAACTCGACCCGACCAAGGCTTTATTTATAACTGGAATCCATGCAAAGAAGTCCAAACACGTTTATGTCCATCGATTTTCCAACCTACTCGTGTATGCACAAACACTGTTCATCGGCTATTGCGAACACGATACATCCAACGAGAATCCAGTTGAATGCCATCATTGGGTGGGATATATGCAACCCGTCGCCCTCCCTTCTGGCTTAGCTGCGGGAGAAGTATGAAGAGGAAAATAAATTTTACAAAGAATATGCATGATTCCAAATAGGAGCAAGTTGAAAGACCTTCGTAGTATCCTGACCGAATCCATGACGCATTTGGAGTACTTGAGGTGTTCATTAACCAGATATTGCTACTTACCAGCCAATAATGATATGCTATGCGACTTGTGTGATTTACGATTCATAACCATGATGTGGACTGCCGGTCTAGTGATGGGTGTCCAACGCTTGCTTCCGTCTAACTTTCTAAGAATAGAGAGCATGGGTGCCTTTTGCATAAGAGATTTTTTCAGCGCAACTGCCTGCATAGCAGGAGCATTTGTGGTGGAAATACATGATTTCTGTTAGATCGTCATCATCGTGTCCATCATGTGCACCGATAGGTACGACTAGGCGCTGAAGTGGCTCCATATCAGGTTTAGAAACTGGGAAAGCGAAATCATGATTTCAAATGTGTGATATTCCCCCCTGTTGTTCTCACCGGTAGTCATATGGCTTGGTATCATTGGAACGTTCTCTAATAGGGTCTGCCCATGGAGACCAACACGAATACTTACGGTGAAGGGTATCCTTCTCCTATTCAGATTGGATTTGTCAAATTAAGAAATTTTAACATGAGTAAAAGAACCAATGGTGGGGCTGCACCTGGCCCAGAAGACCTTGTTGCATGCATAATGCGTTCTGCACCTTATGTGTGGATCAGGTACCTTGGTCAAGATCTGCATGCAGTGCTCACCTGCATGGGGATTTAGGTGGATCCGGGACGGCGCGGCGCGGACTAGACTTAGCAAAATTTGCATCATGATTCTCTAATTTCCACATTTCTCGTCTTCCACATATTACTTCTCACCCAATTCATTTTATTATTGATATCCTTTCCCATATTCGAGTGTCTAAAAATATACTAAACACTACATACACTCTCCAAACGCATGAAAATTACGCTATCTTAACGTATGACATCGCCGTCTAGTATTGGTGCTCAGTGTATGCAAGTCTAGTATGTCGGCGGTGGCCACATCATCATGCAGATTGCCTGAAGACACCGGAGTGCTGTATGAAGGCGAAATTTGTTCTTTTGTACTAAAAAGCCACGAATGTAAATGCTAAATTCTCCCTTGCATTTGTCAACCTTAATAAGTGGAGCTTGGCCGATCGGCGACAAAATCCAAAATAGACGTCTGAGGAAAAGTAGCCGATTCGGATCTTCCCAGAAATCTTCCATCCCAGCATGGATAATCGTCTTAATTCTCATAAGGATACTAAATTATGACCCTGATTACTGTATTATTTCACTTTGTGGTGAGATAATTATTAATTAGGGACCAGAGCCAGATAAGGAAGAAAGCCAGGAATTTAGCCCAGCATATGGATATTGGGGCCCACCTGACATAGTGCCTGTAGCTTGTATCAAATAGTGTGTCCAAATTCCAGTAGCACAAATATACAGCATGATACCGACGAGAAGCTGCATGTTAATCAAAGTCTGAACGAGCAAAAAACAGAATACACTCTTAAACCTTCCATATAGTATTTGTTCCCCATATTGCCTTTTTTCTACAATTTAAACTACGCATGTAATATATTGTAAATACAGTAGTAAGATTGGCATTGTGTTCCTGGTGACTGACGATTGGTATAGGATCTTGATCATACCTCGCTCTAGTTACATTTTTATGGGAATTTGGATGAATAGATTCAGAAATGCCCGCAGAAATAAGTTGGGAAAAATGATCAGAAAAAGCCGAAATGTTAAATATCTGAAAGAGGTAATGGCCTAGCCTTTACCTTTTCTTGTTTAGTCGAGTCGCGGGGAATGATAGGTCGATTCGGGGCTGCCGTGCACTAGCATGACCCGAAGCGAAGTGGATGCACCTGGCCCCTTCCCTCGATCTTTACGCAACCACCCTTCCTTGCTCTTACAATTTGCGGAAGACCTCATGCTTCTGCCGTGTCCAATTATCTCTGTTTGTCAAAGTCGTGACGAGGTATTGCTGGTTGTCCTTTTTTACAAAGTCGAGGAATACTCGAAACTTTCGTCCAGCAAAGACAGGGTAATTGCAAAGGTCAAGGTCGTAAATCATGGTTGGTCCGAGGGTTGTCCACTCAACGTAGAACTTTCCACTGTATGAACATGATCTCTTTGCTGATTCGACTAGCTCAGCTTCCCCTGCAGCCCAGGGCTCATCGCCTCCAAATGGAGCCTGCCCCGGAATCTCAACCAGGGCATTTATGTACCCATTGGGAGAAAACATGATCTGACCGTCAATCATAGGTCCCCACGGATGCATCTTCTGGTTTCGATTCGATTTGTCGATCATGCTGTATTCCAACACTCTCCAAACACCGACAAGATTCTCACGAGCGAACCCGGCAAGGTCAACGGATCTTTTCTGGTCTAGACAGCTGGTTGGATTATGCCCAATCACATCATACATGTTCCTTTTGTCGTCGCAGAGAGTGTTTCGATCTGGGTCGGCTATCTCGTGGGGGCCCAGCTCTGCCTGGAACAAGGCCTTGAAGTTCCTATCAATATCATTGGGGCCCCCGAAGTTTTCTGCCACCAGTGCCGCTGCTTCCTTTTTAACTGCATCCAAAAGACGGGTTCGGATAAGTTCCAATGTTTTTTCGCCGACACGCGTGGTCTCCATGATAGCTGAGCCAATGAAGGTAATAGAAAAGCTTGTCGCAATATCAGGACTCTTTCTCCAAAGCCGAAGGTTGGTGTAGAAGGTATCAGGCAAGGTGAATATAGAGATATGAAATGATATTTAATGAAAATGGGAAAAGAATCGAACCTGTGATAAATGGCCCTTTATATAGGCTGGAGTCACATGCTGACAAGAGAAAATATTCCTATCTATTTTCATGCATCTGGATATTAGGTTTGTAGGAAAGCCAAAACCGCTGAGAGTGGCTATTCCTTGGTCGAAATTACCTTCCTCCTTTTGATTATCTTAACAATTCATCCAAGGCCATGCGTCAGTACACTTACATAGCAATGTGGTTCAAGTAGCGGTGTGGCCAACCTGCAAGCACTTAATAGAGAACCAGTCATGAGACGAAAGTTTCGCGCGATCTACATCAAAATTTGAAGGGTCTACATCAGTGTCCCTGAATAGGGACGTGACTGGGTCTTTGATGCACATGGGCAGCAGTGCAGCCAACCTGTAAGTGGGAGCCAGATACACAGAGGCTACCATTGCTGCTGATCTTTATGATACCTCATTAATATTTCACCCACTGCAAGGCACTCCAAGCACTGGCTGCGAAGGTCAAGGCGCGTAATTTGTAGTTTGTACGTATTTATCGAATAAATTCGAGCAATGCCGCCTTTCTCTGGCTATAAGAAAGTGACGTGTCTCTACATAGATGGCCAACTTCGACGCATAGACAAACGGTGAAGGATCATCCAGGCGTTTCCTTTTGTGTAGCTAGGGCTGTCCTGCACGGCAATAGGTTCCACGAATCCCAACACCAATTATTGCAACAGACAGAAATGTATGTCTTAGGCTGCTTAATAAAGAGGGAAAGGTGTTAATAATCAGTATGAATTTACAATAGCAAATATAAGGTTGGTGTATTATGACGATTGTTGACGAAGGAGACCAGTTTACTAAACTGGTCACTCTACTTTGCTATAGACAATGTACATTTAGAGTACAATGCTATTAATAATAGTTAATCATCATATAGACAAGTTAGGCAATGTTTTAATTGGAACAGCTGATATCTATTCTTTGTTTAATACGAAAGTCCTTTCTATATTCTCTCACGTTTGGAGTCAAGTTCATATTTCTTTTTAAAAGAATATAAAGTTGACGTAAACTATGAGTACTTGGCAGTTTCTAGCCTCTCTTCTATTCCATATTCTGTTTCTATAGGTATATAATGAGTAGCCAAGTCTACAAATATATGAGGAATGTTCTTTCATGTACTTGGGATAGCTTTAATTCCTTGCGTTCAATAACAAAATCAAGTTGAGTGTAACTAGTATCGATAGTCAATTACTCACTTACTATTGAGTATATACACTCGGGAGTCGATAGGGTCTACTTATGCTATTACTAGCACAGCAGAGACCTTGAAAAGTTGAGAAATACTATGGTCTTAACAATAGTGAGGAGTCTCCAACTTCAGCTCTATCGTGACACTGCACGTTCTCCTTAAGTACTAGAAACCAGGAGTAAAGAAGTCTGAATATTGGATAATAACAAATATACGGAGGAAGGGAAGAAGCAAAGGAAACAGGAAGTGAGGGAAGAGAGAACTACAAGCTATATAGAGTACATAAATTAATAAAAAGATTAGAATATAGTAACTGAGTATGATGTATACTAATTTAATAGTTAACTAAGCAATCTGAACTAGATTAAACAGTTATGTAGTAGTAGTAAAGATAAATGGGTAGATTGACCAATAAACATACAGAGGCTGCACGAATACGTGGCTGATTAAGTGTTTAGAAACGACTATGATGACCTGAATCCGGATCCAGTTGGAACGCGTCATATGGTGGATCCATTTACAACTTGGGGGTTCTCCCACAGTCTGAGGTCCGCAGAAATTCATCATAGGAACATTGAACATTGAAAAAGGCTCTCTTATTGTCATTTTTCATCAGAATTCATGAATCCTTGTTGCTTTATCACATCCCAAATATCTTCACCTACGGCGCTGCGCACTGCCCATACATTTAGATCGTTGAAACCGAGGGATATTGCGCCGGTCAACAAGCTGACAGCCACCATCTCCACTTGGAAGAAAACCGATATCGAGCAAGTACTGTGAACTTTTATCCAGCGCTGCAATGGTATCTCTTTGATCGAATGCAGTCGGCCTTAATACCGGAGGAGGGCGTGTGAATTGCCCCATATTTGCTTCAAGCCAATGCAACACGGGTAAGAAAGGGTGATCCAAGGCATTGTTCTCAACTTCAAGCCTTAACGCTGTCATCCACTCGTCGTGGCCCATGGGCTTGATGATTCGACCACTGCGACGGCTGAGAATCCTGCACAAGGTCCCAATCGACACCCCATCATGGCAATCCACTACTTGTTCACCATTTGGATTAAGAGCACTTTCTACCACAAGGGAAGCTATTTGTTCAACCCCTGCAACCGGAATATGTACTTTCTGCAGAGAATCGCTCACAGCTCTGAGAGACAGAATACTGTAAGCCAGGCGCCACAGAAAGTCTTCAGGATGGGCAATTCCTTCCCATCTCGTGCCTGCCAAATATCCCGGTTGTACCACTCGTGCCGGTGGCACCGACGAGTTTGACCCTTTCTCAAGCTGGAGATTGTATTTCTCCACCATCATCCGTGACAGAAATTTGGTTTGATCATACCCACATGCATTGGCGAGATTACTTAATGTTTGCTCTGGAGTTTCTGTTGGCGATGGCAGATACCCCCCACTCACGTATGTGAATGGACACGGTTTTGGCATAACGGACAGGGCCTCCAGGATAGTGCGGGTGCTGTTAACGTTTGTGGCCTTTAGCATTGAGAAATCATCCAGCCAGTTGACTCGGGCACCGTTGTGGATGATTCCATGGATGCGCATCCGACCCGTGAGGTCCGCCCAATGTGCATCATCAAGCCCCAGCCTGGGGAGACTCAAATCCCCAAGCCATACCTCAATTTGAGTGTCAAACTCATCACGCCACCACTGACCAAGTTCAGCATGAGATCGTAACTTGTCTCGGGCATCCTCTTCACTACCCGAACGCACTAAGCCCACAATGTGGCCCACCCTGGGGTCCTCCAGCAATACCCGAAGCACCTGGCTGCCTAGGAATCCGGTTATTGATGTTGCAAAGATAGTCTTCGGTTTTTGAGCATGGATTGGCATTGGAACATTGATCAAATTCAATTCACCGAGGAGGTTTGTTGGGGTGCTGGCGCCTGGGCAGCCATCTGATTCACAACTCGCCCTCCTGGAGAGTCGTTGACCAATCTGACACACTGTGATCCCAGGCTGTTGTAGTTCCTGAATCTGAGTGGCCACACCCAAACGCCGGCGGATTTCCCCGGAAAGATATGCAGTTCGGATGGAGTCCAAACCCACACTGGCCAAAGTAAAGTCCCAGCCGCGTAAGCTTTCCCCAGACGATGGCTGTTTTGTTTCCACAAGGTCTGCAATAATGTTGCTGACTTCAATCGCCCGCGAGTTAGCAGGATCGATTCGGGACCATGTATGGCTAAGAGTGCCTCCCGGCCGAAGCGCCATGGTCTCGGATGGTGTCATACTTGCCCAATCTGCAATCAACTGTTGCCGATGAATCTTTTTGGACTCAGTCAGCGGCATGGATTGGACAGAGACAAAGGCACTGGGAACCATGTATGACGGCAAGATCTTTTGTAGGTCTGCGGTCATCTGGTCTGCTAAGGACGAATATCGCTCATCCTTTTGTTCTATAAAAGCCACCAGCTCCAGGCTATTATTGGCGTTTTTGTCACCGGCTAGAACTACTGCAACCTGTTCACAGCCAGAGAGGCAGCCAAGAATTACCATTTCAATCTCACCAAGCTCAACACGTAACCCGCGGATCTTGACGAACCCAGCCCGACGACCAGTGAAGATTATTCTCCCATTAGGCTGCCACCGAGCCAGATCTCCCGTTTGGTAACAGCGCGCTGGAAACGCTTCGGTGAGGGTTGAAAGTGATTCCGGTAGTGAAATGAAAGCTTTGCTGCTTTGCGCGCCATCGTCCAGGTATTTATGTGCGAGGTAGGGACTCTGAAGAAGCACCTCACCCTCCACTCCAATCGGTTGCAATCTGTGAATATTGCCTGGATCGACAATCCAACATCTTGCACCAATACCGCGCCCAATTGTTTTTGGGTTGTCCATAGACCCCAGGTGCAATTCGACTGTATCCCAGACTCCTCCTTCAGTGAGTCCGTAGATATTGCTCAGTCTGACCTTATCAGCCCAAATGTTCAAGATCGCAGCGGTGGGGGCTTCACCCCCAATGTACAAATGCTTCAAGGTTGGTAGGGCTTGTGGTTTTAAGAATGTCGCAATGGAGGGAGTCAAAGACGCGTCAGTCACGTTGAGTTTATGCATGACCCCCTCAAGGTCCCCAATACGCTCCTCTTCCGAGGGTATGCAGACAGTGCCTCCAGCAACCCACGGTGCGAATAACTCACATATGCTAGCATCAAAAGAGAATGAGGCGAACTGCAGGAACCTCGTGGAGGAACTCAGTCCAAATCTCTGGACGACGGCCTGCAATCCTCCAGACACTGCACCGTGCTTATGCACGACTCCTTTTGGCTGCCCTGTGCTGCCAGACGTGAACATTATATAAACCAGTTGCGCAGGATCCATGTTAAGCTCCTGAGTCCATCCATTGGAAGGGACCTCCAATTCTTCCAGAGATGAGGCGGTTATTATTTGAACTTCGTGAAGGCCGGTGTGGTCTTTCATTCTCTCGAGGAAGACGCCTTCCACCACCAACACTTGAATTTCAGCCTTCCGTGTGATGTATTCAATGCGATCCACGGGATTGGAAGTTGCGATGGGGACATAGCCCGCGCCCGCTCGTAAAATAGCCAGGAGTACTATCAGCGACAAGGCGGACTTTTCCAAGCAGAACCCCACAATCCCCCCCGCTTCAACGCCGTAGTCTAGGAGCTTGTGCGCCATCGCAGCAGATCGCTTTCCTAATTCCTCGTATGTAACGTCTCCTGAAGTACTAGATATGGCAATATACGCCGGTCTTTCCCGATAGTGCCGATTCACGAGACCATGAATGGTGTTTTCTGGTTTTGGAGGATCGACCTCCATCCACTCGCGAAGGCGCAAGCGATCGTAGTTGCTGATGACCTCGATATCTTTGACGATTTTGAAGGGATAGTAAACAAGTGAGTCCAGGATCTTTCGCAAACTATCCAGAAGATTGGATAATTCGAAATGACACGGCCTCTCGCGATGAGAATATAGATTGAGGATGACATTGTCACGTTCAGTCCTCTTAGCTACCAGCAAAAGACATGCCTAGTGATGTGAGTACTATTCCTAGCCCATTTTGACAGAAACATACCTTGGACGCCTTTTCTAGGTGAATTATCTCCTCTCCACACTCATACGCCGGTAAATTCTCCTGGTTCACGAGCCAAACGGCGTAACGGTCTGAATAATCACTAGTCCCTTGGTCCGAGGGCGACGGGCTATATACGTGTTCAGATAGGACCCCTTGAAGGTCCACCGCATTCCATTCTGACTGAAGGTCAACGGAAATGGATTCCGGCTTGCCACTCTCAATAGGGGACCGATGTGTCCCGATTCCGCCAAATCTCAGAAATGAAACCGGATTATGATTGTAGTAGCTGTTTAACAGCACAGTCCAGGCAGATAAAATGGCAGATTCTGCTTCCAACCATGATAATGGGAGAAGCGCGGATACCGGATCGGTAGAAAGTACATTCAACGATGGCTTCTCACTTCTCAGCTTGTCCGGAAATTCGCACGGCTCCGGCCCATTCGACGCTGGAAGATCAAAATTCATAGTGGTCAATCAAGAGAAATTTTGTAAAACGCAGGCATACAACTGAGCTCTCATTTTCATGCTTTGAGAGAGCCTCTTTATACTATCTTTCAGATACCTGCTATACCGCTCTTTGAATGTGATACCATACATTATGCATCAAGGCATTAGAACTGGCACACATACAGATCATTCACAGAAGAGGCGACCGTGTTGAACACGTTAGTTGCATTAGTGATGCCTCTTTACGATCACCGAATCCAGCATGGATGCAAGCCTTATTTCCCGATTCAGAGCACATGCACCATGTTCAGCTTCATATAAGGTTCACCTTATACCCTTCACGAGCCCCCACTTGGTCACGGCAGGGAACCGACATCCCGGTCCACAAAACCCGCCTACATATAATGCAAGGGATGCAAACAGGCGTATCAGGGTATCTCCATCACGTCGGTCCGAGCTTCTGGAGAACGCTAGATTATTTCAGGAACTACTTCATCCTACTCAAATTTGGCGAATCTTCTATCTTGTCGATCTAATCTCGTGGCTACGTATCAACCATTACGCAATTTTACGCCTTTTATATTCACATTTTCTTATGAAATCTCCCCGATCGACCAGTCGCTCGGAGATCCTCGGTCTCTTAATACAGCAGGTATATACAGAGTTCGTAACTATTTGTTCTCCTGCACCAACACCAATGAATAAATCAGGCGCGTGGTGCAGGATAGGCACGGACATACATATCAGCAATGCACACAAAAATCTGTTCTCATGAACGGGTCTTGGGCATCCATTCGATCAAATACCACCAAAACCGACGAGACTAACGAAACTAATAAAAATTGCTCTTACTGAAATTTAGGCCGGCTCCAGTAAGTGCGCATCATCAAGTCATAAGGTTGGTAAAGAACCTGGTTATAAATGGATTTTTATTCGTTTTAAGGTGGGGGAGGGGGCGGAGGTAAGCCGATCGCCGTACCTAATGTAGCAAGCCGTATGTAGGACGCATATATTATGCATGCATGAGAAATACTTACCGATCATAATAATGTACCGATCTTGACAGCGTGCCTAAGTCGGTAGGTAGGTAGGTATGACCTGAACTTGACAACCCATACACAAGTAGGTAGCTGGTTAGTTGAACGGTAAGGTGGTCTACTGATGGAATCAAATCTGTATAGATAGCCTGACGCTAGACCCCTGTAGTTCAATGAAAGTATGATAGTCATGCTATATCCTAGCTACGAAATTGCCAATCGGGTTGGGGAAGTAGAATGTGAACATGCCAAGTCATTTGGCCCAAGGTGCCTGGCTAGGGGCGCCTTCCTTAAAGGGGAATACCTCTATCTTTCGATCCTGTTACCCACATTACGGTACAGTGATTTCTCCCGATTCCGTTCTATCAAAGAGTGAGCAGTGACTACAGTAGGAAGTTATGCTTTCCTTCAGTACGTACCTACCTTTCCTGACGGCAAGGGTCCACTTCTCGCCTACAGTATACTCCATTGGTTGAATCGTATCACCTGCACCAATATTTGACTTTGACTCCTTGCGTACAGCCTAAATCACTCTATGAGTCTGTAATAGACACGTAAATGATCACGGAATTGGGTGAATTCCGAAAATGCTGCGCGGTTAACATATATATTGGTTGGCGAGTTCAGTGACGTACTCTCGTAGCCAAGATTATTACACGTGAACAGGCTTCGCCGCATGTTGAATTTTGGACTTGCCTTTCTTACTGTAACTCTCTTGGGGTTGTCTTTTCTCTTTCAATATGTCTTATCTGTTAAAGAATGGCCTACTTCCACCGGGAAGTGATTCTCCTTCGCGGGTAGCTAGTGCCATAAAGAAGGACATGGAGCGGGATATTCCGCCTAACCGGAACCTGGGGAGGTGAGTGTCTTACTATCAACACCTTAGGGATGAATGTCCTTTGTCACTAATGCTGATTTCCCTTACTAGTTTCATTTGTACACAGCATTCTGCCGCCGCGACGGAGCTCATATGCTCCAATTTCTTCAAAAACCAGGCTTGCGTGGAGGAATATGGTACCGTATCAGAGTATGTCCACAAATTCTGTAAAGAGCAACTAGAGTGATGTTAATGATGAGGATATTAGATATCTGGATCAGTGCATCTCGATACTGTCCCGTCTGTGGAACAGTGGGGAGAATGAATTGCCCGTGGGCGCGGCCACCACCGGCTCGTCCGAGGGTATCATGTTGGCAGGACTGGCAATGAAGAGAGCCTGGGAGGAAAAGAAAAACGCTGTGGGCAGGCGACCAAATGTCATTGTCGGTTCCAATGCGCATACATGCATTTTTAAGTTCACCACCTATTTTGACGTGGAAGCTCGAGTAGTTCCTGTGAACGCATGCAGTGGGTTCGCCATGGCTCCGTTAGGAGTAAGGCAAAGGCTGGACCAGGAGACAGGTAAGAAATACCTCGGGTTAAATAAACCACTCTGACATTCCAAGTGGGGGTCTTCTTGACTCTTGGGAGCACATTCACCGGTCACTACGACCCTGTGCAGGAGATAGGTCAGTGTCTGGATGATTATGAGCGCCAGACAGGACACTTCATTCCAATTCATGTGGACGCTGCGAGTGGCGGATTCGTTGCTCCTTTCGATCCAGCCTGTGACAATGTGATCTGGTAAGACGTTTTAATCCCTATCTGTCATCCCGGGTTGTTGACTGATTCGCTGATAGGGACTTTCGCGTTCGTCAAGTCCGATCTATCAACGCATCAGGACACAAGTTTGGGTTTTCACCCTGTGCGGTAGGGTGGTTGGTTTGGCGAGATCAGTCGTGTATCCCGCCTAGACTCCTAATGGAGTCGGTCTATCTGCGCGGTACACAGACTGCCTTTACCCTGAGCTTCTCGAGATCGTACGCCCCCGTCATTGTCCAGTACTTCAACTTCCACAGCCTCGGCAACAAGGGATATCAAGAGAGGATGGCGACGTTACTCTCAGGTGCAGGGAGGCTCAGCAGTGAGCTGAACGGATCTGGGTATTTCCGGTGCATCAGCCCAGGCCACGAGCCCTCGCCACAAATTGAAAAGCAGGAGAGGATGATTTGTCTTTGTCACGAGATAAATTGCCCATCCTATCGGACATCTCAACCACCTAGCGCCACCGGACTTCCCGTGGTGGTCTTCACATTGTCTGATACTTTCGCGGCACAGCACCCGCAGGTCACCATCTCGGATCTGAGCGACAGGGTCTATCACAAGGGATTTTCCATTCCTTGTAGGTTCCATTTGCCTTCCCATCAGAGGGAGGCCAGGCGGCTTGCTGACCCTTGGCAGATTATGCGTTACCGTATTGGGGCCCGGATGGACGAGGTATTGACGTTCTTCGGGTCGTGGTCAGACAGGACATAGTTCCGCAGCTGTCAATCATTTATGATTTGCTGACGCATGAGATCCGTCAGCTGTGTAAAGAGTGATTGTCAAGGGAGAAAATATGTTGGGTGATTCCCAATAGAAGATGAAAACAGACGAATAGATTAACTAGTTAGTAGTTAGTTAGTTGTGTGCCATGACTCATACGTGTGTATGTAGCCGCTCAACCATCGAAAAGTACGCGCATTTAGATAGTGAAACTGCTCAAATCCAGAGTAATGAAATACTTCAATAATCTACTATCGATTTTCAGTCAATCAAGTTTCTTGGTTTCTTACCCATGTGGCGTCACCTCTCCGCTGAGTAAACTCCAAGTGCATCTCAGTCGAAACCCCCGCCTTTTCGAGATAGGGCCGTACCCATCAGGCCACAAGGCATCAAAGTGTGAATAGCTTCATATCAGGAAACTTCGTAACACTCACACCAGGTTATCGTGGGAGGCGGCACTTTTCAAACTGGTTGCATAACCCATTGTATAGCAAATGACGGTGAACTTCAGTTGTTTCTAACTATGTTTTGATCTTAGGAGGCGGTTGAGCAGTACGAGACAAACGGAGGCCAATTTACAAGATGTGGCTATAAGGATAGAGTCAACCCACACCACGGGAAAATAACGCAATTCTCTTTTGTATAGCTAGATCTTCACAAACCGACCCCTGTGCAGTCAAGCATGAAAGTGTATCATTTGAGCACAACTCACGCCTCAGGTGCCTCAGTGGATCACGAATCATCTGCGGTCCGCCTTCGAGCGCCACATACTGCAGCCATCATTGTCCTCACGATCTCTTTCTATGTCCATTATGGCCCCAGGGCACGGAGGAGACATCCATTCGAATAACAATGTGATCCTGATGGGATCGGCGCTTGTATCGAATACTTGCTTCTATTTACCGGAAAATCCCCGCTACATAACACAGGATTTCTCTTAGATCCCCATGGCCTCTGGGGATCTTGTATTCACCGTAACCTGGCAGGGTGGGTGACGGCCGTTGAACAGGGCTCATGGAGACCGCCATACATCCGGGCTGGCGATCAGCATCACGGGTTTTTAACTTCATCTGCTATTTCACGCCAACCTCCGTGGAGGACAAGATCAGGCCCCGAAGGAGTTGAACCAGGTTCAAATGTCTTAGTTTCATCCCGTGGACACTGGCCTTGGCGCTGCATACTTCAATCTTGCAGATCCTAGCCAGAGAGTCCCATTGATCGTTTACGGAGGGTCAAACTACCACCGGCTTCTGACGGTCAAGAGAGAATGGGATCCCGATGATCGTTTTCATAGTGCGATTGGGAATCGGCAGCCAATGCTGAAATTTTGAAGGAGTATTTTGCCAAGGAACGGGTGCTTTTCTCGAATCCAGGATTCTTTGGCCCAGTAATATAGCCACCTCCTCTACAGATGCTCTGCCATCAATTCACTCCGTAATCTATGTTCACGGAATGTGTATCTCTGAAGGTCGCTAGTCCCCTCATGAACAATCGTCTGATCTAGTTCATACAATTCTCAAGTGAAGCGAGTGGCGGTGAGTCAGCGAGTTGAACCTACACAGGATCATCCCAGTAGCATCCTCAAAGTGTATTGGCGACAGCGAAGGTGACTGTCGTGTAACTTCTTTGACCCCTTGCTCCATAGCACTAAACATGCAACACCAATACACAATTCGACCTACCCTATCTCCGCCTGATCTTAGACTATAAATGCCACTTTTAAGGGCGTATAGGTCCACTTCTCGAGGTTGACAGAGACTCCTCTGGACCTCATGTTTCCTTGCGAATTGTGGTCACAATGATGCTGATATCTTTCATCCCCAGTTTTATTCTATCCCATGTTTCTTACGGCCTCCCCGACATATCACTGCTCGGGATCGTTGCAGCAACACTTCTGTCCATGTCTTTGCTTTGGTGCGTAATCGGGCCTAAGTCCCTCCCCACGGTCGATGCCCGAACGGCTCCGGATCGATATTCGCAGTTGATCAAGAATGCAAGAAAGGTAGCTGTCATTGATTACTAAACTGTTAACGCCGACTGCTAAGATGAGGTCACTGGCATTTTAGATACACCGCATTTTCACTCTAAAAACCTACGCTGGGCCCATCACTATCCTTCCTCCAGAGTATATCGATGAAGTGCGCAACGACAGACGCTTGAGTTTAGCTGCGTGGTTTGCTCAGGTACGTATGCCATGTCGAATTGATTTTGACCTACGCTGAGCAACTATACAGGAATTCTGTGTTCATTACGCAGGCTTCGAGCTGTTTCGTCCTGTCACGGTGGGGGATGACATTCTCCAAGACTCCGTCAAACAGGGACTGTCGAACACTTGGAGCACTCTGACACCCCGAATGGCTGGTGATGCTGGCATCCAGTTGGAACAGGCGTGGGGAACTAAATCTGGTAGGGCATCATGCTCTATGTTGATGACTATGTTACTCACGGTACTAGAATGGCAGGACGTTCCACTCAACGCCTCCATCGATGGCATTGTCCAGTACATTCTTGCATCCGTCCTATTCGATTCAGACCTTAACTCGCGGGAAGACTGGCTGAGCCGCGTCACGGCATGCTCGGAGGCTGCAGCCATTGCTTTAACGCAGCTGCGAAAATGGCCCCCGCTGCTTCGGCCCTTGTTACACTGGCTATTGCCTTCATGCTGGCGACTCCGAAACCAAGTCCATGATGTCCGCCGGATTATTGACACAGTAATAGCGGCGAGAAGGTCCCGAGACACCGAGAAGAAGTATGATGATGCGATCGATTGGCTGGAGCGGAGCGCAAGGGGCAGGCCATATGATGCCGCCATGGGCCCGATGGTCATGTTCTTTGGGGGAACAGACACCCTCACTGACATGTTGACCCAGGTTCTCTCCGACCTGTGTGGTCGACCGGAGCTTGTGGAAGAATTGCGACAGGAAGTGATGGACGTGACGCTGGGCCAGAATGGGTGGCGCACGCAGGATCTCCACCGCCTCCGACTGATGGATAGTGTGCTAAAGGAATCACAACGATTGAAGCCATTTGAAATTGGTGAGTCTCCTGATGAATGCCTTCCCGATCACGGTTAACCACCTCCAGTGCTGCTTCGACGGATGGCCCGAGAGACCGTGCGTCTCTCAGATGGGACTCGGATTCCCAAGGGCTCGAGCATAGGTTTCTCGGCCGACCTAATGCGAGATGCCTCTAACTATGCCAATCCGAATCAATTTCATGCCCATCGCTTTTTGCAACTGCGAGACACGCCAGGATACACTCATAAGAGCCTACTGGCTACGCCAAGTGTCTCGCATATAGGGTTCGGCTGTGGCCTTCAATCCTGCCCCGGTCGCTTCTTTGCCGCAGGATTGATGAAGATTCTTCTCACTCACATTGTGATGAAATACGACATACGAGCATCGGTGGATGAGGTCAAGCTAGTCACAGACGGCTTCAGGGTGAAGGTGGACCCGGAGGCTACGCTTTCGGTCCGCAGGCGACTGGGCGTTACTGTGCCATAGACTCTGTCTAATGGCTTCATGACCAGAACTAGGGCCAACTAGAGCCACTGCAGGGGTCACAGGAAATTAACCTCATATACGGAAGTCAAAGAAACCTGCCCAGTCGGAATCCGCAGTTGAAACTTCAACATCTCTGGGTGAGCCAAAAGAAGCTATCGAAGGGGAGACTTTTTGGAGGTAATTGTCGAGTTAAAGTGGGGAAGTAAAATACACCTTACTGTGATCAAGGGCAGGACTTCTGCCTCGCTGTTTTTGATTTTGTTATGATATCCACTCCACATTCCAACGTTAAGGTGTAATGCATATGCTTGTAGAAATTGTAGAGTTTGTCCAGAAAGCTTATACCGGTCAGAATACTGTGCCCCCACTGATGACTTGTCGAACGTGGACCAGGCTGACACGGAGCCCTTTCGAGGGTGTTCAACCTCGAGGAAACCTTGCCTGACTTTCTTCAATATTGCTAGGCGACAGGCCTCTTCCATCACATAACCGAGATTCTGCACATCTCTTTTGGGGGACATTATGGCCCCACTCGCAACGAGCATGGTGAGTAGCTCTGGCTGTATGGTTTTAAAATCCAATGAAGCCAGATGGATCCACGAGTCTATTGATTGTCCCGCCGATGCTATGAAATTCTCCAACAATTCATTAAGAACTTCAATGGAGCACATTGAGAGCACAATCTCTCGAAACTTTTCGCGGTTGCACACGCTGGTCAGGAGACTGATTATCCGGTCGCGCGAGGCTGGCAGAAGGCGTAGCGAGGGCTTTTCATTTTGATTAGCTTGAGAGAGACCCTCCTCAATAGCATTGTTTGGTATATTGTGCTGGCTCATTTGAAGCGGTGTATGCGCATTCTTGTCATTTCCAGCTGTGACCACCGCTGCGGGTTCTTGGACATCTTGGCATTGCCAACTAAGCCTGGCGTCTCTCATCACGATTTGGAGTTGAGGTACTTCAGGCTGAACAAGTAGAGGATGATGTAAGTCATTTGCAAGAGCCGTATGGTACCCCCAAAATGGTTCAGTCCCTTGGCCATCGAGCTGCAAGCCCTGAAATGTCAAAACTTGGTTGGGGGCAATACTGAAGCTGGTCGGGTCAGTCGGACTGAATGTCCCCAATCTAATGGTAGATCTTGCAGGGTAATAATCATGATAGTTGGTATGGGGCTCGGTCAAGGGATGACCGGCATTATTTCTTTCAGTGTTTTGGGGCAAATGTACACAAGATATCTGGCGGTATCTGGCCATGGCCGTTTGCAAGAGTGGCTTGACTCGCCCGACTAAAGTCCGCATGTTCGAGCAGGAGCCGGTCCTGGACTCTCCACCCTAGAGCTCTGGAGGACCCCACGCTTGCTTGATTATTCTGGAGGCACCTCTCTGTGTGATTCACGGTAGGCGCATTCTCACCCGCTGGAGCAATTTCTTCAGCAGAAGGGGTATGGGGAGAGACTGGACCAAGCGCGAGGACATCGTCTTCGAAGCCGAGGACTGGGGTGCTTGGATAATACGCGAGACTATCTACAAATCTTACGTTGTAGGAAATCCATTTCCACTTTCCACCGAAGGCTTATGGATTGAACATGCCATCACGACTCCTGTAATCGAAATTGCGGCGGATGGGAATACTGAAAAGGGTGTTTGGATTTCTTCAGGCCACGAGACCTTTCCCATTGAAGGGGAATCTATGCCAACTGGTCTTGGGGCCATTATGCCGTGGACTTTATCAAGGAAGATGGCCAGTGAAAGATCTGGCATCTCCACGTCATGGCAACCCTTAGGACGCCCTTCAATCAAAGTTGGGTTGAAAGTGCTCTGGATAAACCAGAGTTCTTGCCCGAGGATAGCAAGGTTATTGAAGGGATTGTTCCAGCTGATCGAGGTGTCTCGTTCAATCAGGCCTATCATCCTGAGAAGTCTCCCAAGTACCAACCAGTACCCCCGGATTCATACAATACCTGGAGTGAGACTTGGAGTGCGACGGATTTGTATTGCTGAGTAGAACGTCTTTGAATTGCAAATATCATTTTCTTCTCAGTCTTTCGGTTCAAGTCGAGCAGCAATCTTTCGTGCGACTTAAGGGTCCCATGTAGTTAGCGGCGCCCTGACTGGGGCTTGTTTTGTAGATTACAAGTTCATACACTCTAAGAATATGTATTCCTTCTCCCATTACATATGAGACTATCTCGCCGGGAACGTATTGCGTTGAAGGGCGAGCGAGTTTGTCAATGGTCCTTATATCTTTCCAAAGGGCTTCAATTTTAGCGGACCTATTAAGCATTGCGATATTACATATACATTGGATACTGGGCTGAGCGCCGATGTAGTGGCGATTTGGCCTACGTTGGGTGTCGCATGACACAGGATGACTTCGTAATAAGAGGCTATAGATATTCGCATGACGATATGTAGGCAGTAAACGCGCAGGTAGGCGCTCAAATCAAATCTGCACGCTAACAGGGTGAAGAGATGCGGACCTCTGGTTGTACTTTCAGTGGTTATAACGGAAGTGATGGTGATAACAGAAGCGACTCTGCAGCAATTGGCTGTAAGTTTGTGTATTAGACCATGAAAGTGAGGTATATTGCTAACCTGATCAAGGCCCTGATGCGAATTAAGAAGTCTGGGTCAAGGGACGTGATTATGTGGTATACTGTGGAAAGTCTACGTCACATTCATTTCCAGTGATCTAAATGAGTGCTAACTCTAAAGTTTTAGAGAATATATGTTGTTCCAACTCAATTTCTAGCACATACGACCATAGGGTGTGGAGAACAGGGCTTCCCGTCCGCTCAGCCGTACTTAAGCCCATTATAGTACGTGGTTAATTCTCAATGCGCCCTGAGCTCTAAAATGGCGTCGAATTTGATCTTAGGATGAGTGTGGGTGATATGGGTGAGAACTTGGAGACTGGGGTGATAGAGGTGAGAACAGGATTCTCACCCAGATCACCCAGATCACCCACTTTCCGTTTTTCTCTTGAATCCGGGCCATAAATATGAGCCCTAGGGCGCATGTACGATATGCTGTTCCTTTTTTCCCTTGACGCTCAGCCATTCGAAGAAGATGCTCCCTAAGGATATCTAAAAGAAACTTGAAAGAATCGCACATGTGTCACGTGGCTTCAACCGTGAATATCAGATGAACGAGAAAACGAAGATAACTCCGTATACCTCAAATAGCTCGCTCTAGCTACTCTGAAGAACCATAAGGATACAGCAATAAATTGGGTATTGTAAGTTATGCTATTAATAGGTATAGGTTATGATATTTGTTTTAGCAGATAGAGACTTTCTCGTCGGAAAGAAGCGACTAATACCAATTTTCCAAAAATGAACCTGGTTACCTGATCCTACCATGTAGCTTCTGAAATATTTTGCAGAAGACTATATCGCAACAGGAAAAAATATCCTCTCAGAAGACTGTATGTCAGAACTTTATTAACTTTACTTCGAGATAGGAACAAGAGACTTATCCATCTCTGCCGAAGCACGATGTTACGATATCTTTCCTATGAGGCTATTCCTACGTGTCGGAACAATAAATGACCGTATAGACATCAATTCGTGTCAGGGGCAGAGGTGTTAGGCTGAAAGAATAAAAAAGGCAGGCGTGCAGGGAGCCCAGTCTCACATAAGGCCTGCATTGATCACGCAGTTTGATAATTGTTCCTCTCCTTGGCCTTGACCATTTCAGTGTTTTCAATCGCATCCCAGACACATTCTGCCAAATCATGTAAGAGCATTTCGGCTGTCAACACGAAATCGCCCTCGCCTTCTCCTGGCTCATCCAACAGTAGGGTGTGGAATGGCACAGTAAGAGGCCCCCCTTCAATAGTAGGACTGGAGCCATCTCTCCCTTTCTTTATGAGGATTCTCTGAGCCATTCGAGGTGATAGGGGATCGTTGATGCGTCTATCGACAACGTGGCGACCGCCTGCGGTGACATAGACATCGCGTAGTGGTGGCTCGATTGCTGGGGTCCAGGATTTGATTTCGATGTGGCCAGATCCTCTCTTAATATCGACCGTAATCCCCATTCTCACTTCACCCTTTGATCCATTGATCCACCAAGCAATGTCCTTCTCCAGCTTTGCTGTTGTCTCTGAAAAGCCAACTTCTAATGCCACCGTTGGGAATTTTCTCCCTTGGCGGCGTGGCATCCAGGATCGGTCTGCCTGCTTGCTTCGGCCAGGAGTATCCACAAGAGTTGCTCCGCATGGCGCAATCAGTCTGTTGACCTTCATCTCTTGCGCGACTGTCATAATCAGTACCTCAAACATAGAGGCACCTGCTTCGTGTGGTTGACTAGGCATCGTGATAATGAGAATGTGAAGTGATGGCGAATAGTCACAGCGTCCTGGCAATTGTTCCGCGTGCTCGGCGAATGTCTCTGGTGGAAAGTGTTTCAAGACGATAAAGCGATCCTCGACCGAATACTTAGGAAAGAGGCTCTCCATAGCACACTGTTGGTTATAATAGTAAACAGGCGTACCAGAGGGAAGGAGCTCGAGAAACGAGCCTGCACTTTCTTCTGACACAACATCCTCGCTGCGATACACACGTGACATGATTTTCTGAAAGAAGTAGCTGCGAGGATATTTGTATGGTGATCTGTCGGTATCCTTGGTTTTCACCGAGACGAGAAGAGGGTAGAAATTACATAGGTCGTGATGCACGGTCTTGTCACATCCTCGAGGCCATGATGTCATTATCTTTCAACGGTCTGCCAGTGCGTTGACTATCTATAAGTGGATCTTGAATCGTCAATCCTCCTACAAAACCAGAATCACGTGCAATATCCAATAATCGGGCGCCCTTACAAAAATGGTAATAGGCTGATCGAGGATGTGCGACGTAGTTTTTGGTCCGTGATGTAGATTTGTTACCCCGCGGATTTTACTTACGCCGGACAGGACGTTAGGGTGCTACAGTACTCCATATGTTCCCGGGATTCCAGGGCAAGGGAAATACAACTTGTTGACGTCCACGTTACGTCGGCGTTGCCTGCAAAGCAAGCACATCACTTTGGCTCGAGGCAACATCGAAGTCAGCCTTGCTGTCGATTTGGCCAATCCTGGGTTGGGATTCGATGAGAATCACCCTCTCTCGCCCAGCTTCTCACCCTGTCTACTGCGCACTCGCCCTGCTCACCCCTGCTCATAACTTGTCACACGACGCTGAAGCGGCACTTTGTGCATTTTATTGAGAACATTCAGAGGATATTGCTTATTGCAATGTGAGCTCCAGTACATACGACCATAGGGTGTGGAGAACAGGGCTTCCCGTCCGCTCAGCCGTACTTAAGCCACACGCCGGCCAGTTAGTAGTATGGTGGGTGACCACATGCGAATCCTGGCTGTTGTATGTTTTTGATTTTTGATTTTTGTACTTTTTTGCCTTCCTTTTTTATATTATTTTTGAAGTGAATCACTGGACTTCAGGAGCGATGGATAGAATGAAGTAATTTAATCGCCATTGTTACCATTTCAAAACACAGGCTAAATGCGATTTTCAAGGCCATGATATGTCAATAAGAAGATTGTTTTGCTCGATTATTCGTAGAATGTGATTTCTTACCATTAGGGATTATACGGCGTAATTGATGGAAACTGATCATTTACTTGCGATAGAGATCATGGGAGACAAGAGACTACTGAAGACGAAAGACTCACTAGCGAATGAGTAGTTTCACGTCTAAAATGCAAGCAAGATAAACTTTAAGGGGCGCTCACTAATAGTAAATGATGTAAGCACTAATAACTAACCATGGCGTTCCTTCTTGGTTTGGTGCGTGCGTTAAATATTCGGATGACAGGAGTGGATCTATCATCTAATAGCTTTCGCGTTGTCCTCGACAAATAACAGTCGGTCCTTGGGGCTCGCATGTTATGGATTGGTGTTGCAAGTTGTCGAAGATTGGCAATGCGAAGTGCGACAGGACTGCCTTGTCAGCCTCGCCTCTGTACGGATGCAAATATCGGGACTAATGAAGGACCTCGTATTCAGAACACTTGAATGCCGATCAATTTCAAACGCATTGACCTAGGCAAATCTTATTCATTTGAACGCCCTTTTCTTTGGTTTGGACTGCGCTGTACCCCAGAACCGCTCAAAATTCCAGTCGCATGCGAAGAGCACCCGTACCTCAATAGACACAGTAAACCTCCTCAATTTCGAAACCGTTACAACTCCCAGATGGCGACTGCTCCGAGCAACTTTGCCTTCACCTCCAGCCTGCCAAACTTTGAATGTCCGACATTCTTCAGCGGATGGCTCTGCCCGCCCCCAAATGCTTGCGCACACGATGCCGATACCGGGAGGATCTATTGCTGCAACCAGCAGGATAGTTCTGTATGTCGGACTATTTCGATAGAATGAGCGAATGATGGCAGCACCCTCGGCTGTAAGAATGCAGGTCAAACCTGGCGTTGTGTTAATGAAAAGTTTGCTCCTTTCCCCTGCGACCTTTGCCCTTGGGCTGACTCCAAATATTGCTCTTCGCGATGAACTGACTGCATTTTCTTGCGTGAACAGAGAGACCTGCATCACAGCCAGTGGCCGGCATAACGTGTGCTTTAGCAAAGCCCAAGATGTCCTGTTTGACCTCAACGCCGAGGCGCTTAATGCCACGTACTCATCCCTGGCCTCCGCTTCGCCATCTGCGAGCAGCTACACTTTCGACCCTGTGAGTTTAGGTGTCCAGCCGACGTCCTCCCCTTCTACCACCAGTACTGGAACCGTCAGCACTGGAACCACTGCCTCAGCTCCTCATTCCACAACAAACGTACAGAGCACAGTAACAGTAATCGCCGGTACCTCTACCTCGTTGTCGGGCGGTGCCATTGGGGGGATTGTCGCTGGCGCGGTAGTTGCCTTGATGATTGCACTAGGGGCTATTTATCTTTTTTTGAAGCGCAGCTGCTCACAACAGGCCCCTCCTGGGCCAGGTCCTCATCCTCCAGAACCGGCGTATATCATGCCGCCTGCAGGCACAGATTGGAAGCTCAGGGGAAACCGGTTTATGAAACAGCGTATACGGAGCGGCCTTACGAGGTTGAAGGGCCGACGAAACAAGTGCATGAAGCTGGTGGGCTGGCGTCCAACAGGCACGAATCACCGGGGCATTGATGGTATAGTTATATCAGGTCATGGCAGACGATATAGCGAGAAGTATGACAAGCTCGAAACCTATTCAGTATATACAACTGTTTTTCAAATGCCTCTTGGAATACGGTATCCCCTCTGTGGGTGGTAAATATCAATGCCCGAATGTTGACTGCAATCCTTCTGTTATATCCGTATTATATACCCCCTATTAAGAACGGAATTCAAACTGAACCTCAAATTTCCGGGGTTGGTCTTTACTTTGCGAACTGTAACCGCTGGAACGCGACTGGTGTTGGTTTTCATTCCAAGGCTACACTTCGGTTTGTGGTTAACCACAGTTTTGTAAACGAAACAGAAAAGGCTCAGTGAAGTAGCCTTCTCTAAGCTGGCCTGGAGAGATTATTTGTCGGCTTCCTGTCCAATCTTGAGTTTCATCTACTGATTGGCCATTTTCGGTTTTCGTCGCGCTGTTTTTGCGGTCTTAGACATGTGAGTTCTAACTTTTGTGGAGTAGGTAAAGGGGGTTATTGTTACGTGTGGAAAGTTGGGGAGATACTTAGTGTTATGCATTTCATAACAAAGGTAACGGAGCCGGAAAGAGAAGGAAAGAAGAGAGAGGCCATATAATACAGCAGTATCGCGGGGGCAATTCTGATGTATCTCGTGATCAGGCCATTATTACCCAAATTCGGCACAACAGCAAATCTCCCTTTACAACCCTCCCGAGGCTCCTAAACGCTCGACTAATCTGTTCGATGATGATTTTCATATTGGTCAGTCTGTTTGTTTAATTGTGCTTTTGGTAATATCTGAACTTACTCACCCACATTACGCGACAAGGGCGGTCATTTATGGACTACAGGTTCAAGTCCTCAAAAATTGTCTGGTAAGCGGAGTGAGCCCACCTCCTGGAGCGGCCGGGAAAATATTTATCCGCCAGAGCTCCTGGTAGCTACGTTTCCCCCTAACTTCAAGGGGCGGATATTGCGTTAGTGAGATGACAGAAACATAATGAGTCGGTAACCTCAGACTGATATATCACTATGAATCGTACGCGTCGTCCCCTCCGAGAAGAACTCACATTTTCTGTTGCCAAAGAGCGGGAGGTGAATGTCCTTCATCAGTAAGGCTATGTCGACCGACAACGGCGCTTCTTCTCCCATCTCGATACTAGACGCAATTGGATAAAAGATGTTGTTGCCCATCATTTGAACTTGGATTCAGCCGATATGTGCCATATTGCAAATATCGAAGACTGGTTCCGCGGCAGCTTGAATGTTTGTGTTCCTATTACTATTGTCAGTTGGAAACGCCGACAGCAGCTAGGAAAACGGGTTATTCTGCGATTTCCTCTTCTATATCGAGTTAGAGACGATACTAGACCTAGAAATAGGAACGAAAAGATCTAATACGAAGCTGGCACCTACGTATGGCTTCAACAAAATTGTCCGGAGATTCCAATTCCTCGATTGTACGGGTTTGCTCTATCTAAAGGTGAATCGGTATAAGACTAACCTTATTCTTTCTTCGCAGAAAATCTGTTATCTAATTCCTAGAAAACAGTTTATATAAGTTAACCGCCTGCCTCTTCTCAGTCGTTGCTTTGAGTACCTACGCCGTTAGGTATGCTATTGCTTTCGCGTCCTAGCACCGTTGAATTATATCCGCCGTCCAAACCAGTCCGAATGCGATTTAGACCGATTAGAATATACGGGATATTTATTGATAGAGTTCATTAAGGAAGCCTAGGGGACAATGCTATAGAACACTTAGGCTGAAAGGCAATATAATAGCGAGTTACGGAGCAGTCTCTTTAAAGACTTATCTCGGATCCTGCTCAATCTTAGCAGAGTGCCTCTGCCGCGTATTAGGTCTTTTATCATAGACAGGAAGGGGTTTTTAACGCTAACTAATCACCCGCTTTCGATGGAGCTTCAGGGATTAGAAAACGAGAATATCCCGACCGATATCCCCTATGACTTTACGTATTTAACTGTAGAGTCTTACGTGACAGATATCCTAGGGGTACATGATAGCCGCCTGCGGTATCAACCCAATGCAGTGAATAATGTACAAGACTGTGGCTACCAGATATCAGCGCTAGCGACAATGCGGACAATACTTCCATTGTTTTTCTGTCGAAAGTGGCGTCGTGGCCCCTTTGTTTTCATGTTAACTGACCTTCATCAAAGCAACATTTTTGTTGAATATAACTAGCGTATCATATGCCTGGTTGACCTTCAATGGGCCTGCTCACGCCCTGTTGGGATGGTCGAACCTCCATGCTGGTTGACTAATAAAGGGGTGGATGAAATCGATGTCGACGAGTATGACAAACTTCGGCAGGAAATGATGACTATCATGCGCACTGAAGAGGCAGCAAACTTGAGCGAGACCCCTCTCAAAGACGCAGCAGGAACCCCGCTACGAGTATCTGAGATCATGGAACAGGCACTTGCGTCCGGTGGGTTCTTTCTTCTTGGCCTGGCCAGTGGTGGGGGAAAAGTCTGAAGAGCTAGGGCGCTCTGATGAAGCGTAGTCGTGAACCCGCCTCATGTGGCCAAGATCCCATCTACGGGGAAATCCGTATTCGGGAACAGATCTATCGCATCCGTCAAAGAGGCAAAGATGAGAGTTGTCTCCGTGACCGTGAAATCCATGGGATTATTCGATAATCTGCTAACCATAGATAAGGCTGACGAGAACAGTCTAGCATATCCGAAAATCGATCCAGTCTCGAGGTTCTTTGCCATTGTCTGTAAGAAGCTTAGTCTGTTTTTATCTTCACTTAATTCCACTACTCCTCAAGCTACAGCAGCGTTGAATCTACCTCGGGCTAGCTGAGAATGGGTACTGTTGGAGAATTTGTGCTACATACGTTTAGGGATTGTTGTTGAACGACCTTGGTTGGCTGCGTCAGCCCAAGTGCTCTACGTTGTTTCGCGAGAGCGAGTCGAGAACTTCCAGCAGCTCCTAATCAATAGCGCTACGGCTTGAAAGTGTCTCCAGAAGGTCGATTCAGTCCCTCTTTGTTCGTGAACTCTACGGAGTGGGGACATTGTCAATGTACACATCGGACACAGTACCGCTCTAACTAAGGTTTCTGACCTTCGAAGACTTGATGATGGCCGGTTTGTTGCGGTCTACTGTTGGCTATATACAAAAGACGACATACTCGATGAGCTCTAGATTGACGGTGCTATTCCTTCGTCGACCCTTGCTAACTTGAATCAAATGTGGCCGCCCGGAGTTCGCTACAAATACATGCTAAGCACCAACCGAACAATCTATTTTTGGAGTTCTTGAAGCCTTGATATCCATGGACGTATAACTCCTGAACTCAATTGGCAAGTGCGTTCTTTACTTGCTTTGTACGTCGCCTGCATTTTTTTAGAATCTTTAGGCTCTTAGTGAATCTTTGGGCTAATTTCAAATACTTGGATTTTGTTTAATTTAGTTCAAGCGGGTCAGTCATATGTCTGGCAGGCTTGCATTGCGCTAGGTGATGCTAGCGACCATTACGGTACTGTCGCTATGAGCTCTCTTCCAGCAGCTGGTCCTGCAAGCGAAAGTTGCTCGGCTAACTCAATTGGTAGAGTGTGAGACTGTGAGTCCCCTCTGATTGGCCCAAATACCGTAATCTTGAGCTGAAAATGACTAATAATCCTGCTCCAGTTTAAATAAAAGAGATATCTCAAAGTTGCGGGATCGAGACCCGCGTCGAGCGTTCATTTGGCTCATTCGAGCTTTTCTTTTTAATTTTTGACCAAAACTTGCCAGTAAAAGACAATTGACAGTGGGACAAAACATTTCAAAAAGTTTTGCATGTTGGAGAGTCGAAATATATGAAGCCGACGAAGGTAGGCAGATCACATGACATGCAGGCGGAGCGGACGAATCGATAATCCTCGATAAGAGAGCAAACAAAGCAGACGGCAGGCGAGCTTCCTCGAATTTTGAACCATCGCTCCAGGCCGTAGGACTACCTTAACCCCTCGACTAGGAGGCAGTATGGGCCTGGCAGTATCATGCGAAACCTCCACCCTATCCAATTGACGCCTTTTATCGCGCACCCTTGGCGATACGTGCGGCCTGGCGTCCGATCACCCGCGCGTTACCTCCGGCCACCCACGCACTCCCTTCCTTCCAATCGTCTCCTCCGCCTGCTAGCGACTGCGTCCATTCCTCGAAAACTCGATCTTCCGGCTCTAGATAAGAAATGGCAAGCGAAATGGCAGTCCGCGGGCGCGTCGTCGCGACCGGTGGCAGAGATGAGCTCGGAGCCCAAGCCCAAGTCCTACGTCCTGTCAATGTTCCCCTACCCGTCTGGTACGCTGCACATGGGCCATCTTCGAGTATACACGATATCTGATGTGATATCACGGTATTACAAGATGCGCGGCCATGATGTACTGCATCCCATGGGGTGGGATGCGTTCGGATTGCCGGCGGAAAATGCGGCGATCGAGCGAGGCGTGGATCCGGCGGTATGGACGGAGCAGAATATTGCGAAGATGAAGGAGCAGTTGAGGCGTATCTCTGCTTCGTTTGATTGGGATAGAGTGAGTGGAATTTGAGAGTTGCGACTAGTCGCGTTGTCAGTGCGTGTGACTGACCCGGGCGTTTCCTATAGGAACTGGCGACCTGCGCACCCGAATTCTACGAGCACACACAGCGGATTTTTTTGATGCTATACGAGAAAAGGTTGGCATATCAGGCCGAGGCTCTGGTCAACTACGACCCCGTTGACAAGACGGTGCTGGCAAACGAACAGGTGGACGCGAACGGCTTCTCATGGCGATCGGGCGCGAAGGTTGAAAAGCTGAACCTCAAGCAGTGGTTCTTCCGTATCACTGAGTTCAAGGAAGCTCTGCTAAAGGATCTCGACTCGCTCTCGGGGGCTGGCCCGAGCGTGTCTTGTCCATGCAACGGAACTGGCTTGGGAAATCACACGGAGCAAACGTTACATTTCCCGTCACTATTGGTGGAGATGGCCAGGAAGTCAATGTGAACGTTTTTACTACCCGCCCGGATACTCTGTATGGTGTTGAGTACCTCGCGCTGTCGCTGGACCATCCCATTGTTGTAAAGGCTGCTGAGAAGGATGCAGCGCTTCGAAAATTCTTGGACGAAGCCTCCTCGCTGCCAGCTGATTCAAAGGCTGGTTATCGCCTAAATGATGTGTTCGCATCTCATCCTTTGCGGATGATTGACAATGAGAGCCCGCACATACAAAGGAAGCTGCCCATCTTCGTGGCACCGTATGTCTTGAGTGACTATGGCGCGGGGGCTGTGATGGCTGTCCCTGGCCACGACAACAGAGACATGGCCTTTTTCAAAGAAAATGTCAACCCCGAGTACATCCCTGTTGTCATCGAACCAGAGTCTCCAGACAATGCAACAAACGATAGCATCATATCAGCAAAGGACGCCAAAGCTTTCACTCAAGATGGTTTCTTGACTTCGCGTTGCGGAAAATACCAAGGTCTACACTCCAAAGAGGCTGCAAAGCAGATCGTGGCAGACCTGGAAAAGGTTGGACAAGCTAAATTCGTCGAGACTTGGCGACTGCGAGACTGGCTGATCAGCCGGCAGAGATACTGGGGAGCTCCTATCCCGATCATCCACTGTGGTGATTGTGGCTCCGTTCCAGTACCGGCGAAAGACCTGCCCGTCAAGCTTCCTAAGATTGAAGGAGAGTGGCTGAAGGGCAAGAAAGGCAATCCACTTGAATCGTCCGAGGAATGGCTTCACACTAATTGTCCCAACTGCGGCGGTCCTGCAAAGCGCGACACAGATACTATGGATACCTTTGTAGACTCGTCCTGGTACTATTTGCGCTTCCTGGATTCCGCGAACAAGGATGCTCCATTCTCACCTTCCATTGTGCGGCCTGTGGATGTGTATATTGGTGGCGTGGAGCATGCTATCTTGCATCTGCTCTACGCTCGATTCATTTACAAGTTCCTTGCTCAGTCTGAGCTGTTCCCAGCAATCTCGCACTCTGATCAAGCCCCGGCCGAGCCTTTCAAGACTCTTCTCTCCCAAGGCATGGTTCACGGGAAGACCTTTACGGAGCCTTCCACTGGTCGATTCTTGCTCCCCACAGAGGTGGACCTGTCTAACCCTGACAAGCCATTGATCAAGGGCACCAAAATCACACCCAATGTGTCTTTTGAGAAAATGTCAAAGAGCAAGTACAATGGTGTTGACCCGACTGTTTGTGCGACTAAGTACGGCGCCGATGCCACACGTGCTCACATTCTCTTCTCTGCGCCCGTCAGTGAGGTCCTGGAGTGGGACGAAACCAAGATTGTCGGTGTAGAGCGTTGGTTCGGTCGACTGTGGAAGCTCGTCCACGACGCTCAGCAAACCCTCACTGACGCATCCTTCGCGATCAATGCGGCTGATCTGGACACCTCGCACGGTCATGTTGTCTCCCTTCGTCCTTCACTCCAGGACTTGAGTGACTCCGACGCAGACGCAGTCCTGGCAACGCATAACATCGTATCATCCGTGACATCGTGCATTGAGACAAACCCCTACGGTCTAAATACCGTCATCTCAGACCTAATCAAACTGACTAACGCCCTATCATCGGCCCCACCTTCCTCCTCACTCGCCCTCTACCTATCAATCTCATCTCTCCTCCGCCTCCTCTCACCCATCGCACCAGCCCTTGCCTCCGAATCCTGGGAGATCCTCCACAAAGCCCTCGTGAAGAACATCGACCCCCCAACTGAAATCCCATCAATTCATTCCGCCCCATGGCCTACACCCCTCCTCACTCCAGACCAAGCAGAAGCCCTCTCCGCCCGCGGCGGCCAAACAGTCGCAGTCCAGATTAACGGCAAACTGCGCTGCGCCGTGACTATCCCGCGCATGGACTCATCGGCGACTTCTGCTTCCACGGGTAAAGCCCCGCCGCAGGAAGAGCAAGACTGGATTATTAGTCGGGTTCTGGAAACGGCCGAGGGCAAATTGTGGCTGCAGGAGAAGAATGACTGGGAGAAGAGGAGGAGGGTTATTGTTGTTAAGGGAGGGAAGCTGGTGAATGTTGTGTTTTAGGTGGGATTGTTTTTAACTTTGCTTTTCAAGTGCATTGCATTGCGCTGCGTTGCATTTGCATTTGCATTTTGAGTCGTCTGGGGGTTGTCACTGTATGTGTGTGGGGGTAGCTCTCCATCCTGCAACTTGTATTTTTACTACTTAACTAGAATTGTACAATAGATCTAACATCAATCTCTCTCAAAGAAGTGCTGAGGTTTTGTCGCTTGTTAAACATAAAATTGATCCAGCTAATGCGGTTTCGAGGTTCCATTAAGCCCTGACTGAATCTCTGCCTATTGCATGAACCCAGATCTTGAACTTAATTAATCTAACTGATCCTACATCACGACTCCCAAGATGCAAGTTCAATTGTCACCCGATTTATACTGGTTTCCCTTCCATCTGGATACTCGCTGGGACAAAAAAACTCGATCGAGCCAACATAGGGCTATGTACAGTAGTTGTATGTAATCTACCACACACAATACTCAATCTACAACTAGCATTTGTATGTGTAGTGACAGAAAAAGTAGTGATAAATAAACTCAGCGTTTCAGTGCCCCACCAGTAGAGTTCTATCGCTACCCCCGAAGTCCAAAAGCAAAGTCACCGCCAACTGGGACCACATCGGTCTCAACAATCGGGCCATGATAGACCTTTCTCCCCCACACTGCGTACCAAAACAGGCCGAGGGAGAGCTCACCAAGAAATACAACGGCCGACCAGTTCATATTCTCCGGTGTAACAGGTAAACTTGCCGGGAAGAAGGAGAAGAAGATCGTGATGGTCAAGAAACAGATAGAGGAAATGTTGATAATGATACCGAATCGACCAAGGATCCAGGGTCCATATTGGATGTTTTCGTTCTTAATCTTCTTGATCACCATGAGGACGATTGCAATTTCATATGATGCAAAAAGACCCGCCGTAGTAAGCGAAATAATAGCGTTAAACGCAGCGGTCGATCCCACATTGATGACGCAAATCAAGCCCGTGATAATGGCACAGAGAAGAACAGCAGGAATAGGCAGACCGGAGCCTGAATTGACCTATAGGTAATTGGAGGAATTAGAAACAGCTCTAATTTCACGCGTAAAAAAAGTAAACGAGAGAAGAAAGAAAAGGGAGATAGTTACATGGGCTAGAAAGTCGGCAAACGGTAGCCCCTTATCTCTTGCGAACGCCCATGTAAGGCGTGATGCAGAAGCTAGGAATCCGAAAGATGCACATATTACAAGCACAATCGGAATAGCGGTCATGACAGACGTTCCTGCATGGGATTTTGTGGCATTGAAAAAGACCTCAATGAAATCGTACCCAGTGGGGCTTTCCAAAACCGACATATCACCAATGCAGAAAAGGAATGCAAGCACAATAGCGAACCCCAGAGCACCGTTTAGCAATATTGTGCTAATCATGCACCATGGTACGATTGTTGAGGCGTTGACAACTTCTTCGGCTATAGTAGGTTGGTTAGAAGACCGAAGAGGAGATCGAAAATGCATGCTTACCCATATGACAAGGGCCATCATAGCCTGCAGGACTGTCTGTTAGATATATTTTCCAAATGTGGAAGGGTGAAATCATACCGATGAATGGAAGATTTGTTCCCATCAAACCGATCAACCAGGTGAGACCCGGGTTACTCCACCCGGAGCTATTGATGAAAGAGCCGAATACAAACTCGGCATTTTGGTGTGGTGCCATGTATACAAGTGGAATAAGCACAGCGAAGAACCCCATGACGTGAAGGATCAGAATAAGACCTTCTGCCCTAGGAAGAAACTTTGATCCAACAGAGTTGATCACAACACAGACAGCCAATGCGGCGAACATGAGCAAAGTTCCGTGCCACCGTTCAAATGTATAATCCGGGTAATTCAAAACGAGAAGGCCCTGGGTGACCGTGGCCCCAAAATATACACCTGCAGCAGTATTTGCCCACCACCCTATCATGTCAAGCCACCCAGTCACCCAGCTTAGAAATACTGCCTGGCTCTTGGGGGCAAGCATTGCTACCCAGTGATATTGTCCGGATGAGGTAGGCGCCCTGTGGATTCCATTCGCCTTTGTTACCAGATCAATCAGACCGAGGAGCTTCGCACATTGACGCCATCTCAGCCAACGAGGCTGCTGTAACTAGAGCTCCGAACCAACAAAATAGGAATCCGTAAACCAGTGTCACAGGGCCTCCGAGAAGCATCGCGGTGGGATTGGCACTGTGGATATACATTAGCTTCTGCAGAATGGGTAATTCGAGCGCGGGAACTCACAAAAGTACTGCCTCCCAGGTACACATCATCGTAGTTGTAAAGCCTAACATTGACAAGAAACCGAAGTTCCTCTTCCTTTGTTTAGCCCACTTCCAAAGCAAGAATATTAAGGATACCATCCATACCTGGAACCGCTGCTTCTTACCATGCCTTGCCAGGTCCTCATCATCACGGTGCTTGTATGACTTGGAACCCAGCTCTTGTACTATCAATTCTCCATCTCTGAATGCCATATTGGAATTGTTAAAGTAAAGATTTTAACAAATCATACGCAGTAAAGTTTAACGAGGTAGGGGAGAGGTAGATGAGAAAGAAGGAGAAAGACTGATTCAACGAAGGAATTACTTTGGATCCCAACGCTAGGCTATAAAATCAGCTTGCCTTAGTTTATCCATTACTACAGTGTCCTTTGAAGTGATTAGCTCGCTTGGGGTTGCGTTAATGATTTAGTCTCGAGTGAAACGAATTGATTTTGATGAAAAGGGGGCGAACGCATTGACGGCTACAATCCATGAAGCACTAGCCCGGAGTTATCTCTGGAATACATGGAACTAAGCGCACCAGGAGTCTTTCTTGACCTACACTGGCTACGAGTTTATGCAAAGCGGTGGATTTGCACCGTATGCGGTTTGATTGGTGGGTTTTAAGGGGTGTCAAGACTTATGCGTAGTCCCTGTACTCCGTACAATGACTCGCAAGTTGGACACACTGGCTCAATACACTCTATGATCTAGTATTCTGTCAGTCAAAAGCCTCTGGGGGAAGGGGGCATCGGGTAGAAACGCATTCTAAGAAGCAGCCAATGAGTGCAATGAGTGCGGGGGTTATAGGTGGGCCAGTGTCACTGTAAATCGGAACCCCCGTCGATCCGACAATTACAATACGACGGAAGGCCACACGGAAGTTACATAGGCCCGTGTTTATTAATGCTTAGCCTCTTCATATTTCGAGGTGATCACTAGAGCCCCACCTAGAGAAGATTTTGGTTGGCTGGCCTACAGCGAAACCTGTACGGATTAACCCTGTTCTCCTTCCTCGCCACGCAGCACAGATGGGGGCCATAAAGCGGACCAGGCGTACAAGGTATAACAGGGATCAAAATCCTTTCAAAAGCTATTTGGTAGAAAGTTTGGCCCCCTGCACAAGGAAGAGGTCTAGCAACAATCCCACAATTTTGCCTGCCATTCATTTTGCTTCTGAATCTCCCCAAAATATTCTTGTTCAATTACATCCAGGGTCTGTCAACGACTCAATATGGGCTCTAGCACCAATTTGTTCATGCGTCCTATTTACTCGCAAGAGCAAATAAACCAGTATTTTGATCGAATCAACTTGCCCCAACATCATCGGGAATCCCTCGTGATCAAAGAGGGCCCAGATATTGATCATGACACTGCTCGGGTCTTTCTAGGAGTGTTGCAGCTCCATCACCTCACAGCCGTCCCTTTTGAAAACCTCAATTTGCATTACTCCGCCCACCGCAGTATCTCCATAGACAGCCAGGAGGTCTTCGATAAGATTGTGCATCCCAATACTGGTAGAGGCGGTTATTGCATGGAGAATAACACCCTGTTCGGAACCGTTTTACGAAGCTTGGGATATAGTGTCACCTCGGTTGGAGGACGTGTCAATGAAGCTGTGCAGCCAATGTCTGCGTCAAGGAACTGGAGAGGCCCGAAGTACGATGGGTGGTATGGCAAATTCTATTCCCCTCGACATAATTCTCTAAACCAAAATTTAACAACTCAAATCTTAGGAACCATATGGTCAACCTTATTACCATCGGGGAGCAAAAGTATCTCATAGATGTTGGCTTTGGCTCGAATGGGCCACATCAACCTATACCTTTACAGCGGGAATTTAAGTTCCACAATGTTGGCGATCAGTTTGGACGGCTTCTCTCTGGCCCCATTCCTCAACATACTAGCAAGAACCAAACCCTTTGGCAGTATGAGGTATGCAATGGGGAAGGGGCAACATGGACCCAGGCCTACTGTTTTACCGAGACGGAGTTCATTCCGGAGGACTTCACGATCATTAATTACTACATGAGCACGAGTCGGGAAAGCTGGTTTACCTTCCACGTCGTATGTGTGCTGATGCTTTTGGATGAGGAGAGTCAGAAAATCGTTGGAGATCTAACTCTGTTCAACAATACGCTGAAGCGTCGTTTGGGAGCGACGTCCGAGGTGTTGGAAACATTTACCTCCGACGAGGAGCGCGTGGCTGCTCTAGCGAAATTCTTTAATATCCCTGTCTCGAAGGCGGGCCGAGAAAGTGTCCGCCATACCAGCTCGGAGATTCTATAGTTTATTAGTGTCTCACTTCAGAGTTCTCGGGCGAACTAGCCGCAGAATAAACAAGATTCGGAAGGAACTTTGATCAGTAGCATTCATTGGTCGCTGTATCAATTGGGTTGCCTCGAGACTTTCTTTCTTCCCGCGGGGCTACGGGAAGGACAAACAATAATTGACGGTACTGGTGTACGTACTCCTCAATTTACCAAGACAGACTAAAGTATGTACGTGGCTCTAGCCTGATGCTTGAACTTAGGTGGGACTGAGATTGTGTTTTGGGGTGCGATGGGGCTGTTTCGTAAGCCCGGTAGATCCCGCGGCCAACAAAACTACCCTAATGTGCCTAAGCTTTAGGTGCATTTTGGTACCCTTGCGAGGTTACATCGAAACGCACTACTAACAAGGTTTGTACATCTTTACTCTATATCATGAACTTTGTCTGTTAAAGCAAATATACATTTCCCTCTAATTTTAGACGTTGTATTTGCGATGTGTAAATGTTCATGAGTAAGGGGCCTTGCAAAGATATGGGAGTTTGAATAAGCTACGGCTTGTTTTGATTTTGTCATGTGAATACTATCAAATTAAATGCTCTCCTCCGTAGTGCGAAAAGAAAGAATACAGTAGGTGATAGGTGACTGTGGGTTCAGGATCAAGATGCTTTTGGGCACTTGAAAATTATGATCTGTCCAAGTGATTTTCGCAGACTGGGGCTAAGATGAGGGGGTAGTGCTACAAGGGGCATACTCATTCTAGTCAGGGACCCTTAAAAGGATCTGAATAATTATGCTAGCCAGGCGACCCCCTGCTTAGCGAATTCCTTTGAGTATTAGTCGGAAAAATGTTACGGCGAGCGTTAATCAGAAGGCAATATGGAATACATAGTTCGAGAGAGAAATTAACATCTCGTGAACGTCTTGGTCAAAAAAGATGGTTGCCTGTGATGCTAAATTTTGTAGTAGATAATGGCCCCCTAAATTTATGTGCCTAGGACGGGGCAGACACGGGATTTTAGAGTTATCCATGCAATGGCTATTTCGAACAGCGTTAAGTGGCAGCAGGGATCCTGAAGGAGCCCAGTTTGATACATAGGGTTGTATTGCTTCCCATATCTTCGTATAATCCGCGCAGTGGAACTGCTTCATGTCAACCGAATGATTCCTATGTGACTCAGGGGATATTTAACTTGACTCATTTTGGAAGACTCATCTGGCCTTACCATACCCTCCAAATGCATCGACTCGATGCACGCACAAATTATCCTGCATCACAAATCCCAGCCAACCATGTTGACGAAATCGCGATCGCAACTTTGTACCTTTTGGTTATGATGCTAATGGCTGTACTCATTCGACTTACCTTTCGACTGTATATGCTCAGGTCGTTGCATTGGGATGATGGGATTGTAGTCCTTTCATCGGTATGTTATTTTTGGTTGTATTCGGTGCTTTTCCTTCTGATGTTCAATGAATATGGACTGAGAAGTCGAGGAAAACAGGTCTTCGGGATTGCTCAGTCTTGTACTATCTTTGCGGGAACACAACATGGCCTTGGAAAACGACAAACGGATCTGGCTGCGGATGAAATAAGCGCAATAGAAAAGGTAAAATCCACCTTTATACTGTATTTTTTACATTGAATGACATTGAGACCTCTTTCTAGACCCTCTACGCGTCCGATCTGCTCTATGTTCTCAGCCTAGCCCTCTCAAAGAGTTCAGTATTACTCTTCTTGCAAAAACTGTGTGTCAAAACACCGCACAAGAGGGTATGCTTCTGGTCGTCAATACTTGTGGTATGCTGGATAATTCCAGTATTCTTTGCTTTATCTTTCAAATGCGGGATTTCCAGTCCCTGGAATTTAGGAAATCAACATTGCATCAACGCTGTAAGCTTAACCTTGAACCAACCTCAACATCAAAGCTAGCTTCGCACTAATAATCGTCTCCTAAACAGTTCGTCTTCTGGGCCGCTATATCTCCGATAGATATTATTACGGAATTGGTAATCTGTGTACTTCCACTATACATTGTCATGCCCGTCCAAATCAGTTTCGACAAGAAGGTTACCGTGGTAGTCGCATTCGCCTTTCGCAGTTTGTATGTTCAATTCCGAAGCAATCACAATTATTTTCATAGAGCTAATCATTCCACCCAGTGTGATCATCACAACCATAATCCGACTTTCCTTTATGCACCAAGGCCAACCATCAGCAGATATGACTTCGTATGCCTACCGAACTACCGTTGCCTCCCAATGTGTCCTCTGCATAAGTCTCGTGACGGCCTGCATTCCATGTTTGAAACCTTTCCTCGACGCATTTCAGAGTGGAATGCTTAACGTCTCACGAAAATTCCACACTGGGGGAAGCTCAAGTAACTCAGCCGGCAATACATATGCGTTAGTCAGCATTGGTCGTGGGGCAAAGGAGTCAGCGAATCGATCTCGATACATGGAGGACGAGGTCGAAGTTTTGGGAACATCAGCCGCAGCATTTGCGGTTACAGCTCCGGTAGAGCCATTCAAAGAACCTCACTCCACAAAAGATATTCACAGGATCGACCATTGGAGTGTTCATTATGAGTCCAGGGATCGGAAATCTTCGGAGTCGGTTATCGATGAGATAGTATCGGAAGTAAGCGGGAACAGAACCGGGCACTGTTTGTGATAGAAACTCGATCTTCATAGACCATGATCCTTAGCAAACCAAGAAAGACTCATGCTACCTTTCTAGTATATGTCTGTAAGCGCTCACGTGAAATGACGTTTGTCATGAAAGCCTAGGCCATACTGTCTTCCTACCGGCAATCGGGTCTTCGTCCACCTCGGAGTTGATATTTTAGAGAGACGTATCAGCAGTCACCAAGGTATCAAGTCAAGGCCTACGGTATCTAAAACCTCGCAACGTTATTTGGCTTTTGTCACTGGATGTGTGTGGGGTAGCTTTCCATTCTGTATTTTGTATTCTTACTCCTTGACTAGAATCAAACGGAGAAATAGTTATACTAGGAGCCGCCGATAATCATGATGATTCAGCCATCCCCTTCGAAACCCCAGTATCAGTAGTACCAGCCTGTGTGGTCATGGAGCTGACGGTGGACTGTGCGAGAGTATGGGCGCCCTCGGATCTTCCATCAACGGTTTGGGCATGCCGTCGCACACACGAATCTCGGTGTTATCGACGCGAATCATTGACTGAAGCTCATCGATGTACTCCAGGGTCACCTTCACATGACGGTCATGGTTCTTCTTGGCCGCCTTCAAGTTCTCCTGAAATTGCCTGGCCTGGCTTGCCAGCGATCTCAGCATATCAGTGTCGGGTGTCATTTTGGGAGTACTAACAGAAGAGGTTGATATTAGCAGTAATTTGGAACAGAGTATGCACGAAGATCCTGAGGAACGGGAACAGGGGAGAGCTGACATGGTTTAGTGCAGTTTAAGGATATATGAGATAGTTATCTCCCTGGTCAACTGGCAGGTGACTAAGCGACCATAACTTCCATAAGTTCCCACGATCGAAGATTCTATCATCGAACCCGACAGCAAACAATGTAGAAACCCGGCATGGAACCCAAGACGATAGTAGAGTCGCGGGGGTAATGGATTGAAGTAGTCTCTCTAGTCTCTCGGGAATTTGGCAAAACCTTTGAGTCCTGTATACGTTATCCCATATAACAGAGAGGGTGGGGTGGGCAAAGCGTGAGCTGACTGCCCAAGTAGGTAAGCCCGAGGCTAATTTCTCGACAAAGCGCTCCATTTCCGACCTTCCATCCGCTATTGTGTTGTCAATGCCATGGACAAAGAATACCACAAGCTAAAAAAATTTAAAACTTATCCTCAGTTAGTCGTGTCAACTAGTGTTCTTCGAAAAATTGTATCTATGACAATCTTTCCACTGTACTTCGCCTGCATATTTCAGTATTCTATTCTCATCGGGATCTCCGGACTAAGGAACAAGAACGATCGGCAAACCCCTGAACACCATATTGTCCTCCGTAGTTGGGCACTTGACAGTGACGTAGTACGCTTTGACACCTAAACCCAAATCTCTGCCTCGATTAAGGTTGACCGTGGCCCCAATTCCCCAATGAACTTACCCCGCCCGCTACCGAACTGATGTCGCCACACAAGAAACCAAGCAACGTGTCGCGATACCTCCAACAAGATTAATCGTTCCTGAAGTCTTTCTTTCGTCGGGGCCGGTCTCATAACCTAACTAGACTGAAAGTGGGCCTGGATCTACTATCTCGGCCTTAGCGGGCATCTGGCCGCTGCAAACAAAAGGACCCTTGGGCGCTTTGATAGGGGCGCTGGCCTGTCCATCGACTGGGCGTGCCGCCTGCTCCACCCAAACATCAACATGGGTGCGAATATTTTAGTTACTGGTGCATGTGGCTATATGTATGCGCTACACTTTTCAGGCATAAGTGCCGAGCTAATGTCTTCGTATGCAGTGGAGGATCTATCGTCGCTGATTTTGCACGCCACAAGGGCGGTCTCCTTGAGACGGCCAGAATACATGCTGCTGTTCGGTCAGACACGCAAGCTGAGAGTTTGTCGACATTAGATGTCACTGTCGTCAAAATTGATCTGAGTAATCCATATGCTTTGGCTGGATATATGATTCGTAATGACGGTGAGTTTGGGGATGGCATTCATGGTGTACTCTACTGATCCTTCGTTCCTCTAGTTAGCATTGTCATCCATACTGCAACCTCAATAGACCCAGAAGTTGCGCAAAACTTAATAACAGCGCTGAAGAAGCGTCGCGAGGCTAATGGGAAAAAAGCATTCTTCGTTCATGTAAGATCGTCACACTCGGGCCTGGAAATAGAGGGCTATTTCTGACTCTGGAACAGACTTCGGGGCTATCAGCTTTTGACGATAACAATGGTTGGCCGTTTGGACTAGTACGAGATATTGACCCGGTCTATTTCCTTGAAAAGCAGTGTACGGACTCGTACATTGTCAGGCAGGTAATTTCTCTCAGACCCAACGCGTCATTCGAAGGCCCCCGCTAATCAATGATACAGGTCGACGTCCTGGTCGCCGAACAAACACAAGCAGCCGGATTGACTGGGTTGATAGTCATGCCTCCAACGCTCCGTGAGTTGAGGACCCGCTCAATGTGAAAGTCGTCTAACAATGATATAGATGGACGAGGCAGCGGAACCTGGAATCGACTATCACCACAAATCCCCGCCCTCGTCAAAGCCGCAATCAAGAATAGACAAGTATACAGATTTGAAAAAGACAGAGTAAGTTCTTCCTCCACGGCCGCATGGCTGACTACTTCTCTGTGTTACTGCTCCGCGTAGATATACTCATCTCCGTCACAGGAAGTCGTCTTAACACACATCTCGGACCTGACCACCTTCTACGCCCAATTAACCGAAGCAATCCTCCAAAAACGAGCACTCCCTGCCGGTATGTCCGGGTATTATTTCACTGTCTCTCACTCCGTCCGGTGGTGGGATATTCTCGATCGTTTAGCTGAAGCAATGCATGCACGCGGACTCGTCGATGGGCCAACCACAAGAGTATGGCCAAGTGATTCATTCGCGGCAGAGGCCCTCGGAGTTCCGGTGAAATTTGCGCGTAGCATATGGGATTCAAGGTAAGCCAGTCCCGACTTTCCAATCTCCAAGTGCCATTTCATGTACCAAGTATTCTGTGCGTTGAAAGCTAAATCCAGTGATTTGTGCAGTCCGAAGGTCGTTTGCTTGAACAAAGACCTGATCGGTTGGAAGCCTGTCTGGAATAGGGAGCGGTTACTGCAGAGTATTGATCAGGAGATTGATGACTATTTGGAGTTGGGAATGCCCAAAAGTAGTCTCCTGGATTCTCTGAGGACTCAACCTCAAGTAAGGGGGTGAGGTTTTGGTGGCAGTGGGAGGCGGGACAGTCAGTATTTGCAATACGATAGAGCCTTGCTTCAAGCTACGATGATGAACATGAGCATTACGAACATTATTGAAGCTTTCAAGAAGTCAATTAACTATAATGTAGTGTATTTCAAGGTGTGGTGGGTAAATAAATAGTTCCGTTTTGTACAGCTATCCGTGGGGAGGATTGCGTATGCGAACTTTCCCGATGCACGCTCTACTGAGTCGTCGGTGTTCTGGGTGATTTTCATTATGCAAATTGGGTCAGGAAACACGCAGAACAATGTCGCAGCGCAGACAGGTCTCAAGGAGGGCAAGAAAGAAGACGAGAGAGTGTCGATGCAACATAACACATTAAAATAATGTCAATACCCGCAATAGTGGCACACGAGTGATCTCTCGGAGCATTTTTTGTTAACCGCGGGTTGATAGTGTGAGTCAGTAGTCCTTCTGAGAGTATCAATCGTCTCTCTTCATATCTTCAAAAACCTCGAGGTTTGTTGATGAGGATGTCCTCCTGTAGAACCAGGCCCTGCTCCATTTGGCGTTTACTGTGTATTTTCCGTAGAGGATGTAAGGCTCATGGATTTTGCCTTCAACACAGGTAGAAACACCGGGAAATACAATAGCTGCACGCGCTCCTCGGGTGTCACTTTCCATTGCCGCGTGCAATGAAGCTAGGCTGAGGCTCGCTGTGCGGAGAAACTTTCCATTTTGGGACATAAAGAGGTGGTGTATAGTCGAACACCACCGCATTCTCTGATAATGGGGCAGAGGTGTACCTGGCGGAATTGTATCGACGAGTTGGGTCATCGTCGAGTTGTAGATAGGAATTTCCCAGAAATCTAGTAGCCGGACCATGTCGGCCATGTGATATGAATTCTGAGGCTGACATGCTACCAGACATCCTTCCAGCAGCAGACTAATCGTTTATCTGAGCAGTCGAGCTCGTGACAGACAGTTTTGCAATCCACACAGTGCTCTCAGAAGCAACGATAGGCTGTCTCTCAACCTGAAGGATTGTATCAGGCCTAGTGGTATGTTGATAGCTTTGCTGTGGAGCGTGGACATTTTTGCGCCAAAAACGGGATTTCTTTTGATGATAGCTCTCTAGCAGGGTTCCTAAAGATGTATAGGTTGGTTTCCATCCTGCGATGAACGACACCCTGTGTCCACAACAGACATATGGTTATCATGATGGCGGTCAGGAGTCGAGAAGAACGACATGAATGGGGACCTTTATTAGGAGAAGTCCCGGTCAGTGTAAGCGAGCGTGCTTCGGTGAGAGGGGGTGGTACATACCTTCTATAATTCTTATAAGCTCGAGGACCGTAAGTCGCCTCCATCATGCAGATCCCACATTTACTCGGGCCTTTCGCTCACTTATGACTGTGCATGGTGACCAACTACACCGAAAAGCGTTTTGTTGACTATCCAGATTCGGATCCTCCCCTTGAGCTGCACGAATGATGAAGGAGAGGTTGCGGTGGGCAATTTCTAGAGGAACAGATACCTTGGTGGTGCTCAATGCACCGCAGGCATTTAGAGCTTCGGCGAGGAATTTCGACGTTTCGTAGTGGACCAGGCTGATTCAGGATTAGACATGAATTGCACAAATGACTGGGAAACGAAACTGACCATATAGGGTGGGGAATGTATACATAATGAACCACATGGACAAGCATCCACCGGTATATATGCTGTCGGTGTCGTGACTTCCGAATCTCTCTTTAGCCATTCGGAGTCCATCATGTTCGGTCACAACCATCTTGCCTAACCAGATAGGGACTGATGGTGACGGGTCGAAGAGATGTCAAAGTTGGAGAACTAGACAAACCCGAAGTCCCAGCTGGATTTAAGACTCATTCCAAGTTTGCAAAGGCCGCAGTCGACGATACTCGACAATGACCGGGTTCTGCATATGGCGGGAGTATTCGTCAGTTGTGAGTTTTAGAGTCATTAGCTCTATCGAAGTATCAGGCAGAGATGCTGTAAAGCTTCTGGGTTTTGTTCTTAGGTTTCGGTATCACAGTCGCACCCACACCTGTAGCTGAAGTGAAGGGAGGGAGGAGAATGCCATAGGAAATTCCCTGCAAACAATCTCCTGCTACAGTCCGATACGCGGGTTCCTATGTCCGCAGACAAGTCCCACGACATTTCCTGGTCATGCCATGCCATGACAGTGACAGGGATCTGACAGAGCATTCGCATTCCTCACCGTCACAGTGAATAATATCCAGAGTAGAGCGAAATAAGGGTCAGAGTTCCGCGATTCCGCCGGGGCGCCATAGTGGCCGGACGAGGGTTCGGTGTAGTGATATCCCAACGAGTGCCGAGACGACAGCGAAAAGATGATAATATGTCAATGGAAAAAAAAAGAGAATCCCGTACAAGGGCTGAAGGGATTATTGTTTGGGATTTGGCAAAGAATATGGCTTCCAATTCATCTTCGAATTCATGTAAGGAAGAGCATTGAAAGCACGCAGCGTGAAAGCCACGCAATGAACCAAATCAGAAGAAGACAGGCTTTACCGGAATCTTCTATCCCACAACAACATGAGTCTCGGTATCCAAGTAACTCGAAACCAATCGGCACCAAGGCGTGACGTTAATAATGCTTGTCGAAAACAACAACCTCCCAACAGCAACTCACAAACCAAAGTCCCATCGGAACAGTGAAGTGTTGATGGAGAAGAGAATCGAATGAAGGTGTCAAAGACCAGAGGTTGACGGAGCACTCCTATCAAAGCCATCTTCGAAAGCTTTTATATACTCCATCTCGATCCAAAATCCCACGACAGTGGAATCTTCGTGATAAGGGCGCGATTTGTCAGAATGGATGTATCTATGCGAAGACAGCTCCAGTCTCTGCATCAGTGCTAATTCGAGTAGCAGAAGCCAACGTATGAAGTATCTCGCGTATGAGTGAGTCAGGTCCAGCTGGGGAGGGACTGGTGAAGGGGAAGGGAGGTATGAGGTACCAGATGTAGAGATATTGACGGCGAATCTCGCCACTGTGAAGAACGAAGGAAGAAGGAAAGAAAGGAAAGGGGCAGATCGAAGAGTATATAGACTCTCGGGGCTAACGGCAAACGCTGGTCCAGGAACTCTCTAGGGAGATATCCTCCTGGAGATCTCCAGGAGGCAATCTCCATCAAATATATATCATAGAGGAGGGAATTGCGGTGTAGGTTCAAGCATTAGGTAGGTATGTAGTAGTAAGAGTATCAGCAGCAAAGACTCCCTCGTCTGCCAGACAAGTTCGATAGGACTGATTCTCTTCGTATCGGCGAGCAGCCCTGGACGATGAGTCGGGATCATCGACAACGCACTCAACCATATTCGCTCCCGTTTAGATCTTGACGGTTCCCTGACACGCTGTCCGATGGGTTTGTTGGCATCGTCATGTTATAGGATAGTTCATGGCTGACATGTTGCTAGACGTGGATATATATCCCTAGACACCGAGAGTGGGTGTATATATACCAGCAATCGAAAAGTGGCGAGGAAGAGAGATTACGAAAATCAGTGAAGATGATGGATATTGACCAGTAACTTGAACAACGAACAAAAAATCAAGCAGAGAAGCAACTTTGTTGTTGGTTATGTTTGTTATACTTCTCTCGGTCCAACATTCCGCCGAGACCGAAGTGTAGAACTTCCGCTTTGGAATATCCCACCACAGGTATCTACCGTACTAAAGTACCTAGCCGCTAAGCTAGGTTACACAGAACTAGGATATATATTCATTACGAGCTATCATGACTGCGCTCCAAAAATATAAAATATAGCAGCTATGGACATGCCGTAAGACTTCATGACATACAAGAATGGATTCATATGCAGATCGCAAGGCTCAAAACTGTACCGCCATGCAAAACACAGATTAAAACATGAGGAAAGAGAAGAGAGGAACCAACCCAAACTCGGGGCCAGTCCAGTCAGCCCTGTCATACCTATACCTCATTTACCATCCTTACCACCCTTCACCCCAAAATCCACCAACGCATTATACGACTGCGTCAACGGCCACAACGCCCACGCAAAACCCATCGCCCCAACCACCAACAACACATAATACACCACCGTCCAACCAATACTCAACTCCCCATCCCCAACACCAACACCGCGCCCCTTCCCATCCTCATCCTCTTTCCCACGCACCAGCGGCCCCAAAGGTTCGCCCGCCTCCACACGGCCCCAGAATCGGGGCAACCCGCACCAATTGCAGAAGCTATGGACCAAGATGACGGCGGGCAGGGAACCGGTGCGCAGGTACACGAAGGTCGCGTACCAGCCGAAGGCGGTGGTGTAACCGAATTGGAAGAGGGAGCGGAGGAGAGCCGCGAGGGCGGGTGTGTCTGGGTGAGTGAGGCGAAATTCGTAAAAGTGGTGGATGTGGGCGATGCCGAAGTAGAGTGGAGAGAGAAAGGTGATGCGAGCTGGGGAGACGTGTGCGAGGATGTGGAGGGGGACTAGGGCGGAGCGGAACATGACTTCTTCGGTTATGGGGCCCTAGAGATAGATTGTTAGATATGGCGGTTCGCATTGGGTGTGGAGCTGGAGATTGATGATATCGAGATCAAGGACGATATCGAACATACCGCGATGTAATTCCTCCACCCAATCCACCCGCCCAGCGACTCGGACCATTTTGCCCGACTAAACCACGAGCGCCATTCGCCCTCGACGATCCCGTGCTCATACAGTGGGCCCACGAACAAGATCGCCGTAAGCAGTAAACTGCGCAGAATATCGCCCAGATCGATCGGCCACCAACCCAGTAGGCTCACCGCAGCACTCGGCGAGGAACCGCTCTTGTCAACGACAAGCCATAGCACCACTAACGAACAGACGAGACAGGAGCCTGTGACGGTGCGGATGCGCGCGCGGATGACGGACGGCGCATCGCGGCTTAGACTGGGTGATGGTCTGGTGGAAGGGGAGAGGTAAAAGGGTACGACGTAGAGTAAGGTAAGGGCGATCTGGGAGAGATTCGTTAGTGTGCGAGCACGGGCGTGGAAATCAAGATAAGTATCTATGGGAGATCGAGTGGTGCAGGGAAGAGAGTGTGATATGTACCGAGAAGAGCGCGACAGTTTGCACGGATAATGAAGGTTCATCTGGGCCGGGGGTTAGCTGACAGGTCTGAACCTTGTGGTCGTCGAATGGGACTGCAAGAGTCGCTGGGTTTGGGTTGGGGATAGGAGGAAAAGAGGTACGAACCCTGATGCTTGGTGTAGAGACTCTTGAGACGAGCCAAAATGCCGACGGGAGCCATGGCGAGGGCAAGTTGGAGTTGGCGATGGCTCTCGCAACAAGTGGAAGCTTCGGCCAGTTTATCGAGGCAGAAGGCGGTTCGAGACCTTTGTTGTTGCGGGTGACGTGGGGGTGACAATACAGAGACGGTGATTACCAGTGATGAATGGGATTCACTATAAGAGAAAGTTACGTGGGTGGTAATGACAGCGTTACAGTACGCTTTTTGGCCCTGGGAGCTAGATCATTGGACTCAACCAGGACAAGGATGATGGTCCTGGGATGATTGTTCTTAGTATTGTTTTAGATAATGTTAGTATTAATAAATGAAAACGGTCATATTCAGTCAGCCAGTCTCAATCCACAAAACCAGTCTTTGACAATGACAATTGCACTTTCAACCACACCCCCGACTACAGTCCCGTTCGCAATATATATACACATACATCCTCAACCTTGAACCCGGCCCAGCCAGGAACTATTGAAATCAAACCTCCGGGGCAGGCGAGAGGTCGCATTTTCAGTCCCGAACACATGGACCGAGCGTCCTTTACACTCGTGGTTGACTCTAGTGCCTGGATCTGTCGAGTTTTGTGAGGCATCAGCTGCAGGGCCATCCCTTGGAGCCCACATCTTCATTTTAAAATCTGAGTCAATGCGAGGGAAATCGTGGGTCGTAATTCTCCGATTTCACGAGTGTCAATAGCAAAGTGGATTTTTGTAGTTTGGTTGCTGGGTGACGGACTATAATTTAATGAGTGGTCCGCGAGGGTGCGACATAGTCTTGAGACATGGATCTGTATGGAGTCTATCGTTGTTCATACATCTATTTTGTACGGGATGGGTGTTGCGGCTTAACAGATGACAGGCACTGTTACTCTTGCTTTCAATTTCAGTCAGTCCTGTCTGGATCGGGATGTCAGACGGCGCTAACGTTTTCCCTCGCTAACTGATCGTGGTTTAGTTGGCCCGAATCCTGGAGGGGGAAGACAACGCATGGGGATCCACCAGGCTGACGAAGAAGAGGAGAAGAGAGGAATTGCAGGATACACGATGGAGGTGGATGGGGCCTTTTGGTAGACTCTTCGGAGTAGCATACGATCTCCATTCAATCTAGAGCACTAATGGTAGGTACTGTTAGTATAACTGATCAATTGATCCTAATTGATACTTGTTGACCCCTGCTAGACCCTACCTTGTGATATTATTGACTTCCTTTTGACCCGAGTCTACACCTATCAGCAACACCTTAAAAAAAGCAGACTCCATGAGCACAGCCATGAACCGTACAAATCCAGAGCCGACCCACTTCTCTACTTTCAGTTCTCCATATTTAAAAAACAAAAACAAAAACAAAAAAACCCGTATTCCCCTCCCAGAAAGCCAACGGTCGAGACCCATAATTTCGCGACCGTGCAGAGAGCAATGCATACCCCTGCGCCCTGGTCCTGGTCTCTCGTTATGATAGGCGCTCATCGTCCACTGGCTGAGGCTGTGACTGGCGTCTGCTTCGATGGCGCTTCACCGCCGCTGAGCAACAAAATTCCTGGCGCCCCCCTTGAGATCGCCAAAAGTGTCTCACTTCTTTTTTCCCCTTCTTTTTGTGTGTTTTCTTGTGATGTTGTTGCCGCCAGTCGTTCTGCGTTCCCCGTCGTTCTTTTGAAACGCTTTAATGACCCCTTCTTCTTGACGCTCACTAATGTCGCTGAAACGATCTTAACTCTTAATTTGCTTGTCCTTGACGACTTGACGCTCATTGATTCCTGACGCTCTTTTTCATGAAGAATTTGACCACTTCCCCTCCATACACGAAGTTATAGAGTCGATATCCATATTTCTCCACCACAACCGGTCTCTTCCGGCTTATCTTGTCTTCCATCGACCCTCGATTCAACATTCCTTACATTGAACCAATCTAGGAAAAACATCAACAAGTCCCCTGTTTCGGTCAACGTCATTCTTTCTTATGATTCTTGGATTGGCCTGCTATTTTGTGTGCTCATTCGATTATAATCACGATTTCACATTCTTAATTGCGGTTGGCACATCGCGTCCCCCAATTTCACCAACATCATCGCCTTACCCTGGATGATGCCCTAATTCCTCAACTCGACACAATCTCGACAACCTCACCATCGACAATGCCGACGTCCAAGCAATCAACGTCGCCTCCACCCCGGCGGCGACGCGCTCTGCAAGAGCGCACCTCAGCTCATACCAATGAAAGATCACCAACTCGGTCTATCCAATCACTTCGCATGGTCCATGGGGACAAAGAAGATACCGACATGTATACCGCCACGCCGTTTCCCACCAAGCCAGAGCAGATCTTGCTGCCGATTCCCGGCAAAGGGCAGCAAAACTATATCTCGGATACGGGCTTCGCCTATGCAGATACCCCCGGCCCGTCCACGTCGACCGGGTCGTCGCCCGCCTTTAGCCATGCCGCGGCCAGCAGCGCGCACGACCTGTCTATTCGCGAGACATGGGATGTATCGTCTACCGTGGATACGCTCAATTCGCCGCCCCAGATGTGGGATGATCCCACATCGAGCAAGTCGTCTCTGCCGGAGGTCAGCCCTATGACCAAACACGAAGAGTATACGTCAGACGGCCCCGACGAGCCGGAGTACTCAGACGATGAAATGATAGTCCTGCCCACTGCGACGCCTACCATCAAAGCAGTCATTTCGGAACCGCCAACCTCGCCCAGGTCTGTTGGCGAAGATGATCAATCGATAATTGCCTACTCCAGTCCCAATATCGAGCAGATCGGTGCACCATCCAGCCCAAACTTTGAACCCATTGGCGCACCCTCGAGCCCTAACTTTGTCACGCTGGATAATTCGAGCGTCAACTTCCTGCCACCTGGTACGGACAATTCGGATTCAGATCCGCGCTCAAATTCGCTGTCTTCCTGGAATTCGCGTGGAACAGCCGTTCGACACGCTGGTGTGACCGCGCCCTGGATCCATACGGCCGGCTCGTCAGAGCAACTGAGCACCCGCTCGGCATCACCATTCCACTCCAGCCCTCCATTGCGCTCAGTCTCCTCGTTCCGAACTGTCTCCAGACGTCCCTCAGCCAGCCGGTCACACTCCGCAACATCCTCATCACGCAGCTACCGCTCCGTCCCGGAGATGGCCGCCGCCATTGACAGCGGTATCCCCATTCAATACGCGCGTATCCGAGCACCATCGTCCAGCTCCCGCGCCGATACATCAGTCTCCTCAGACCGTGACTATACTCCAGTCCGCGACTTCACGCCCGGCCCAGCCTCCGGCCGCTGGAACCCGCATCTATCTCGGGTATCATCAGTCTGGTCAGACGAAGACCTCGCCAACCTCGCCGCCACCGGCGAACCCGAGTCCACCCCAGCCCGCGAGCCCTCCGAACCGAGCATCCCGGCCTCAGCCTTGACATCCAAAACAAGCACCTCCAGCGTGTGGCTAGTAACAGAAACCGATGACGACGAGCGCCTAGACAGCCTCACCAATCTACCCCCACGACCCGGATTCCCAGGAAGTCTCTCCTCCGGCTCAAAGCGCAGCAACAGCACACGCAGCCTCAAACGACCCGGCACAGCCTCAAGCACCGTCTGGCACATCCTCCCCACCTGGGCAAAGATATACTACCGCGCGGACGCACTGGGCCTCAACTCGGCCTTCTCGATAATGGACGTGAGCAGACCGTCCTCCGCGAGACCGGGCACTTCCAATTCCAGCGTCTTCAAATTCACTCTCATGCCCACACCACTCAACATTCCCCGCGGCCGATCCCCCGAACGTCCACGCTCTCCTCAACGTCCCGCCTCCCCGCCTCGACAGCAGCCCCCCGCCGTTACCGCTGCTGCTGCCGCCATCGCACTACCCCGGCGGCCCGGCGCGGTACGCTTCGTCCAGCGCCGCCTCGAAAGTGACCCTCTCGACCCGCGCGCACACTGGGTGGCCGATCCCGAGGAAGAAGGCGAAGTCATCGGCATGCCGCGCCACAGACAACGACATAGCTGGTCGCCACATCTATACACAGATCGACGGGGGATTCCGCACTCAACGAGTACATGGACGGCGCCGTCGTTGGACTCGACGAATGAGCCTGTGCTTGGGAGGAGGAATGTCCAGGTTTATTCTTTTTGCCTGGGGTTTATATTTCCGCTCGGTGAGTGTGGTTTACAATCCCTCTTCCCTCTAAATGAGACTTGCGCTGCTTGAAATCGTTCCAGTATAGTTGTGTGGGGTGTTAAACTCATACTAACGTTGTGTTACAGCGTGGATAATCGCATCATTCCTGCCCCTCCCGCCAATGCCAAAACTTTCCCCGGAGATGATGCATGTAGACGATGATATCGAGATGGCCCTGGAGTCGCAGTTGGTTGCGCTGCAGCGTCGACAACACGAGAATGCGCGGTGGTGGCGCAATTTGAATCGGTGGATGATTTCGCTTGGTGTGGTGATTATCGTTATTATTGTGAGTATTCGGGATGAACTTGACCTGCAGATGAGATGAGATGAGGTGAGGCGATACTTGGAGATGGGGGCTAATAGTGAGATGTAGATTGCATTGGCTGTTATTGGTACCACGACGGGCTTTTAATGTCTTCTTGACTTGGTTTTCACGTTGACCAACCGCCTGCCTTCTTTCGACTTTGGGCTCGACTTGGCTTTTGTCGTTTGATTGGGACATTCATCCCTCTTGATACACGTATACACGTCTTTCTTATTCCTTTCCTTGGAACTCTCTTTCACTCGACTCGACTTGATTTGACTTGACTGAATCCGTTCTCCAACTCCTATTCCGGGACTTGACTTGTCTCCAACTACCACTCTGGTATTTGCTTTTCCTCTACAATTCTTACCTTTCACTTACTCGAACTCGAACCTCAACTGCACTTGTACCTGCACATTCGACTTTGTGAATCGATTTTCACACTCAACACAACCCAGCTCTACATCTTCCCTCATTTTCAACATGGCATTTCCATTTCCATTTCCATTCACAGCACTCGAGATGAACCTTTTCCTCTCAAGTGCTGTCTGTTATCATTCTCTTCTCTTCGCTGCACATTTCTCAGATACGACTACATGACACGATTGGACGCACATAGCTAATATTCCCCCTATCACGCTGCACTTGACTGGACTTGACTTGATACTTTTTCATTTTCCTCCATTTTGCGTCTTCGTTTTTGTCTTCTTCTTCTTCTTTCTCTTTCCTTCTTTTTGTCCCTCGTGGTATCTCTGATTAGAGATGTATTCGATGACGCAAATTCCTTGATTCTTTACCATTTACTTCGACTTTGACTTTCACACGTGACATGTGTTACTTTCTACCTTGAACTCGAACTTGACGTCGAGTCTACACTTCTATTCTCTTTTCTCGATTGCATACCGCGTCTGTATAATGGATATATGCTCTCATTTCACATTGTTCCGCAAATGCTTTTGTATGCTCAATACTTTATTCATATACACTTGTTGTACCTATAGGTATCTGAACAAGCCCTCTAGGGGAGGCCCCGCTCCGCACGGCACTGGCCCCTTAGTTATATAAACTTAACACTTAGTTGTATTTAGCTACTTTAGAGACTCTCTCTATTAAATAGGTATTATCGAGTACACTAGTTAGTTATAACGCCCTAAGAAACGCCTATCCGGTTATAAACTAACCTAATTAGAAGATGATTCGCTTATTAAATAGATAATCTCTATAGATTTACGTAGCTTCGCCGGCGATTCGTTGGAGCTCAGTTGGTCGAAACTTGACGTATCGTTCGTTTAAACGGTCGGCGTCGTTGAATCTAGCTCACACGCAGTAGCTGAGACAAAAGCCATAATATGCTTAATTTACATTCATCGTCGTGATGTATTTCGAAAGAATTCCTCGTGGAGTGCTGGTGGGCTGGTGGATAAGTGATGGCGGGATGAAACAGACATGGCAAGCTGCTCGGAAAAGACCCACGGTTTGTGGAAACAGGGAAGGTGCGACATGCTTCTAGCAATGGTGAGTCTCTGAAGAAACTTTACCATTGTTCAAAAATAGCAAGGGAGGGAAACATTGAGCGCACAAAGATGGTGACGGGCGTGGGTTCACTTGTAAGTTGACAGGTGAAGGGGGAGGGAGCTAGGTTTTCAAGGGTCAAACGGGAGTGGGCTGCCACGTCCTCAGAAGCAAAGGTTAAATCGATTGTGATCCGATTGGGTCGTCCACAGGAGCGGGCTGTGCCTTCCCAAAAATAGGCACACAGCCCCAGAAACTGCATTTAATATCCTGGGAGCTACACAGCTCATAGAATCGGCTTGTGTACAACTCAATTCGAAATTGCCCTTCCACGTTTTACGCAGAGAAAGGATCTGGAACCCTAGCGCTAGGACAATACAGAGATACCCTATCACGAGTTGAAGCTATTGAATATATGTATAAGCTCTCCAGTTTTATCAGAACCAAGAGCGCATTATCGAGAGAGGTCTACGTTATATCGAGAGGATAGAATATCTATTTTCTCAACTGCTGATAGCTGGAAGAAACAGAGGAGGATGACTACCTTAGACCAAAGCAGATTAGTGATTACCAAATTAGAATTTGCGTAATGTAATAGGCACGTTTCCATTAAGCACGTCGAAACTCCGTTGCAAGGAGGGCCGTGCCGGAAATGGGAGTTTACTGTAACAATAATTCCTCAGCCGCACTTGCACAAGTTCCGATAAGTAGGCCTTATTTTCTCTCACCAAATCTCTCTCCTCTACCCTATGATTCCCATCCAAAGCGACCACTTACGACCATCCTCACCACTACCTAGTACTCAGCCCCACGAGCATGTCACCTAAATCAGTCCCTGAAGGTATCTGGGCCGACCAGCCCTTCAAACTACTGGATACGCCAGGCAAAGACAAGCCAGTAAGCGGAAAACCCTTCTACTGCTGCTGCCCCGCCACCGTACACCAACACAGCCAACACTGTGGACCGTACATGATCAATACTATTTCTGCTAACACCGCCTATAGCTCTCCGACCCCGTTGTCTATGTAGCCTCGCACATGGCTCTTGTGCACAACACCTTCATCCGTGCGCTAAACAGCATATACTTGCACGCTCCCCTTATCGCTCCCGGCAACAAGAGCCTTGCCCGCGATATGTTGACTTATTGCCAATGCTGGGTGGCCCTAGTGGCCCTGCATCATCAAGCCGAGGAGAACTTCCTCTTCTCGGCTTTTGAGAAGCGTATCCCAGCCGCCAAGGGTATTCTAGCTACCAATGTGCGCCAGCACGATGAGTTTCATAGTGGTTTGGATGCGTTCAAAAAATATGTTGAGATAGCTCTTGCAGGAGGCGAGCCGTATTGCTCAGAAAAACTTCTGAAGCTAGTTGATGCGTTCTCAGAGCCGCTGATGAAGCATTTTGCTGACGAGATACCAACATTGATGCGGATGCAAGAGGCAGGTCAGATAGAAGAGGTCATGAAAATACACGAGGAGTTTGAGGTCATTGTGCGGAAGGATATTGATGCGGTAATCTTTCACCCTTCCTCTTCATGATCTCCACAGATTCTTATAGATTTGCACCGATAACGGGCTAATACTCCGCAACAGTCAAAGGTTGGCCCAATGACACTGCTCAACGCTGACAAGACCTTTGAGGGCGGCAAACATCCCTTTCCCGTCATGCCCAAGTTCGTACCGTACCTGATCAAATATCTTGTCTCGCGTAAGTATGCCGGCGCCTGGAAATTTGGCTCGTGCGACTATTGGGGCCAGCCGGTCACGCTGTTCATGAATACACCCGAGGGGAAGCAGGCCCTTAAGGCGGGTAACGAGTAGATAGATATGTGCCGAGAAGACACAGAGAGAACGAAGGCGCATTCCAAGAATTGCAGAATCCGTATAGTGATATTGGTAGTACTGAGTCAAATCCAAGACTATATTTCTGCTACTCCGGCTTGTACAGAGGATTTCGAAAACAGTTTCCCCGCCAAGCACTCACGCTTTCTTTCCCACCGCCCCACTCTGATCGCGCTAGGCTTGATTAGGCTAGAAAACGCCCTTTCAAGGGGGCATGTAGCGGCGTGATTGGCTTAAGAAGTCTCAGAAACCTGGTGATCTGGACTAGGCTCTTTAGTGGGCCCCCAAGAAAGAAAACGTGTGTGCCTGGCGGGGGAAACTGTTTTCGAAATCCTATGTATGTGTCTTGCATGGCTAAAATTGAGAACAAAATACAGGGAGTTCAGGCCTAATGATCACTATGTTTAATATTGTGCTCACCGTCATCACTCACTTGACCTTTGAGATGCTAGCATCGCTTCTTATGATATGAAAAGCCCCATCCCTCCTCATATTAAACCACTAGCTTTCCCTAGATTTTGCAAGCTCCGTTTTACAACCTTTGGATTGTTGAAAATAAAAGTGCAGTTTTATCGCTCGCTGTTCTCCTCCTCTGTTGACCTTCGCGTTAAAGCCACAGTTAGGACAGTCGTTTGTGTCACTTGGGGTCAAGACGTGCAATGCAACTAATTGAGCATAAATGGTCGCATAAGGCCTTGGTTTTCAACCACTACGCGCTGGGTCTCTCAAATTAGGGTGCAAGTAACTAATCAATATGATGATTGAATAGGCAAAGCCTTTGACACCTCTAGTACCCCCAAAATATCACGATCATCTACCACGACATTCAGTCACCGTTAGTGTCTGCAAGGCGTCTTGCACAGAAAAGACTACTCAATAGGACCCTACTGCGGTCGTTGTACCTCGACAGTGATTCACTTCAGTAGGCAATGAATACAACCTCACCGGAAGCGGGGACTAGAACGCTGGATCCAGCTCTGCAGCGGTTACGACTTCCGCGCAGCGTGACCTGTTCCATGTGGGATCCATATCTGAGTAGAGAAGCAATACTATGATTCTGGCAGCACACTGTCATGAGCAGCCACATCAGTGCCCCGGCAAGCCACTGGCCAGGCGATTTCAGGTACTCGGGCCCCAGTCGACGGACTGAAATCCAGCAAGACCTACAGCTGTAGACGCACGGCTAGCTTAGACTTAGGCCCGCAGCAGCCTGACTTACTCTATTTGCAGTGGCAGGAACCCTGGCCCTTCTCATAGCCATCAATTGACAAAACATTATTAAATAAGCGTATAGATAGCAGAAAGTTCGAACCATTATAGAAAGCCTGTCTTTCTACGGAATATTATCTCTACCGCTCTGCAAGCCCCAAGCCGTCAGGCAATGCAGTGCCTTAGAAGCCTTTATGGATAATACACTTGATAACCTAGTGAGAATAAAACCATGGATCAAGAGCTCCAGTCGGTTGTCAGAAATGTGGTATGGTTGTCACCCAGTCGATACTCGTATAGGAACCTGCAGGAAGAGCCCTCAACGACGAGAAGATAAGGCCCATCATTCCTAGACGTGCAGTAATATACACGCCTAACGTAACAATCTGCTAAGTCCTTTCTCAGAAATGATTAGCCCCACCAGGCGTCGCTGAGTGCAGACCAGGTATCAAGATGGAGACATGATTGACAGTTCCAGCCTCCAGGATGGCCGAAACTATTCAGCTAGGAAAAGGCTATTTAATATCATAGGCTCGAGATCTTGAAGCTAAGTACAAAGGGAACTGGTCTGAGCCAATTGTAAATAATACTTGTCTTACTGCAAAGGGCCACCCGCTTGTGGATTACCCTAGGCCTTGATGAGGATAAGTTGGTCCATGAAGCGGAAGCAGAGGAGCGAGACCGCATGGATATGACTCGTAAGCTCATAGCAGATCATTCTCAATCTGTCACAAAATCTAGGACTCAGCATTTGGCAGTGGCTCCAGATAACCCATTTGAACATACCGCCCTTCACGTAGTGGAAGGGTAGGCAGGGGCCGTCACACATCTCACCTGGTGGTTGTCTATGCGTCAGATGCTGAGGTGCCAACCCAACAAGTGTTTCAAGTGGGGCAATACTATCCAATAATCTGATGCTGTACTGTGTTGGGGCTGAGGTGGTCAGTGCGGTGATCTCATGTTACTTGAATCTGACTGTATGCAAAGCTGAAAGAAGTGCTTTCAAAATAGATCCTAGTAAATTTGGCCCCTTCGTGTTCAGGCGACCCATTTCCTAGGTGATTCTGGGCAATAATCCAACCCCTGTACCTCTCTCAATCGCCAATCAGATACTAAAGACCATTCAGCCCCATATTTGGTGTCGCACGTAATTTCTTCAAGTACTGTAGTTGCATACCCAAGTCAGATATAAGCAATTGCCAAGTCGATAACCCCCGATTATACTTCACTTTTCTCGTCGTCTCAATCTTGATCAAAAATATATTATATCTTCTCTTTCAAAATTCTAGCGTCTGTCCTACACAGTAACGAGAATATGAAGTTCTTAAGTACTGGTCTCCCGCTCTTTGCAGCTATCCCTCTCGTCACTGTATGTTTATCTCTTGCTCATATCTCTCTGCTATTGCTAATACCGCTCCTAATTAGGGCATTGCTATTGCTTCTACAAAGATGGAAGCCCTTCAGAAACGTGGTTTCATTGTAAGTAATATCCTTCATCACTATAATGTCGCTAACTGCCTATATTACTTAGAATGGACTCTTCTGCTGTCCAGTTGCAGATGTACCTGGCCTCACTGAAGTCAACACTAACCTTGTGGAGCAAGTTGGTCAATTCATTGTCAATGAAGACCCAGGTATGATTATTAAAACCGACCCAGAGTCATGCCAGAATGTTGTCTGCGCTGGGGAAACGGAGGGAAACATTGCGGTCAAATTTTGCAATTTTGTATGTTTTTTCCCACTTTCTTTAGTTTGCCATTTTACTAATCGGCTCATTAGCAACCGAGTTTCCCCTTGAGCATCGAGGCCGGTGCGTTAGTCCAGGCAATAGACAGTATTGCATCCGAGTGCGGTGGCAGTGGAAACACTTGCGGAGTGCTATCGAGTGAGCTGGGGTATACCATAACCGTAGCTGGTCGCCAGTCGCTTGGTGCTAGTTGTTAGCAATAACAAAAACATACTTGTCATTATCTTGATATTACTGTCCATTCTAACGCAGGCTCGGATTAGCACCTGTCATTCTAGAGACTGTATGAGTGTAATGGTAATAATATTATCTGATTGATATAGATGCGGAAATCACCTGACAGATCAGGACCGACAGTTACTTTGTGTCAGAGCAATAAATGACCGTATAGATTAAGAATGTAGCCCATGGAGCATTTTTGATCTAGCGGTAAAATGCCCTATATTTGTGCGACATTTTGTTTAACATGGCGACACCACCCAGGTTGACGGGTTAAATTGGGATATCCTGCATGTCCAGATTCGCTAAGCATCACCAAGCACTCATCAACGTGGCAGAGTCTCATTAATAAGTATCTCTTTTCCCTTTTCTTTGGCTGGTAGCCTCTGGCTGTTGTGGGCCTACCACAAGTCTTCCAGTTAGCGCCCCCCTCGGAGCCTTTGTAATGGGTTATCTACTTGCATGGTAGAAAGCCTGTCAATCAGGTAGAAGGAAAGCACAAGTCAAATTGATTCAGAGACTGTTCTTAAGGAGTTCGAAACCCACTCCTCATAGCTCATATTTATATACAGTCTCATCTCCAAAACAGGAAGGAGGGGTAAACACCATAAGAAGAGAGATCACCGAAGAATACGGGGCTGTGAACGTAGACCCCGTATGCAGAGTTCCCTTTTAGCTACGCCACCGAAAGATCAGCGACTTCCTGCGGGAAGGCTGCCGTCCGACAGGATCCCTTAAGGCTACGAAGCCAAAGGCATCAAGAAGTGGGAGTAGCCTTAGAGCAGGACTATCATAATAATTATCCCCCTCTAGGGTCGCTTACCCTTAAGCGACTAAGACCGGCAGAAGATGAGATAGGGCCATCGACAAATAGAGGGGAAAATACCGAGGCGTCCCGGAAGTAAACAACGGATGTTAGTTTGTTAATATCCATAACGTACTCTCCTTATTCTCTTCTTTTCCCTCTTTCTCACCCTTCTCTTAGTTTCTTACCTCCTTGTCCATTCGTTGTGTATTTGACACTGCTTCGCCTACTCTTCGGTCGATATGCCTCCTCGAACACGCGCTACCTACGCTGTTCCTCTTAAACTAAAGTACTTCTAGTGTATACACTGTCTTCGCACTAAAATAGGGACTATTCGTTATGGTCAAAAAGGGGAAACAAGCCGTCCCTTTCAACGAAAGTATCAATACTAGATAGGAAGAAGAAGAAAGAGAAACCTATCTGGTGGGGTGGTGTTTGATATGTCCCACAATTAGGAGCGCCTTCTCTTATCATGCGAATCCGGCCATGTTTGCTCCCATCATCAAATTCCCCCTTCATGTCCAGGTCGTTACACTATTAACCGTCCTACCCTAATCGTGGACGCCCCGCTCGAGATTAACTATGCCCTCGATACTAAGGCCTCGATCTTATATTTTAAGGGCGTCCTGTATACCATGGACAGGAGTCCATTAACTAGGTAAGAAGTAGCAGATATAGAGGAGTAAGGAACAGTAAGGTCAGATTAAGAACAAGACCGATTCTTAGGGATTGTAATATATAACTCCCTAAGGCCATTAAATATGACCGAAACACAATAGGCTCGAGTAGGCTTCGCCACCAAATCGTCATTAGCTGAACCTGCTTGTAGACACGAGCTACACCTTCGTCGTGGGACGTAAGCTAAATGTACGTAGGATGCGATCTCCCTGTAGAACTCTGCACTTCTGAAGTATTGCCGTTTACTGCGTCTATGAATCAGTAAAACCTATAACTCCCCGAGATCCTTCCTTATACAGGCGCCCCGTAACAACTACCCTCGCTGGGCCTTGACGACTGTCTCTTTCAAAGGCGGGTTATGGGAAGGGGTCGTCTTGGTTGACTGAGAAAGAGTGCGAAAGGTTTCTAGACTTATCAAGACAAGAAGCGCAGACATCCAACCACCGCCAGCGGGAAATACACGACAGGATAGGCAGAATGGATAAGAATCTCCAAAGCACTCGTTTCTGCAGTGAGTTCCGTGCAAGCCCTTTATCCTTCCAGGCACAGAATACTCACACGTACATTAGGTGATTGTAATGACGTACTCGCCTGTTGTGAACTGGGCGTTGGATCCGTCGAACGGCTCAGTTCCAGCGCCAATGCCACTTAGATACTGAGTCGAGGGCAAACCCTGGCTTTGAATCAAATATTGCAAGAAATCAAGGAGGTCGGCATTAAATGAAGTCTGCTCGCCGTGAGCGACGAAGCTGAAAACGGTGGTGGCTCCATTCGGGCCTTCGAAGAGATCCCATGAAATACCAGCAATCGTGACTGTAGTGATTGGTGAACCGGTGTGGCTTATTGGGCCTGCACCACCCAAGGCACCTAGCCAGATCATGATCTCGTATGCCGAGGACCCGCTAGGAGAGTAGCTGGTGAACATATCATAAGAAACATCGGCAACGACATTTGAGCCAGTGTAACTATTAGCGCAGTACGCAAGTACATCAGTCATCTATCCTTACTAGATACTGATTCAAGAGGCATATATCAAGTTCTCTTATGGAGCTGGATTCACTTACCTCCATTTCCAGGTGGTTGGGATACGTGAAATAGAACTCAGTTGCCGTGGATTGAAAGTGTAATCAATATTTGAGTAAGATTTCACGTCGGTTCGGCCTCCTTGCCAGTCCCAGGTGGTGTGCCACGTTACTACATCTCCACCCTGGTAATCCAAGCCAGTGCATTGCCATCCAGATGTAGCGCTGCCCTGACCCCAGAGGTTCTGATAAAGGGTGTAAGGTCCCGCGGGGATAGAGGCAAACCCCACACACGAGTCCCGCTTAGTATGTGTATGTGCAGACGAACTGGCTTCACGTATGAAGGCCGCAAGGAGCAAGGTTGGAATGGATAGAAAGGCCCTCATTTTGTTGAGACAAGAAATTTTGTAGGCGAAACGAAATCCACACCCGTTTGTAAAACTTGATAGATCCTGATGACCAACTTGCAATAGGATAGAACGAAGTCATCTCCCGAGGAGACTCTTGTTTTATATCTTCGTATTTATTCTACGAGGAGCTTGACTGGTACCCTATATAGGCTATTATTCGTATTATGTGTCAGCATATGTTCCGGCAATAAGGATCACAAGCTCTAAGCCCTCAAACGAGATCGCAAATAAGTCTACAGCTCCGAGATGAACTGTCGTACCGTTCTCCACGTCAGCTTTATTTTGCCCGAACAGGAAAGACCTCCGTATATCGTTACAGCAAAAAATTGATATATTTGAACCCTTGTGGAAACGGGAAGATGTCTCACTTTGCCAAATTCACGGAGCACTCGAAGAATATGAGAAATTGTTTCCCCCTACAAACAGGGCAACGCCGGTTTGGGAAGAACAGGAGTGTCTACATGACGAGAGTACGGAGTAATTTATCACTCAATTCTGCCACTCGGGTAATTCCTGGGCGAGTCAGCCAAGTCAATAACTACCAGATTTTTCAATGAGATTCTCAATCCCAAAATGCGCTTATGTTTGAAAAGCTATCTGTTAAGCGTTCATGAACCATATCCCCCTACCTGATTGCCTTTATGACATTCAGTCTTGACCCTCTATGTAGGCGATGTCGGCTACGTAGCCTTCGCGGATACCTAGCTGGCTGACTGACCCAGGAATTACATGACATGCACGATTTCAACTTCCCACAAGATGAACATTACTCTATTGTTACAAGGCAAGGACAGGGCGACCAGGCGTCACCTAATTTCCCGCCTACTTGCATGGTTCAGAGGCGATCACTTGGTTCTCTTCCTCTCAACTCTCCGTGAGGAGATTGCCGCTACTTTTATTTGTGGGGCGCACTAAAAAACTTTCCTTCATGTTGGTGCCGCAATCTTAGAATCTGGTTGGGCCAGGGGCGATTCAAAATTGACCTGATCTAAGGGACAGGCGTATATCTCACTCGCCCACCTCACGAGGAATATTTGGCTCGCCCTGTGAACCCCGGTAAAAGGCTCATTTAAGGTGGAAACAGACAACAGACCTCATCCTGATTTCCTTCGTCTGTTCAATTTATCAGTCGATATTATATGATTTGGGTTGCTTAGACACAAGGTAAATCTACAAGTCCGGAAGTTCGGGTAATTTCCACTCTTCTAGATTAAGTTATGGGAACTCTGCGCCCGATGCACCCGTACGAGGAGGATTCCCGCAGCGGCCAGAAAGTGGCGAGGGAGCGGATGGCAGTTCGTGAAGGCGGGACTCGCACACAAGGATCGGCACTCTGCGCGATTCTGTTTCCTTTCTTCAAACCCGGACCGAGTCGAACCGAGTCGACTAGCCTACCAGCCTCTCCAGCGGCACATTGACCTAATAACTAGTTCCGCTACGAGGAGGCAGCTGGGCTGAGAGCTGAAGTAAAAATCTCCGTACAATTCGAAGATATCCCTTGCATCGAAACGTAGGCGCAGCAGAATAGGCCCTGCTTTGTAGCCAGGAACATCGAGCGTTTTATCCGCACTAGACAGAGAGGTGAACACTTGCATGTCAAGGAGTCGTGAATGGGACTGCAGCCTCACTTTCAGTCACAAGCTCCGAGGTGTGATCTTCGATCAGGAGTTGGCGTTCGCGGGTAGGTGTCGACGGGTCGGTCCCACGAGAAAAAACACTTCTGTCGACCCCACCGTGATTTTACTTAATCGGCAACAGAGAAGGGACTGTTCGGTAATTTGTTCTCGATTGACGTGAGAACTTGTTAGAGACAAATGACCCGGAAAGTTAGTTCCCCACTTATCTCCTTCAATTCACTTCTGTCTACCACTCTGAAACAATTCGGTCAACGTAACTTTGCTTTGCTTTAAGACACGGCGATCCTCCGGATCATGCTTCTGTTACAATCACCAAACAGTTCAATTACCATCTTTTCACCAGCACTTGTCAAAGCGGAACATAATCATGAGGTTTATGAAATCCAACACCAGCAAATTGGCGAGCATCCCTCCTCGCTCAGTCACCCTAGGGGAGCGCCCGAGGGCCAAGGGAAACATAAAGACGCAGAACCTGCGAATTGACCGGCAACAGAAGGATATGTAGAGGTGTTTAGACGTGAACGTCGTGGAACAGTGACTAGTCTCGATATTCTTTAATCTTTCTAAATCTACACGGGAAACGTGAAGAGTCTTCATAATATCCGACCTATTTCATGACATTAGAGATGGAAATTGTACGAGAACTCCATCCAGATAACCTGAACTACGTGGTACGGATAAGGGTGGGTGTGCCGCTCGCTTGTGAACTACGTTAGTTAACTAACTTAGGTTGACTAGAAGTTTGGATGACAGTTGGAATGTAGAGAGCAAATGAGGGAAAATGAGCTATTCTCTGATGATGAACGCGGGATCGAGAAAAGAAAAAGAGAAAATATACATGTTCCCTTCATTTGGGATTATTTACATTTGCTCCAATTTCTGTAGTTGTGTCGCAGAAGCCTTATGCTCTAGGGCTTGGGGCAATTCAGACGTTCAGAAGAAATATCTCAAATCGTCACGTAAGGCGACGAGCGCGCATTCTGCCGACAACCCCCGCACAACCTGATCGATGGATATAAAATTTGCGTTTCGCTCGCAAGTGGGTAGATAATTTGGGGCCGGATTGGTTTCTTCGCATCTCCGACATATCGTTTGAAACATCCACTGGGGCTCTTTGTTTCTGGGGTACTTTGAAAATTCGAGGAAATCAAATTGTGTTTTTCGCAAAAACTTGACTAGTGCTAAGCTCGAGTAGCATTAGCATCGAAGGAAAAGACGATATCGAAGGTATTGTCCTTGATTTCGCATTTCTTGGGTACGTGGAGAATCGATATGATGTTTGAAAGAATCAGATTATCTTGTTATAGGAGCAGACACGAGGTGAGTGGGATGAGGTTCAGAAATAGCTGGTGCTCGGGAATGATAAATAAATATCTGGTATCAGACCATATATCCTTCTTAGGGGCAATATCTCGATCACAGATTTTCTCTAAGGGGCGATTGACGATCAGACCCCATAAGATTGAAGAAATGTTCTACCGCTTTGTATTTGATAAGTGTCAATCATATACAAACAAGAGCGGCGCTGGGTCCACGGAATTTCTGCAGACCTATTATATAGCGCGGAAATTATTTGCGAGGAATATAAATCTGAAGGACAGTATATCAAGTGTCCTCCCTACTTATGATCCAGAATTTTCGATTAGAGAATCTAATTTTTCCCTTTCGGTGTGTGAAGATTCCGTGAGTAGGTTGTGCTATATGCATTGCCGATATAGATAAATCCTTCGTGTGAGCATCAGAGGCCAATTTTCGAAGCTTTACTTCATCGAAACTCGAGGATTAGAACAGTACAGTATTAAGCAGTGACTGAACTACTCATAAGTGTTCAATAGGCGAGTCTAGCTATGTACATAATTATTAAAATGTAAACCCCTGATCGATCGACCACACTCACTCAACTAATCAGTCTCTCTCTATTCACGACTCCCAATTCACCACTCTCAGTTCCCCGCACTCTACCATGCCTATATTCTGCCCACGTTTGCACTCTGGCTTCTCTCTTCACCAATGAAACTGTGCCGCTGGTCGGCCCATTGTCTAGTATGAGTAGCCGAAGGGACCCTTTCCATCAATTATTGTAGGGACTCGAATGAAATTAAGCCGCTTAAGTCCTTCCAGACATCTATATTTAATAATTTCCACCAGCTATCCCGCCATGTATTATTTCACCCGCAATTATGTCACCAGCCATGACCCAAAAGTACCATTACAGTTAGTCGTCATCATTTTTATTTAACTCGGTGGTTAAACCTATTTAGTGTGTATCGTCAGTTGGAGTTCACCAATTTAACTCTTCTCTTGAAGTCTCGCCCCCTTGCTCTCCTTTTCATCGTTTCAGGGCCGCTGCGCGGAGCGCGCGTCTCCAGTAAAATGTAGCGGGCGTCTACCCGCGGGCCGCGGCCGGAGGTCTAGGCATCCCTCAATTCATGTTTACATTCCCCCGTTAGATTCGAGCCTTCCACGTGACTATCCTAGGATATGTCTCCGCAGCAGGATTGGTGGATACATGGAGAAAGGAGATACTGTAACTAACGTATTTCACGGTCGACCGGGCCACACGGCCGTCCGGGCCACCCTAAAACACTATACTAAATACGATTTTCTAGGTATCAATATATCAACAACGAGAAGATGCCTCTACGTGGTTTCTAGTATGCTATAATTCCCTAGCATTAGAAATAGCTCAGCATAGCTAATATGTACAGAAAACGATTATCTACTTGTATTACAAAAAATACGCCCTGATCAAGCGATGTAGATATATATATTAACATTGTCATACCCCAAAGTATTTCTTGAGCTAACAAAAATGCCTGGAATGGCATATTCAACACTAAGATACCCTAAGACTATATGATTAGCCTTGAGCGTTGAAATATGAAGTTGTGAATTATTGCATTTAGTATGGCGTTTTGGGGTGGCCCGGACGGCCGTGTGGCCCGATCGGCTGTGAATTACGTTATATCCGCCAAGATTAGTCATGGATTTGAGCCCATCCAAATTGTCAGATAGGGGCATAGATACCAATTCAGACCCATTGTGATTTCTATTGGTGCTATATTTTCCAGAAGTATAGTAAAGGTGGGACAACATCACCTTGTGGCCAGGTAATTGTGCATCACGAAGGAAGCGGTGTGAGTTGTCTGTCTGGACCGCCGGAACTCTCGCATACCCTACTATCACTATCCTTGTTTGCCCTTAAATATCTGCTCACCTTGGAAAGTTGAACCAGAGAGTATTTATTCTACTCTTCACAAAGCACAAAATCGCACTTGAAGACAGAGAAAGGAAGGCAGCAGTTAGTAGTTCTTACTGTAATAGCTGTAATAGAGCAAC